TATCTCTTCAATCTGGCCAGGTTATCCACAATCCTACCTTTTGTTCTGCACAATAAACTTTTATGTGTTGTCCCTTCCACATGGAGTGAGTACCTGGCTTCCTTCTCCATAAAGACTCCCCCTTCAGGCCAGATTTCATCCCTATTACAAGTCATGACCCCCAGCTTGGGGATTTCCAGTCAATTCACTCATACCAAGAGACTGTTCTAAAGTTGTATGCTTGTAAATCTCTACATAACATGGAATTCTCATCATCATCTCCTCCAGTGCCTAGGACACCAGCCAGCATCCCTCAGATACTCCACTGAGTGCTTCAAAGGTTCAAAAGAAAACTTAATTTGGTTCCATGAACCAACATCAAAGTCTTTCCTAAAAGCAAGGGGGCAGAATAAAATATATAGGACACCAAGACTCACTTGTGAATGGAATTTGAAAATCTTGGATGAGAGAAAGCTAGTGCAAGATGAAGCAATAAAAAAACAACTTTAATAAAAGTTAAGGTAGCCAATCCCTCAAAATTAATAGAATCCCATTTAATTAATTAAAAATTAATCTTTGTTGCTTCACCCTCACATGAATTTGGCAATCTCAATAAATATGAAAACTTCAAGGTAAAATATTTTTAAATAGAGTTGAGATTGGGTAGTAGGGGTGTTTGCAGTTTAATGTTTAGAAGAGATTTATTTTTAATCAAATAAATTCTATAGAATCAGATCAACTTCAAAGGTTTATCTTGTCCATAACATCAGAATGATCAAAACAAAACACAATCTCTTCTGCTGTGTACCAGAAGAGCTCTGAAAGAATAAAAACTACACTTTTAAGTTCCTGATGGCTTGATCGTGAGGTTACATGGTTCTGAGAAAGAAAAAGCTAAAAATCCAAGGATGAGATGAAAATATTAATATAGGCATTGTGTGTGTGTGTGTGTGTGTGTGTGTGTGTGTGTGTGTGTGTGTGTGTTTGATCGATTTTCCTGAGACAAAGTCTCATTATGTAATCTTGGCTGTCCTGGAACTCAGGATGTAGAGCAGAGTGGCCTCAAACTCCTCTGCCTCCCCAGTGCTGAGATGAAATGCTGGCAGTACTAAGCTCAGCTTGTGTGATGTCAGTTTTAAGAAGTTATATGAGTATAAAATACACAGAGAGACAGAAAGGGCAATACTGAGTATACCACACAGCCACCAAACACAGTTTCTGAAGGTTTTTAGGATTTTTTTTGTCATTTTGGTTTTTGTTGTTTTGCTTGTTTTTAACTGGGACATAGAGGTCTTTGTCAAAATGGAAGACATTTAGTAGAGAGCAGAAACAACAGAGGAGATGGTACAAACTGACATGGCAACAGTTATAGTCAGAAAGCAGGAAAGCCCATCACTCATCCAAAATATGTATATACAAACCTGAAACTAACCCCCGGCTCCTAAGGGAATTCTCCCAATCAGACTAGGAATAGGACCAATAACAGTAAAAATTTCAAAATAAAATAAAGAAAAGAAAAGAAAGATTTTGATGCTTCCACAAGAGGTGCAAAATTGGCTCAGCTCATGGAATTCCCAAACTCACTGGAATGAAGCAGCATGCCCATATTTCCACCTTGGCCTTGACAGACAGCTGTGTGACATCTACCAAGTCAGGTCACCTTCCTGATGCATCTGTCTCTTCACCCGTAACATCCAGCCCATAGCTTCCCTTACTAGAGGAGCTGTGGGCACCAGAACCTTCATTCATGTGAGTTCATGAGTTTTGTAACTGTGGTCATATTATCACCACCAGGAACAGGCATCACTTCATGAAAACAGTGCACCAGGCTGAGCAGATACAGTCAAGTCATCGTTTGTTTTCCCAGTGCCAAGCCTGTGTGATGTGAGCCTTGAATGGAGGAGGAAGGATTTTCAGAAGGATGACCAATTTTTCCTTCTCCAAAGAGGTGTGCGCTTTTCTTTGCTTTTACAGAATATTAAAAAATGAATGAACTGAGCACAGGAATGACAGGCACATACCCAAAGTGAATCACTACAAGAATTCTTAAAGTAGAGCTGGAGATGCGGTAGTACTATCAGAGGTCAGGAACCAGTGGAGTGTTCTAATATGTTTCTTGTTCAAAAGTCTTGTTGACATACTAGGTTCCACTAAAAACAAATAAATAAATAAATAGCCCACCCCTCTTTCTTCCCTTGTTCCTGCACTGCCCTTCAGAGTTTACAAAATTGTCTCTTTGAAGAGTAAAATGACAACACTATTTTTTTTTAATTTAGTCCCAGGGATGAAAATAACTTTTATGCCAAAAGACTTTTTAAATCTGTGATATTTTTCAAAGGAAGAGAAAATGACCTGGTGGACCTCCTGTTGGAAGGCCAGTGGCAGAGTCACTGGCTAGTCATAAGTCACTATTCCTGATGTGGCACAGATTGCCATGCACGTGATACAGTCATAAAGCCACAGTATGTTCATGATGGACACATCACAGTGGGATGGGCACACACATTCTAGGACTCCTTCATTCACACGGCAGTTGCAAACACTGGGCCCTTGAGGACCATTGTGTAAATGAAAGAAACACAAGAGAACAATTAAAACATTGTTATTTAAATCCTGTGGCCCCTTCATATCTTGTATATGAATAATTGTTCAACTTCACAGAAATAAGACAAAAAGAAAGGAACACAGCTGGGTTTATAAATGTTTAAACAAAGGAACAGGATGCAGGATAGACATTAAATAATCTACTTATAAAAAGACAATAAAAGGGAAAAATGAACAAAATAGTCACTACCGAGTATGTACACATAGGTAGCCTAGACAAAAAGCAAATAAACAAACAGCCGCCTGCTTTTCATAGTTACCACGCTCATGAGTGATGACTGAGGAAAGGAAGGTGGTACATGACAGTAGTTGAAAGAAAAGAAAATGGAAAAGAGAAAGAAGTTGAAAGTAGGGTTTTCATTTACTACAGTAAGGAAATAGAATAGGAAAGTGATTTATTAATCCAGGTAATTTGTGTGTGATACAAAAAATAATGCAGAGACAAAACCAACCTCTTCATGAGAGGCGTACATAACTGTTACACCCAGGTGGCCACCTTCATGGCCTCACTGTCATGGCCTCACTATCATGGACTTTCTGACTGGGAACTAAAACCCTGCACTTCTAATCCACATTTGGCTGACCCAGGAAGAAACACCCTGTGTGTCTATCTTCCTTTTGTTGGAAATGATTGATTTTATTTTCTTTTGTCACTTCCTGTTCTATGTATGGGGTCTTGTGTGTGTGTGTGTGTGTGTGTGTGTGTGTGTGTGTGTGTGTGTGTGTGTGTGTGTGTGTGTGTTTGTATATGTGCATGAGTACAAATGTATGTGGAAGCCTGAGGTTGATGTTGGAAATCATACCTCCACTTATTCACAGAATCAAGATCTCTCCGTCAAACCCAGGCATCACCTATATGACTTGTCTTGCTAGCCAGCTTGCTCTGGGTAGCCCCTGTCTCCCCCTTTGGAGGACAGAATTACAGGTTTGCCACCATGCTCACCCAGTATTTGTGTGGGTTCTGAGGGATCAAACTCTAGTCCTTACACTTGTGAGGCAAACACTTTAACCACTGAGCCATCTCCCCAGTCCCTGACATGGATATAAACAGAGTATGAGATTGAAAAACTGGATCTCATTCAGGGGCTGAAACATTCTATAAGTGCAGGGGGAACTAAATTAACTTCAAATTCTAACCCGGGGAGTTAGGCAGAAGATTCATTTACTTTTTGGCATTGTACATCTAAAAAAACACCCAGAATGCTGAGATGCTTGAGGTAGGCAGGAAAGTGCCCTGAGGTTTCTAATGTCCCTCATTTCTCTCATGGGGCCCCGGGGCAAGAAAGTATCAGAAGGTTTAGAATGGTGCTGGTGACCCTTTTGACAGGAGGAAATGATTAAAGGACCTGATGGCTTGAAGGTGATGGCTGGACCTACTTATGAAAACATCACAAATTAAATAACATAGAAACCACATGGGCCTAGCAGGGTCACAATATGTCTCAGTAACAAAAGATAGGAGATAGTAAGAAAGAAATGGATCTTTTTGCTACTAGTAAGAACAAAAATACACAGACATAAAAGGATTAGTTCATTCAACAATATTTCAGAATGGCCAGGAAAAGCTACAAATGACAGATGGCACAACATTTACTTTTTGAAATAAAATTAATCCAAGGAAGGATGCAATGTTCCAAAACCTAATATGGCACCTGCCACTGTGCTGAGTCTAAGTCAGACCAAGCAAACAGAAGCAGAAAAACAGGCAGGGCCCCACAGACACTAAAATGGTTTTAAAATCAGACATAAAAGAATCAAAAGAGATTGAAACAAAAAAGTTGATAATTTTTCTTAATAAATATTCCTAAAATGAACAGGGTACCACTGATGACTTCTGCTTTCAGGGCATTATTACATGGCCATCTTTCTATTGATAGAAACATTCTTAGATGGCATGAGCTCTGGGAAATGTCTAAATAAAGTAGTTACAACTATTTAAATATAAAAAAAAAACTCCGATTTTTTTAATCAAACAAGATCTGGACATGAAAAGATGAGAGAAGGGTAAGTATACCAAAGAGGAAAGGATAGGGAGAGAGAGAAACTGAAGGAGAAGAATGGGTGGTTGTCCTAAGGAGGAAGAAAATGAGCCTGCAGCTTGCTAAAATGGCCAAAGAAAGTGAAATATTATCTCTTCTTGCATATACTTTGATTTTGCTGATAAATCTCCAACAAGGGTTTTTATCTCTTTTTAGTCTTTTATCTCTTTGTGACTACCCAACTATGAGAAAGGGCATTGACAGTAGTGTCAGGATTAATGTGGAATATAGGTTTCAGAGGTAAACTTTCAAATGAGCTCCTAAGCATGTTAGCTATTTAAAAGTAGCTCTGACTCTCCCTTCTTGAAAATGTAGTTGCAAATGAACATATCTCTGGAAGAGCAGGGACAAGGGCCTTTCCATTGAAGTGATCAATACCTGATCCTTCTTCAGTCACCATCCCAAGTCCTTCAGCTTTGTTTTGCCTCTCAAAGGCATTCAGGTCGAGGACACTACAATAAAAAGAAAGAAGACATTCACAGGACAAACAGGTCATTTTCTTTGTTCAGGGAGGCAAATGCCTACACACTAAAATGCCTTCAAATGTGCACTAAATGGTAGTATTTGCTGAAAACATTTCCCAATCCACTGCATTCCATTCTCATTTTCCTAGAGGCAGACCAGCCAACCTCTCTCCAGGGCCCACAATGAATGATCTATGGGAAAGTCAAGTACAAGGTTCATAGATTTCATCTCAGAGAGAATATTACTGTTAACAAATGTGCAGAAATACAATGGTTGTGTTTCTGCAACTGGAACTGCTTGCATTAAACTTGTATCAAGCTTGTCAATCAAATGTTCCCTGAACGATTCTAAACAATGTAAAAAACGGAAAATGACTATTGCAATGAGATAATTAGAGATCACTATGAAAACAAAATGAGAAATGCCCCCATTAAAATGGCCTTCAAAGTTCCCAAATAACACTCAACAGAATTTTCTGTTTTACCTTGTCTTAAAACAAAACAAAACTGTAAGGCTTATTTTCAAGTACAGAGAATGTACTTCATTCTCAAAGGTCCCTATTTAAGCCCACAGACTCCGAAAACACCTACTAAAGTGTTACTTAAGACATTACTAACACTCTACAAACAAGACAGGCAACAAGACACCACCTACCAACTCCTTGTTCATGAAACATGCTTGTTTGTCTAATAACTGTTGTGCAATACCAAACAAATACTTTGAATCATGCCACTGTGTAAAGCAGGACCACCTACATATCCTACATATCCTCACCTACAAGACTGCATGAGGCCCGCCAAGCTCTGGAAGAAGCCTACATCCTTCTTCTCCTTCAGGTAGTCCAGCATCTTCTACAGAAACAGAGAAAACACATGGTTGCTGAGCACAAATGTGCTGTTAGCTTTTAAAGTAAAGAAACATACAGAGACTCATCACTGTTTGAAATCTTGAGAATATGTGACTTTTGGACACTCAGCCTTCAATGAGACATCTCTATCACCCCATCAGGGAATATCACAAAAGAAGGGGCAGAGAGAATGCAAGAGCCATGGGAATGGGTGGAGTATGCGGAACATCATCTCCTGGATGTGATATGGTCTTACACTCTGGCTCTCAGCTGCTATGGTTACTTGCACAAGCCCTGCACAAAATTGGGACAGTCAACATTCCATCATGGAGGGGACTAGAGGCCCTTCCTTCTGTAAGGATCTTTAGGTAGTTAATGGTAGCTGGATAATGGCAAGTCATTTTCTTCGGTGGTGCAAGTACTGGCAAGTTGCCTGTGCTCCTGTGAGTAACTAAACCCTAATTAACTCACTGAGCCATCAAAAGAAAAATATAAGAAAGCAGAAGAGGAACTAGGTGGGAAAAGGAAGGGGAACAGTGGGAATGGGAGGGGGACAAGAGAGGGTAACAGGGCTGAATAGGATCAAAATATATGTGTGTGTGTGCAAATGTCATAACAAAAGCCACCATCATGTAAAAAAACACGTGCTCATAAAGTTTGTATAAATAAATAATCAAGTTATGCTGTCTATTCTCAAACAAATGCTTAAAAGAAGTCTATGCACACAAATACTACTATTGCTGTCTTTCCCATGACGTAACAATAACCATTGGGAGTGAGGCTGATGCACACTGGCAGGTGTGGCTGTAGCTAAACATGAGCAACCATAAGCACCCTGTTGGGAGAGTGACACTGGTAATTCATTCCTGCCACTGCCTAAGTATTTAGACATTCAGATTTCGAGCACACATAAACCTGAAGGTTCATGTGGACACTGTGCACAGGGTTCCAGCCAAAGGTCGGTTCTATAAGCAGCATCAGCAACAGAGAGCTGGAGGAGGAACCTTGTGCTGATGTGGCAGAGCCACAGTTTTTACCATCTCAGTCGCAGATTCTGAAGTAAAGCAGAAACCAGTGACCCATTCAGCAATTCTTCTCTATTCTCAAAGGGGATGTTCAGAGTCCGTAATCAATATTTTTGGTTAATCATGAATTCAAAACATGCTAAGGCAGTGGCTAGATCTGTCTGGTCAGTTGCTTGCTACACAGCATCACAAAACAGCTATCCCTAATAAGGATATTATGTTTGAGGAGTTTCACATAAAAAGTATGCATCTCCCTCTATACATGATGGTTCGTTCCATTTTGGATTTAAAAAAAAAAAAACTTTATGATGCTGCAATAGGGATATGCATTACATAGAATGTACACCTTGAATTTGAGATATTTTTTATAATTTAATTTAATTTTACATATCAGCCACAGATTCCCCTGTCCTCCCTCCTCCTGCCCCCCCCCTCCAGCCCACCCCCCCCCCAGCCCACTCCCCCATTCCCATCTCCTCCAGGGCAAGGACTCTCCTGGGGATTCAGCTCAGCCTGGTAGATTCAGTCAAGGCAGGTCCAGTCCCCTCCTCCCTTCACCCAGGCTGAGCAGTGTCCCTGCATAGGCCCCAGGTTCCAAACAACCAGCTCATGCACTAAGGACAGGTCCTGGTCCCACTGCATTCTTTTCCTAGCATGGCTATGTGCAGTGTGATAATCTCACACAAAGCTAGGGGGCATCAGAGAACTATGGTTCTGCCTTCAAAGGACTGGGACCAGAGGGCAAATAGCTCAGCCTCTAACTACATACTGTGTATGGAGCTATGCCATCTCATAGGACTGGGATAGTTAATAATGCCATTTCAACACATGGTTTCAACCTGTGATGAATTTATCGGACAAAACCCCACTTCTAGTTGGGAAGCATCTGTATACATGAGATAATGGGCACACTCAAGGGTTAGGGGAAGGTACTGCTTTGCTACTTAAAAGTCAAGGGGACCATGTGGAGGAAAGGAAGACCTTGAGTGGGAAGGGGATAAGAGGGACCAATGAGAGGGCAAACACTGTCATAGAACATGAGGTATTTGAATAAAAATGTCCATATGAAACATAGCACTTCATACAAGGGCTATGTGCTAATGAAGTTTTTAAGGCAAACAGAAAATCATATCGTGTGGCTTGCTCAATGTTAGTTACCTGCTGTACTGTGGAGTTCCCACCATTTAAAATAGCAATGCCCAGTTTCAAAGTAGCAGCCACCATTGGTCCAGTTTCACCTTTTTAAAGACATAGAAACAATAGAATTCCATTTCTTTCATGATGTTAACTTATATTATCTCAAAAACAAACAAGAAACCACAACACACTTTTAAAGTCCTTATTACCCCATATAAGTCTCTGTTATGGAAAGGGGGCCAACTGATGTATGTAACAAAAAGCATGAATGTAATCAAACCACACCAACCTTCCACTGCTAATATTTTAATTATATTCTGTGTAATGTATTCAAGAATGGGAACTACATGAAGATATAGGAAAGAATGAGAAGAAAACTTGACTCTGAAATACTGACTGGAAGTACTAAGGTTCAAGCTTATATATATATATATATATATACACATACATATATAAAATCTATATTAATATCGTAATATATCCATATTAAGATAATATTTAAATGAATACGAGCTACTTAGAGCTCCCCTGAAGGAAAATGTCTTGTCCTCCTTCAAAAGTATTATATTTTAACTTTTGTCATTTTCATTAATTACTTTTAATATATTAATATACTCTTTTTATGTATATTTTCAGTTTTAAGCTAACTGGATAATGACAAAAAACTAGTTATCTATCATTGGTTGTATCTTGTTTCTATATTATTAACCTCTACTTGGGGCAATAGGTTTTAATAACATATACATTACTTAAAAAAACACGACTTTTTTTCCATCTTTCACCTTACATTTTCTATTTGAGTACAAGTAACGTTAAAAGTGTTTCTCTCGTGTCCTTTACTGCATTCAGTTCTTCCTCAACATTTACTTTTCATTCTTTCTTGTTCTCTTTTCTACATGTCACACTGTTTTCACATGTACATTTGTTTATATATAATATACAAAATAAAATCTTTAATCTATAAAATTAGCTACATGCTGTATATGAGAGAGAACATGTAGACTTTTTTCTGAGATCACGTGACGTCATTTAATATTCTACACTCTAAGTCCACCCATGGATGTGAGTTATGAAAGAGGATATGAAACTATTTGTTCCTCTAGTTCTAACTCCATTGTGGATTTTTTACTTTTTGGTGGTAGATAAGTGCATAAAATATATCTGATATTGAAAGAATAAAAGTGTGAAGCTCCACACCTCTGTTCTAAGTGAATATTCTAACTATACAGAAGTTCACTGAGTTATATATTGTGTCTGGTTAATTTTATTATGTGATTTAATTTAGCAATTTTTAATAATATTTAGAAATTTAAAAAATGTTTTCACAAAAATGTTACTAACGTGGGAAAATAATCTTGAAATAACTGGTTAATGAGGTGTACAATCTTTTATTAATTTTAAATGATTCATTTAAGATGTCTAAACATTTCTATCAAAATTCAGCAAATTATGGCCCAAGGACCAAGTATAGCCTCTATCTGCACCGTAAATAAATTTTTATTAGAACACAGACTTTGTGTTCAGTATAGTATCTAGAAAATGGAGCCCCCCCTAGTGGAGGTGGGCAGGAATGAACCTCATTCTTGCTGGCTCTGAGTGGCGCTCCTTGTGGGACATGAATAAACCTCATCTTTGCTGGTGCTGAATGGTGACCCTAGGGGACAGCAACAAACCTTACCTTTGCTGGCACTGATTGTCTGAAGCACCATCTCTGCTGCCCCACGGTCATGCAGTCTGGCTTGCTGGTAGAGAAGTTTCTGCTTCTCCATTTCTTTTTCCTGAACACAAATCCCAACCATTTATGTAGTGGCTATCAGACATCACAACAGTTCTCTACAGACCACATTTCTAGTTATCTCTTCATGTATGGGCTCTATGACAACATTATGGACCATTTCAACACCAACAATGTCATCAAACAGATAGGCACATATTCAACTCATGGTTTGGTTTTGTTTGTTTTTTTTTCCCTTGATATTTTTCCCGATATACTTTTAGTATTGGTTTATCAGGATGCATTTTTTTCTCAATTTTAATTGGTTGATCAGTCCAAAGCCTGTTTCACACTTCATCTTTGAAACTTGCACGTTCCGATTGATACATCTGTGCATAGAGTTGGTCATGTATTTTTGGTAATCTCCTAGGTCATGGCCATAACTTGATACTGCTCAGCAAATGGCTCGAGTTGCAAGTTACCAGTGAATCACAGAAAAACAAAAACAAAAAGAACATTAACTTAGACGTCTCGGAGTTTAAGCAAAATTGAAAGCTGATATGGATAAAAAAGGTAGGCTTCAACTGAGTCGTGGGTTTATGATACAGATCACCCCAATTGCCCCCCAAAGAATAAGAGAAGCAATGTGCCTTTATATTTTGTATTCTCAGGAGGTAACAAAAGAGACTGCATGGTGCCGCTAGAGCAATGGCTGGTGTTTGTTCTTTTCCACTTAAGCTACCGCTGTGAACATAAAGAAGGAAATCAAGAGGAAAATATAAAGGCACAGCAAGTTCAAGGCTGCTATGATCATTCACTTGAGCAATCCAGTTCGCTGGAGAATTGAGACGGAACTAAGCAGTATAAGTTGCAGAGTGCAAGTTGCATAGAGCCCTGTGACAGCGCGTCCATCGAATGGCGTGGTAGAGAAGCTTAGTCAATGGGACATGAAACGCTCAATTAGTATCATGTCCGTTAACACAACGGCCAAAACATAAGTGACCTAGGGCAGTAGGCACCGCAGCAGTAGCCAGGATGACAACTGTGCCGCCGTCAACTTTCCATCCAGAGTACGGAAAATAGACATTGAAAGATGGAAGAGGTTTAAAAAATGAAGGCTTGCTCATTACAGAGTATGAGAAAGAAAGTGAACTAAAAGGAGGGGGGCAGGGGAGAAATGGGTTCAAACAAATGAAAAAAAAAAGAAAGAAAGAAAGAAAAAGAAAAGAAACCTTCAAATCAAAAGCAACCAACACAGACATTTATGCTGTTACCAGAGAGTTCTCGCCGAGGCTGGCAAATTTGTTTCTTAAATCTTTGATAATATCGTGCTGCAAAAACAAAATTGATCAGGTGTTTTTGTTGGTTTTTTTCCATACTTTAGTTAAGAGTTCCTGTGATAAAATTTTTTTTTCCTTAAATTATGTGATAGGCCTAAATGGAAGCAGAGAAAGAAAAATAAAAGAGGCCGCTGTGCTTCGTCTGTAGCCATGCTAACGTTAGCCTGAAAGGGTTGCCTTCATGTTTAAACCTCTTCCTGAGAAATCAAAAACAACAGAAACGAAACCACACAGACACACAAAACCATACTGTCATTACAACACAGGTGTGAGAAAACAGAAAAAAAAAGACCCCTTTGTCTGCTCTCCATTCGTGGTTTAAAATTCATGATCAACAACTGATTCTTCCTTTTGGACCCAATACTCTTTTACTTTCCATCTGTCGCCAGAGCTGAAAACAGAACCTGTATTTAAGGTAAGCCTAACCAACTCCATCTCCAAAAAGACTCTCGGGAAGACAAAGACAAGAAGTTCCACTCTGCGGAACTGTCCCCTACCACTTTTCACTAACCAAAAAGGCCAAGAGGTTGGGGAAAAAAAACCATCCATCTACCAAAAGCACAAAGATAATCTCCAGAAAGCCATGAAGAGGAACAAGGGCAGTGAGACAAGTACCAACGAAAATAAAAGCAACCATCCGCTGTTTGTGCTCCCAAAGTGGGTGGATTGGCTCAGAGACCTGCTCAGACACCTCCTAATCAAGCTCCCACTGTTATCTTTATCACTGAAATCACACTGGATACTTGAGCTCAGGGAAACCAGGAAGTTGACGGGACAGCAAATCCCCTTCTCTTATAAACACAACCCCTAGACAAAGACCATTTTCATTTTTCATATCTGACAACTAAATTTCAATAGTGATGAATATTTCTGGAAGAAACGGAAAATATTGGAAAACAACTGGGCAACTGAGAATACCGATAAAGAAGCAAAACAAACACACAAAACCAAAACCAACCAACAGCAACAACAAACAAAGGCTCCTGCTTCACGAAGAAAGGTGGCAAATTTTCTCTTGGTTCCACTGAGCTGGGGGCTTGCTCTTCTGATCTGTGTAGGATTATGTTTTTTTTTCTGGTACATTGTCCTTGGGAACTTCGTCCAGGTGTATCATTTTAATTTCTCATTGAGATATTTTGTCATGCCATAAAATAAATAAAATTAGAAAACTAAGACAGAAAGATGGATTACATGCAAAGAAATTATTTTTCCTTCAAACTGCATGTGAGCTTTCCTAAGAAAGTTGCAAATTTGAAAAGTATTTTTTATTTATCCTTCCTTCCTTCCTTCCTTCCTTCCTTCCTTCCTTCCTTCCTTTCTTCCTCTGTCTCTCTGTCTCTCTATCTGTCTGTCTCTGTCTCTCTCTCTTTCACTCTTTCTGATAGTATTCTGACATATAGCACAGTCATCCCAGGAACTTGAGATCCTCCTCCCTGCATTCACGAAAGCCGTGGAATCCAGGTGTGCTCCATCATGTCCAGCATTTGAGGTAGGCTTTTGAAAAGTCTCTTACTGGGGACACAGAATCTTAGGTTCCCTGCCCCTTGCAGATTACATTTCCTTCCCTACGGCTCTTACAGAAACACCATTGCAGCTTTGTCTTTAGTTATTCCCTGGTGACAAAGGACGAGAGAACAAAGGCAGCACCACGGCCTGCATGCTCCTTGAGACAAAACATTCTGATTGCCAAAATTATCAGCTTTCTGCTGTTCTAACCAAACTGGTGTCTTTTCAAAATCCATTAGGGTCATGAACCAGACCCCTGATCCAATTGCACACCTTGATGGAAATACAGGATGTCAGGAATGTTTCCTTCTTGTGTAATCGCAGCTCCTGACAACGTGACTCATCTTCTTTAAGAGACCCTCAAGCTTCTGTGCTGGTGGGAAAACAAAAGCTTCTGAAGAGGAAATAAAGATATACACAGTTCTTCGATGATTTTTCCTTAGCTGAGAATTGAAATAATAATGAACTTCAACTGTTCCTTGATCCTTGAGGGAGAAAGTAGCACATCCCAAAAATGAAGATGAGAGGGTAGTTTAACCTGAAGACAGCAAAGAAGAGCAGACTGCTAAAAAAGCATTTTCTCAGTGGCCTGGACATGGGGGTAGCAGAGGCCACACCTAACCAATCTGCAGCCCATGAATCAAAACAAAGAACTCAGTTCCGTTGATTTTTTTCCTCTGTATTTCCAAGATTCCAATAAGGTCTTCATGCATTCCTCTTTAAATAGGATGAAAAAACTGATGTAATCGAAACAAAGAGAAGTTTCCAGAAACCGAATTCTTCTTAAAAATGTCTCTCATCATTTAGTAATGTTTCAACATTTAGTCATGCTCCAACTGCAAATATCCTTTGGTATCTTAAAATAAAAGGTGAGGTGGAGTGTTTCACAATTACTAACAACTAAAAGAAAAAATGAAAGCTGGGAAATCAGTTGGACAAAGCAGGTGACAAAGACAAGGGGTTGAAGAGCAGAGAGGTACATTGGTTTATAATGCAAACGAGCCAAATTAGAGTAAAGAAAACCACCACCATAAGTGAGAGTCTTGTGCTATTCTGCAGCTAATTGTGTTGTGTTCCAGCTTTAGATTGGTCTTTTTATAGAGCTAATTTATGGTTATTTAAGAACAAAAAGCACTGAAAAGAATATAACTTTACTTATTGATATATGCTTTCCAATTTCTTAACAAAAATAACTCATATAGTGTTTACCAGTAGAAGGCCATATGAGGATGGGAGCCTGTTGTAACCATAAAACCAGCAAATACTTAGCATATTATACTGGATGTATAGGAATTTGGAAGTGTTCCAGAAAATCTGAATGAATACCAGACAGGTTTAGACAGTGTGACACCATAGTACCATGTAGGTGTGATCATAACTTGAAATATTGCAAGTGATATCTTCTAGTTTGAAAGATAAGCAACATTGTGGAAGTATATTTAGTTCCTTTTAGCACAAGGCCAAATGGGACTTCAGAATTATATTAATACAAATAAATCATAATTATCAGATGGTACACTTTAGTTTGTTTAATATTCTCTTTCTACCTTTTATTCTCTTTATGACTAAACTTTCAAACACTGCAGCAATTTCACAAAATCCTACCTCTCTACAGGATGGACATAATTTCTATGGCTCTCCAATAAAAACAGAAAAGAAAAAATATGTTATGATTCAAAGCATGTTTTGCTGAAATAAAAGGTTAATGAAAGTCTCACTAACACAGCCAGACAAGAGAAACACTGAGCCAGAAGTGAATGTTCCAGCCAGTGTGCTGGAGGCTCTGAGGGCAAGATTTATTACACAGTGTGTTCTCACTGTTGACTTCTTCCAATATCATTTCTATCTAGATTTGGGGGTGAATAATGTTCCCCCTTGATTCAGCATTTTAAAAGCCAATTTAGAACAAATGTTAATACAACCAGTTCAGTTGAAATATTTTCTGGCAGGTCTAGCCAGTAGAAATTATTCTCTATCACAAAAAGCTCCATTAATGGACCATTAAAAACTAGGGAAAGACAATTCTAAAGTCAAGACCAAATCGACAAGATTTAGCCAACGTGGCTTACTCTGAGCACAAAACTGATTTAAAACTACCTTCATCTCCTACTTGCTTTTGTTTAAAATGTCTTGAGTACAGAAAGAAAATACCATACAATCCTTTCTCTACTGACCAAGCCTGACAAAAAGAGAAAATGTTGACCACTAGGAATATAAAGCCATGGTTAGATCATGTGATGGTTCATCTCCACTGTCAACTTAACAGGATTTAGAATGACCTAGAAGACAAGCCAAAGGCTTATGTGTCTATGGGAAGTTTACCAAAGGGTTTAACTGAAAAGGGAACTACATTCACACCCTGAATGTAAACAGCACCATCCATGGGTGGGGGTCTCAAACTAAATAAAAAGAAGAAAATGAGCTGAGCATCAGCATTTATCTCTTTCTGCTTCCTGAGTGCAGATGCAATGTGACCAGCAGCCTTGTGACCATGCCTCTATGCCTGACCCTTGTGACAGATTGTGCCCTTCAATTGTGAGACAAAGTAAACCCTTCCTTCCACAAGTTGCTCTTGTCAGAGCTATGAGAAAAAAAAAAACCCTAATATAGTTCATGAAGGTATGGGATGCCATATTAATTTGTGGGAGATAGGGAGTTAAAAATACCTTTCAGCATTGAATGACCCACAACTCATCATTTGATTTTTTTTTTTTAGACACCATAACTCTATAACTTGAGTTTCCATGGTTCTCAGTTCTCAAGTCTGGTTCTTAATTCTAAACTAGACTAATTCTGGACAAATGGCTGTTCTTAATGCAGCTCCCAGTGCCTAATTGAGGGGTATCTCTTTAGCTTAGAGCAGGAATTTTCTACAGGTTACCTTAGGGATGCACATGCTTCTTCCATCCTTGCATACACTTACTATCTATCCTCAGATGGCACATCATAATTTCCTTGACAGAATTATTGAGAACATTTTTCATTATGTCACAACTTGTCCTCAGGGAATAAATTCTATTGTAACATTAAATTAAAAAAATCCGTTTCTCTCAAAGAAGACTTTTTGCTTATTGATCTAATTAACAAGTATTGTGATTTCAAGTTGGCTCACAGAAAGCTTTGAGTCAAATGTGCTGATAGTCACCACACACTGGCAAGATTCTGGCATGGGTTTAGTGTGTGGATTAAATTTATTGTTGGGATTCTTTCCTCTGTGGTGTGCAATACTTTATCTCTCTGTCTTGCTGCATTACATACAGTTACATGATATTCTAAGTATCAAATGAGGAAAGACAAGGATACATGTTCTTTCTTATTTACTCTACATAACTTGGTTAAGGATAAGCTTCTTCCAGTATTATTTTTTAAAAGCTTAGACATGAAGTCAAATTACTGTAATATGAAAAACAATATGAAAACATTCTAACTTTAAGTACATGTCCTCTACACAGTGTGGAAGGGTCCCATATTTATGTACATGATTTATATAAAATGTAAAGAACTGTGTTTCCCAGTTTCTCTTACAAGGGTTAGCATCCCACATCCTCCTAATAACTCCACTCTCAAAACCTTGGACTTGATTCTGAGCCCTAAAGGCTCTGTAAGTGACTGTGACTATAAAATCTGGATGCTACCACTGCAAGCCTACACCAAGGAAACTCCTTCATGATAGAGATGGTCAGGCCTCAGAGCTAGGCTCTGGAAAAGCTGGGGCAAACATGGATCTGGCTTTTTTGGGGTTGGCTGTAAGACCCAGTGAATACCAGGAGGCAAGGAGAAATGAACTTCTCTTACCAAAACAACATTGGAGACACTCATCTTTTTTCCCATCCTACAGGAGCCACTGACCCATATGACCCATGGTCTCTTTGGAGGCACCCCACCACTAAACAGCAATGACACTGTTCAGTAGCTATGGTTACTTCTTGTATTTCCTTTCTTCCTTCTATCATTTCTCCCTTTCTCTAACTCTTACTTCCCTGGAACTGTAAAACTCTCAATCCAAATGACATGTTAGCACACAAGCTTATGGTTTCTGTTTACCAGGAAACCTGAGCTAGCAACACACTGAATGGGATCACCAGGTTGATAAATATAAATGAATTTGACAGACTGCATTAGTGTTCCATCAAACTCCTCAGTCCCTGGCTCTCTAAGATTCATTTGTGATGCTTTAGTCTGTATTCTAGATGTGTGAGGCTTCCATGGTGGGAGTTAAAGATTTCCAGTTTTCTTGATAAAGGAATTGCTAGATCAACATTTTATAATCACAATTCTGTGTCTGACTCTTAGATATTTCATAGTTCTTATTTCTAAATAAACCAAATCAGAGTTCAAATTATGTAGTTACTTGGGGCAGAACATCTTGTATCCAATTCAGTTTTTCAAAACTATGAAAAAATGGAGTTCTTCAAAATTAAACCTTTAGGGTGTCCTAGCATATGTTATATTATCACTGGGAGATGCTATCTATTATCGGGCCATTAGACAGTTTGGCTCTAAACTGATTCCTCCAGCCTTTGTGTTATGGTTTGAACCATGAGATGGGTACTGGTATGGGCATTGATTCACAAAAGGCATATCTTTAGCTACATCTGAGGCACATCCAGAGAAAAACATGCAAAACTCCCTAAACCCTTACCAGAATTCCAGCTCAGCCACAGGTAAATTTTACTTAAGACTCAAGAAATTGTTCTGAATCTAAACTACAAAAAAATAATAATAGGGCCTCAGTGATACCTGAGAAAATTTATATCTGAATTGGAACTCAGAAAGAAAGAGAAAAAGGGATGCAACTTATTTATCATGTGAGAAAGGCAGTCAGAAGAGAAGTCCATGTTCTGCCCTTCTCACTTACCATTCCACTTTCACTAACTTAGATTTTCAGTGGGTTATAAAACTGTATTTTAGAACCTTAATATTTCACAAAAGTGTGCTTAGTGAATTATATTTTCAAATGAAGATTTTATTTTTAATCATGTGCACATGGATGATATGCTCATGGAGAACAGAAGAGGGCATTGGATACCCTGTATCTGAAGTTACAAGTGGTCATGAACTGCCCTGTGTGGATGCTGGGAACCTAACTTGGGTTCTCTGCAGTAAGAGGAGCAGTATGCCCTCTTAACCAATGAGCCAGATCTCAAGCCAAGGTTATTTTAAAGTCATATCCTCAATTGCTTGCTTGATGGGAGCAACAGAGCAGCCAGCCATCTGAATAATGTTTCCACGGAGTTTGATAAATCTGAAAGGTAAATAAAGCATTCGACTACAATAGTTGACTTGCTGAGTACCTGAAAAAATACTTCTACTTTCTAACATTTAATTATTTTTTATTATTTTAATATTGAAGTATCCACAGATCTAAAAAAGAATAATTAAGTTTGCTATTGTGGTATTAAATGGGCAAAGCCAACAGATTTGTGCTATACTATAAAGGAAGTAGGGAACTGACAGTTAAACTAGATAGTTAAACCAGTTGAGCTTCAGCAGGATCACACCAATAAGACACACAGGTGATGAAAAGAAGAGAACTAGGGGACACTTTGGTTCCCATTTGCTATTTTCTGTGATTTTTAAATTTTTTTTATAGCCATTGGGAAATTTTCTTGTAACACCACATTTCTTAGCATAGCTATTTCTGTACTTTTCTTGATGTCTTTGCTAAATATGCTACAAAGAACTTGAGTAGAAACTATGGCCAGTTTTAACAACCCACCAGGGAGACTGGGATAAAATTCATATATCAATTTTTTTGTTCTTTCCAAGCTTATGTGGCATAATTTATTCTATGAGTTATTGAAACTGGCAAATACTATTTCAGTCACTATGACTTACAAGAAAAATTCTGCAATTAGATTACACAGAAATTCTGTCAACCAACCAGACATCTCCATGTAAACAGTCTGATGGATCACTAAATGGATAAGGAAAAGTAATCACTCAGTTGTCTATTTAAGCTTCCCCCCCCCCCCCCCCCCCCCCCGTTTTTGGTAGCCTCACACATTCAACCTCAGAGTAAATGGTGTTCATAAGTGATGGGTTGTATATAACTTGTTTTTAAACTCTGAAAAATGTGATAACACTTACTCGTATAGCATGCATTTTGCAAAGAATAGCAAGTTACTGAATTAAGCATATATCTCCCAAATCACATAAATATCATAAAACTACTAGTATGGAATTGAAAATCCTCAAACATAGCCTACTGTTTTACTTATGAGTGTGTGGCAACTTCTAAGAGCTTTAGAATTTTGTCTTGGGCTGAGCAATGCTGAGGGATGGTCTGTATGTCAAGTGTGTTGCTGATTGGTCAGTAAATAAATCACTGATTGGCCAGTGATTAGGCAGGAAGTATAGGCGGGACAAGGAGGAGAATAAAGCTTGGAAGTGGAAGGCTGAGTCAGAGAGACACTGCCAGCCGCCAAGATGACAAACAGCATGTGAAGATGCCGGTAAGCCAGGAGCCATGTGGCAAGGTATAGATGAATAGAAATGGATTAATTTAAGCTATAAGAACAGTTAGCAAGAAGCCTGCCATGGTCATACAGTTTGTAACAAATAGAAGTCTCTGTGTTTACTTGGTCGGGTCTGAGCGGCTATGGGACTGGCGGGTGAGAGAGATTTGTCCTGACTGTGGGCCAGGCAGGAAAACTCTAGCTACAGAGCTAGTCAAAGCTGCTGGACCACTTCTCCTATTTGGGGATTAGCAATCAGGTCTCACCATCAGATGAATTTGACCATCGCTCTAAACCTAAAGGCAGCCTTCTTTTCTCTCTGCCCTAGCTCTGTTCTGTGGCTGGTTCTTCTCCCCAGCTTGACCCATATCCTACACTCCGAACATCACATTTGTCATGTTAGCCCTTCCCAGGAACATCTCCAAAGCCTCTAAGTTTAGGCCTGTAAATCAATTCCATCGGTTTCTAGATCTTCCTAAAATTCCAACCTTCCAAGTAATTTGTCTGGCTATAGACACTCCTCATCCTGCTCTATCCTATCCACTCCTCCTGATGCACCTATCAGTGGACTCTTGGTTATAAATGCCTGTGCTAGCCAGGAAACCAAGTGTTTGGTTAATGTTAGAAGGTTCCTTTATGTTTCTATCATTTATAGGAGCTCTACCTAAGGTGAAAATCAAAATGTAAGAAGTTATTATTAGAGCCACTATCTATTATAGAAGCTTACTTTGCTTTTAAGTTTGATGTCCACTATATGTCATGGATCATGGTGTCTATTAGATTGGAGCTGAACTGTTATTCACTTGAATTTTAAAATTACAATGATCCAGATATGTAATAAGAACAATATATTCTAGTCAGCTAAAACATTGCAATTTGTTTATTCTAAATAGAGTCTTCATAACAGTCACTGAAAAAATAAAGCCATTAGGAGCATTGCCTCCCCAGGGTATTTATGATCAACTTTCCTGTAAAAATGACCTCATGAAAATAAAATTCAAACTTCACATAAAATATACAAAATAAAAACATCATGTAATTCTAGGTTAAAATGTCTTCTATTTGCAGAATTTCCAGATGAAATATTTAAAATGCCAAGAGGCAGAAACAGTCATCCAGAGTCCTTTTCTTTTAATAAAGTGCCAAAAATCAATGTTAAAATTATGATACCTATACCCCAGGTGCCAATTAAAGGAACAGGAAAAGGAAAAAGAAAAAAGAAAAGAAAAAGCCAACCTCACTATCCTTGCCAGTAATACCATTTACCATGTCTGCTTTACATAAGGAAACAGGTATGAGTAACATTCAAAGTGATGAGGCCCAGGTCCTTCCTATATGGGACAGTCTCTAGTTACATGTTTATCCACTAAAAGGCCAAACTCATCCAGCACAGTATGCAGCTCAGCATTATCATGGAGGACACAATTTCAAATCATGAGTCATTTAAATGGCAAGAAAGAGTAAATCAAGGAAGGGATACTAAGCACTACAAACTCTCAGAATGGTTCTAAAGATCTTTTCTTACAAAAGAGTCCAAGACTTTGGGTCTAATACATGTAAATGCCACAAGAAACTGAAACTCAGACCCAGACAGATACACACATACACATGTCTTTACCTTGCTGCGTTGGGATCCTGTGACCTTAAGGAAGGATGAGGACAAGAAGCAAAATAGCAATAAACAGCTGCTCTGGAGACAATGGATAACCCGCAAAGGAAAACAGTACCATTTGCTGCCTGTGGACTGCTCTAAGTTCCCTGTCCCCTTCCAGGAAGGGTGGACTTAAGACTAGAACTCACGTGTGTTAGCAAGGATTGGGCAGGAAATGAAACTTGGGGCGTTTTGCTCAGCCAGCAATAGTCATGGGTCATTTTCAAATTATGTTGTTCTTTTGTTTGTTTGTTTGTTTGTTTTAATACACTGACTTCAATACTGCAGAGATGGTCACATTGGTTATTTCTGGAAGTGTCATGGAATAGTCTCAGTTTATTCCTTGTTTCTGTGTGCTATGTTCCCACCATGAATTAAGGACTCATTGCTGGCTACTTATATTTTTCCAGACTTCTAGCTCAAAGTCCATATATATATATAACTATTAGGAAAAATCTACTCTCCATTTTCTTCTAGTTTATTTCTCTTTTTTAAAAAAATGCAGTAAATCAGAAACTGATAGTTAATAACAGCTAGCTAGTCTCCTAAAGAAGCAAAAGTACACTATAAGCAAAGTAGGGAATGAAATGATCTTTCTTTAATGCTAATTAACATTAAGCAGTAATTCAAATCATAGGCAAATATTTAAAGGTTGAGAATGCTTGAGAAAATAATCATGAAATGGAATCTATCCTAGAAAAGATGCGCCTCTACTTCATGCAAGCAAACTGCACCATGGCAACCACTTACATATGTGTACTGAATGAGTGACCTAATTGGGCAGAAGTCAGGAGGCCAATTGATTCAGAAAAGAAAATGTCCAAAACCAATGGAATCATTAAAAACTTTATGCCATGTTGTTCTTCAATAGGTATTTTCCTCGTGTGTCTATTGGCAATTACAGACCACAGCATCCCTAAGATGCGAGTAATTTGAAGTGGTCTCGTCTCTGTGGGCTGCCAGGTGCACTCATTCTGGACATATGGGCTTTACTGTAGTATTCAACTGCTCTGTGCTCCTTGCTCTTATCTTAGCAAACATTAGGACTCAGGTCTGTCCATCCAGCTCTGACATGCAGTTCCTGGACACAATAAGCTGCAATAAGCCATGAAGCAAGAAACATAAAAGTCCGTTATAAGCTATGAAACAATGTCTCCAAATGGAGAAAAGGCAATTCTAGAAAGATCCATCTTACTTCAAAGCTCTTCACTTCTTCTTCACCGTCATCATCTTCCTCATCGTGACAACTCTGATTTGAGAGAGAAAAAAGTAGAGGATACTATGATGAGGTAGAGAAAATGTAAAATGTTTGTTTAACCTAAACTCCAAGTGATTTGTATTAATATTTCATGAGCACTATTGAAACCGAGTAGATATAAAACTTACACGACACCATCAGTGAATTGGTGAGCTAAAATAAAGCTCTATTTTATTTATAAGATTTTCCCTTTGCAAAATTCAAAGAATAAAAGGCCTATTTCATCCCCAACAGAGGTTACTATGTAGTTCATATGAAGGTTCTCACACTTAACCAACTACTTGTCTGTGCACTTGGCTCATTCAAACCCAAGTGCAAACCTTCAATACAGGGAACCATCCTCGCTTTTGTAGCCTGCCATTGCATGCATTAACTAACACAGATGCATGCCATGGCTGTTATTTAAAATTAACACAAAGCAGTATGCATTGATTACAGTAATGTGTTGCATTAACAAGATTCTTCTAATGCCTTTAAGTTCATTTTTTATCATACTTCACCCAAAGAAGGAAGTAAATTTTTGTTAACAAGATTATTATTTACACACAAAACACACACAACTTCCATTCTACGGAGCCACCAGCATATTCTTAGCTAATTCTCATGGCCTAGACTGCTGTAGGTGGATGTGGCAGAGGGAGATGGTGGCCAGGAATAGGACTCAAAAGGAGGAGGGGAGGAGGTGGAGGAATAAACTCAGGCGGCAGAGGGTTTGGTTTCATGCTGATGCTGCCAGTCAGTAACTAGTCTGACTTGGTAAGTTACTTCTTTCTGTGTCTCCTCTTCTTCATATTGACCATAAGAAAGACCACGTGGGTTCTTAAGGGAATAATATGGATTAATATAAATATCTACCACCTGGGAAAACTATATGAAAGCAATCTGCATTTAATAAATCACAGCTAGGATTTCGAAATACAGTGGTGATCAAAAGGAGCTGGTCATTAACCAATGCCTGTGGTGGGAAGAAACTCTCTGCCCACTGACATTAGATCATGCTAACTGTTCTACAGTGTTTCTTACATTTGTTAAGTGCTCAGTAACTTGTGTGGTGCATAGAAGCAAACAGTGAAGCATGAGTCACAAATTGGAAAAAACACTTGCAACTCAAGGAGTCAGTCACAAATTGGAAAAACACTTGCAACTCAAGGAGACACAGTGCTTTGAGCACAGAGATAGAGATGGAAGAGAGGGTACCAAATGAGACCCCCTCCCAACACCAAGTTAAATTCTAAAAGGCTTCTCATGATCTCTGAGAATTTCAACAAATCTGAGTGAAACTTTATTTTTTCTGTTTGGAACAGCAGACTTGTGAATAAAGTATGTGAAGGGAATGTGGGTGTGTGCACAGGCTTGGGGCATTTGGGACAGTCTCACAATGGGAATCTAGCTCAGGAGCCCAAACACTTTCCTTGTATACAGGAGGCTGTGGGGTCAACTCACAGCCCTGAAGATAAATAAAATTTAAAAAGAAAAGAAAAAGAAATGCTCCACTCCCTCTCACATTTGAGTTATACTTATTTCCCACAGTCTGGCCTTTCCTCCTCCCCTCATTCCTCTTCATCTCCTGAATCCTCTGAGATTTTCACCATACCTATAGATGCTTTCAATGCTTCCCCTGTTCAGACTCCCAGCCTCATGCAGATTTGAACACAGATTTACTCCTCTATAAGCTCACATTAAAGCTCTCTACCTCCCTTGTTTTCTAGTCATTCTTAGTGTCTCTCTGTTCTTTAGGACTCTATCATAAGCTTGCATCTGCTGCCTTCCTCTCAGGAGTCAGGTCACTGACACCCACTGCTTTCCTGGTATCTAATTCTGATGAATTGGAAGAGTGTACTTAGAAGGCAACCTGAGATACCAGTCTCAAGACATGCATGCCCATTCATCTGTTTAACATCTTATACCATTTACTGTTACCGCTGCTGTGATCAAATATTTGACAGAAGCCACTTAAGGAAGAGAGGTTTATTTTGGCTCAAGGGAATGGAAGGCAAAGTGACGGGACTGCTCCTGCCCATGGCAGTAGGAATATGAGGCTGCTAGTTACATCACAGAAAACGACAGAAAGCTTGGACAGGAAGCAGGCCAGATGACAATCTTCCAAAGAAAACCCTTCAGTGACCCACCTCTACCATCCATACCTTCTGCCCACAAGATTCCGCAGCCTCATCAGAAAACAATACCCTCTGAGGACCAAGTGTTGAATTGCATGTGTCTGTGGGTTACCTTTCATATCAAACTGGAATGTACTTTCACATGAAAGTCTCGTGGTCATCCTTAACATGTATAGGAGTTGATCTGTCATCTCTTTTCACTCAAGACCTGTCATTTTCTGGGGCTCTCCTCTCAGTATGGCACCCAAGGTTGAAATCTCAAAAGAAATGAGACCCCTGTTTTCTATCTATCTCTTCTTGCTGAGATGGATGAAATAACAGCAAATACTGCTACTTTATTTAATACCAGCCTTCTACAGCTAAGGACTTCTAAGAAACCTCACCACAGTCTAAGTAACTTATCCACAATACCCTCAATCGTTTCTCTACCATTTAATTACTAGGTTTTACATTTATATATATATATATTATATATATATATGGGTGTGCATCTACATATGTGCATACCACATGTATGCAGATACCCCTGGAAGCCAGAAGAGGGTGTTAGATAACCTGAAGCTGAAGTTACAGATAGTTGTGAACCACCTGAGGTGGGTGCTGGGAACTGAACTCCATACTTCAGCAAGAGCAGCAAGTGCTCTTAACCATGGAGCCATCTCTCCTAACCCCTAATTAGCAGTTTTAATACAAGTGTTTCAACTTTTTAAAGACTTACTTTCTCTTTTATTCATATGTATGTGTGTGTATGAATATATGGGCATGTGTGCATGCAGGGGCTATAGAGGGCAGAGAAGGTGCTGGATCCTGTAAAGCTGGAGCTACAGGTGGTTGTGAGCTGCCTGATAGATGTGGGAACTGGGCCTGAACTCAGGACCCTGGAAGAAAAGCAAGTGAGCCTAACTGCTGAGCCATCTCTCTAGCCCTGTCTTTTACTCCTATTGCCCCCATCTGATGTTAAACTCTACAAGTATATAATGCATAAGTGTTGTTTTTTTTTTCTTTTTCATCATGTTATCTTCCAGGTCTTGCTGTCTAATGAATGTGAGCTAAATGAAAGAATGTATGGGAAACTAGTGAATTCCCCATTCATAAAGTGTTAAATAGAAAATGATCTTGGTCTATCCAGGAAGTCAGAGCAGAAATTCCTGAAATCAGTGCAATGTTGAGATCTATACACTTCATGATTCTAAGATTTAACAATATCTTTTATGCAGATTCTTATACTTTGACAAATAAAAAAAGTCTAGTTTTATTAAATATTAAAAATCAAGAAAGTTATATTTACCTTTGCCATAATATCCGCATATGCCATATATAGAAAATCTTCCTCCAGTTTGCTAGGAAACCAAGGGGGAAAGATCAGTTCTTAAGCAGAAGGCATGTTGTGTGTAGAGAAACCATCCCCATATAAAGTAACTGCTGTTTTTCAACACATATCCTGTTTTGACAGTTAAATGAACACAAAATTTAGGCAATGGTAAACATCTACAAACAAACCATTTTACAATCAGAAAGCAAAGGCCATCAAGGGCTTCAGCAGATACACCCTGCCCCCAGGCCGCGACCTTATAGCAGAGTCCTTCAAGTGTGAAAACAAAGCTGGTCTATTGCATACATGCAAATGTACATAAACGGAGTAAATAATTTTCTTCAAACTACAAAATATGAAGAAGAAAACAAAAGCAAACTCAAGTGGCACAGAGCTTTTGACAGCAGAGTGATATTTGACATCTAATGAAAGACTCAGCAAGTTAAAATGTCATAGTTAAAAATAATAACACGGCCAGGACAATGACTTTTAAAATTCAGAACAGGACAAAATATATTCACTATTCTTTTTCTAAAGAAGTATGAAAACTAGTACTATGTGAACAACCAAGTTTCTATCAAGAATGCCTAACATTTACAAACGTATTATAGGTCCCAACTTCACTTATGAGAAATATCTTATTACCTGACCAGGCCAGAGAGAAAGTTGTTCTATGCTTATAGGATGAGATGGTTTTGTTAGTGGGGAATAATAATAGAGAGAAAACATGAGTGAAAGGATGGACCACATTTGATGTTAGGAAAGAGAGATAGATACAGATTGTTGTGGCATGCAGAGGCCACATGGTGCTTTCAGATCTATGAGAAGACTTATATGGATGTATTGATAATTAAATGATCTCCCAGGGTCTAAAGAGAAAGAATAAGGCCTGGGGCCAAGGGCAGGAAATCAGCCAAAGGTTCCACAACCTCTACCATGTCCCACCCACAGAGCCAACACCCTCCAGTGTCCCCAGTAGGGAGAAGGAGCCAGGGCATCCCTTCATTGTAGCTTCTGAGGTTGAATTTGTCATGTGACTCTACAGGAGTTTGCCCTCTGAAGCTTCGGTGCATTTGTAGGACCAAGAGTGAAGGCAAGAAAAGTGGGAAATATCCTTGAAACAGATCTAAGAGATGCTACCAAAGGCCTCATCCAGTACCCAATGGTTTCCTAAGCCTCCTTAAGTGGGAGATAATCTCTAAAGGGATGCTGAGAGTCACTCTCACTAGTTTCCAAGCATCCTCAGCCATGGATTTCACTTTCTATGAGTTATTTTGTTTTATTTATATAATAACAGTATTGGATAAAATCTTTTGTAAGATCAGAATCAATAAAATCAGCCTAATACAGAGTTAAGAAAACCCAGAATTCCTTGATAGTGTCTTTTTTTTGGGGGGGGTGGGGATATGTGAGAAACACATATGCATGTATGGGTGTGTGTGTGGAAGTCAGAGGTCAACCTCAGGTGTCATCGTTTCTTAGAACCCATCCACTTTGGTTTTTGAGACAGGCTCTCTCATTGAACCCGGAGCTCACTGAGTAGATCAGGTTTGCTGGCCAGTGAACCCTAGGAATCAGCCTGTTTCTCCTTCCCCAGTTCTGAGTTTTACTACCATGTCTGGCTTTTGATGTGAGTTATGGGATAGAGGTCAGGTCCTCATGATTGCGAGGCAAGCACTTTACTAACTGAGCCATCTTCCCAGATGCTCACTGGTAGGGTTTAAAGATTCCCTCCCCCCCAAAAAAATGAAGCAACGCTGATCTATGGGTTTATGTCAGACAGATCACATTGGTGAATTACTTCCTCTCTTGACAAGAACAGGATGTAACTGAGACATAAATAAATGACAGATAAGACTTAGATGTGGATTTCTTTATCAGCATCTCCTAGGTCTGCTATTAACCCTCCCCACCATACCATTTCTCTGTTAAGGCCGTGCGGCTGAATAGAAGAATGAGCTGATGGAGAGGATCAACTCTTTTCATGGCTTCATCTTCTTCTGGAGGTTCAGCACCTGGTTTCTGAAAAAAAAATCAGATGAATATAAAATACATAACATTTCTCATTTAAAACAAATATTTAAGACAGCATGGTGGCTTATATCTAAATCTCAACTCTTAAGAGATGGAGGCAGGAAGATCAGGGGGATTGCAAATTCAGAGCCAGCCTGTGCTACATAGCAAGACAGTGTTTCAATAACTAAAAACCAAAACAAAGAAAGTGTAAGTGTTCACCCAAATCCAGGAGCAATAGGAAGGATATGTGTTAAGTTGTGTGCATGCATATGTGTGCTTTGTATAATATATGATTTTTTAGGGGGGATGGATGTATATGTGAGTATGCGTATGGGTGTGTGGGTGTATGTGTGGAGGTCAGAGGTCAACCTCAGGTGTCATCATTTCTTAGAAGCTTTGGTTTTTGAAACAGGCTCTCTTATTGAACCTGTAGCTCACTGATTAAACTAGGTTTGCTGATCAGCGAACCCCAGGAATCAGTATATGATAGGTATTGTATGTGCATATACATATGAACATGTATGTTCTATGTGTTTTGTGCATATATAATATATAATACAATACAGATATAAACCCAGCATGCATACTGATTACAATACTGATGTAAAACAGTATTTAACAATTTGATCAAAAAATAGCTAAACAAGAATAACCCATAAAATTTAAAAAGAAAACACTATTCTTTCCAGCAAGATTTAAAACTAATAGAAAGAATATTTGGTACAGAGGAGAGTTCATCTTCAGAAAGGGCAAAACATAAAATTTTATAATAAAATGTTGTCACATTATATATAACAATTAAGTCTACACAACAATATTTATCACATAAAATATTTTCTTGGCTTACCCAAAAAATGATAGACAAAGAACACAAAATGGATTAATAACTGAGTATGTACATCTTTTTCATTTTTATTTACTTTTAAAACGAAAAATAACATTAGATAAATCTTCATCATTGAAACAAATTATTAACCATTTTTGTTGCCTGAAAAATTGATTGATACTGATTTTACTGAATGTTTTAATGGATTTTATGTCTCCAGATATATTCTTTCCCATTCAGCCTGTTTTTTTTCTATATCAAAGGAGAGTCTTAACTGTGATTAGTAGTCAAATTGTATGAGATATCTAAATATTTTACAGTTGTTTTGATTGTAAAGGCAAGTAGAATTTATAAAGAAAAAGAACTAATAGGGTTAGGGCTGGGGCTCAGTTGATAGAGTGCTTGCCTAGCACATATGAGGCCCTGGGGTAGATACCCAGCACAGAATAAATTGGGTCTTGTAGCCCAAGCACAGAATTCCAAAACTCATGAGAGTGGAGATAGAAGAACCAGGAGTTCAAGTCTCTATTTGGCTACACAGAGAGTTGGAAGCCAATTTGGTCAACATTGTCTGTTTGAAAGAGATGGGAAGGGCAATCAAAGTTAGGTTTTTAGACATTGTGTTGCATTTATTCATAGCTCTTGTAATTTTATAAGAGATCTTTAATTTGGAAATTGTAATGTCTCCAGCAACTCTATAGACTTCTGTGGAACCTGTGATTAAAAATTCATTTGGAAAGATGGTTTAAAACAGTAGCTTAGCTTATAAAATATGTTGATGTTCCCAAGTCCTCCAGGGCATAGCACCCATCAAAACACAGCCTTCCTCCTGGCACTATCAGATGGAAGTTCTACCTGCTGAGTACCATGCTTATCCCAACTTCCTCCTCCTCCACATGCACTCCACTTATGAGAAATACCTCATTGCCTGACCAGGCCAGACAGACAGCTGTTCTACGCTTACAGAGTGAGAGAGTTTTGTTAGTGGAAAATAATAAGAGAAAAAAATATGAGTGAAAGGATGGACCACATTTGATGTTAAGAAAGAGAGATACAGATTGCTGTGGCATGCAAAGAGAACACATGGTGCTTCCAGATCTGTGACAGGACCTGTGTGGATGTGCATCTTCTGACCTAGGGTCTATGAGAGGACCTGTGTGGATGTGCATCTTCTGACCTAGGGTCTATGAGAGGACCTGTGTGGATGTGCATCTTCTGACCTAGGGTCTATGAGAGGACCTGTGTGGATGTGCATCTTCTGACCTATGGTCTGTGAGAGGACCTGTGTGGATGTGCATCTTCTGACCTAGGGTCTATGAGAGGACCTGTGTGGATGTGCATCTTCTGACCTAGGATCTATGAGAGGAACTGTTTGGATGTGCATCTTCTGATCTTGGATGTGTGAGAAGATCCTGGTGAATGTGTATCTTCTGACCTGTTTAACTTTGAAAATCAGCAACAGTCTGTTAGTCATCAACTTAGTTGGTGTGGATAATTTCTTTTAGATTTTCATCTTGGCTTTAATATGAATAGGGCTTTGAATAGTTTAAGAGACTAACTGAACATCATTTAGTTAATAAAATAACTCATGCTTTTCATTTTATATTCTGAATTATTTGATATTGATAGGTATGTATTTTGGAAAATAAAAGAGGGGGATTTTGTCATAAACAGTAAATGTGGCAACAGTAGAAATTAAAAAGTTTCCTAAGACCAATGTGTAGTGTAATGATTTTCTTTCAATACTCTTGCATTTTATAACTCCATTGAAAAACTTACTGCTAAATCTTCAATCAATTTATCCTCAAAGTAATGCTCCTCCGTTTCAATCCAAGACTTTTCATATCCCTGAAGAAAAAGATTGACAGCCCGATGCCTAAAAGATAAACACAATGTCAAACAAAGGGATTTTAAATATTTGAAAAAGAATTCAATAGTACATTATTATCAGATTATCTGTGTACCAAAATATAAAATAAAAATAAATGTCCTGTTACAGATTCTTCTCTTCACAGACAATTCCTTGTGCCATATAAAGGCAGGCTTCTCAGCTCACATATTGGCTCTGGGTTTAGTCCCAGTTCAGACATTTCTAAGCTCTGTAACATGTTAAGGTTTCAATCTTCACAATTCTCATACATGCAACAAGAATAATTGTATCTACATCTCCATCTTATAAGACTTAAAGTGAGATAAAGGGTAGGAAAGTACATTGGATAGATGTAAGTTAAATAGTGGCTATTATTTCCCTGCTGTGATTCTTGCTAAATAATATAAGCCAACAGAAGAATTAGCCTATATTCAAACTAACTTCAAACATAGGCTCTGGCCATTCTAGAGTGTAATGTATTATGTGAACTTTCTACAACTCTATGAATGAATATGAAATCTTAGAGCACTGATTTAAAAAAAAATGTCCACATGAAGTTGAAGAGGTGGCTCTGTGGTATGCACTTGTTGCCTGTTCAAGAGGATCCAAACTCAGTTCCCAGCACCCATGGCAGATGGTTCATGACCACCTGTAACTCCAGCTCTATTAGGTCTAATGCCCTCTTCTGGCCTCTGTTATTACTGAATGCCTGTGCAACACCACAACCACCTCTGCACATGCCACACACACACACCTACACACAATTAAAAAAAATAAATTTCAAAAAATGTTTGCCTATCAAATACAAAAAATTCAGTGAACACTAGAAGAGTCAATGAAACACATCACAATGCTAATGAGAGAAATGAGTAAGATTTAAGTGAGAAAGGACAAAAGAATAGTAAGTGGACATCATATTTGAAGTTATAGAATGATATTGTATAAGGGAAGCCTGCATTCAACAATAACAGAGGTGTGTTAGGAAAGCAAGAAGCATAATGGCCAGACGGATTTAAGAAGAGCCTGGAAAACAGGAGAGAAACTAACAACATGTTTGGGAATACTCAAAAACTCTGTAAATTCCTGCACATGAAAAAGGCAAGCCAAAGGATGTATTCAACTGCTTTCAAGACCTCAGAGTCATGCACACAGATTTTAGACTTCTAAATATGCAATGTTCAGCCTTGGGAAATCCATATTCACCTAGCTCAGCTCAGATGCTCCTGAAATGGTTTAAGTGGTGTCCTTGTAAGATTAATCCTTTCTCCAATATGTTAGAAATTTAATGAATGGCAAGGCACTGGTTGCTGTCCAGGGTTAGGAAAACAGAAACTTCAAATTATATTGGACCTTAAAGTGGGAATCAGAGAGGCAAGCAGCCTGAACACTGTAGCATACAATGCAACAACCTGAAGTTGTAACCTTGCTATATAAACATACAGAAGGAAGGAGCTGACTTACAAGATCAGAGGTGTTCCAAAAGGAGATATGGTTGAACTGAGCCCTGTTTACAAGACATTGATGTGGTGACTTGGTTGAGAAATATCTCCCATAGTTCCAGCCATGTGGATACTTGCCTCTAGTTGGTAGAGCTGTTTGGGGAGGTGTGGCCTAGTTGGAGAAATGTGCTATTGGAGTTGTGCTCTGAGAGTTTTAAGACTCACACCATGTCCAGTTTGCTCTCTGCTTTGTGCTTGCAATTCAAGGTGTGAGATCTCAGCTTGCTACTCCATCTGCCATGTCTGCCACTCCTCTTCATGATGGATCTTACACCTCTGGAACCTTAAGTCCATATAAACTCTTTTGTCTCTAAGTTACCTTTGGTCTTGGTGTTTTATCACAGTAATAGAAAAGTAACCAATACAGTAGGAATATGGTTACTTGCAGAAAGTTAAGAGTAGCAAAGAGCCCACTGCTTTGGGAGAATATCCAGGAAGCTGTCACAGGTCATCAAGACAGACTTGAATGCACTATGTTATATCTCTCTTTTAACAAGTGCATTGTTTTAATCCTAAGAGAACAGCAATGGGTCTGTTGAGTTCATTTTGTCATACCTGTAAGTCAGGAGAGTATCTTTTCTTTTCTTTGTACAAGAACAATTATACAAACAGCAGCAATGGCTAGCATCTACTGTGATCAGCATACTGACAAGCACTTTGTGCATATTAGTTCATCAGTCTGTCTTTGTACTTTATGGGGTCAGTCCTGCCATAGTCCACAAGGGGAAACCATAGTGAAGTGAAGGATTCAGCTTGATCAATGTTGTGCAATACAGAAACTGAAATTGAAATCTGAGCAAATGGACTTCAAAGAATGTTTCCAGTTATACTGCATGTCCTCCCCTATGTGAGCAGATATTCCTCAACAGATATCATTTTTAAGTGACAGTGCAAACTATGATTCAAACAAAAACATTGAACAGAGGAAAACAAACTGATGAGTTATAAGAACCAATAACTCTCTCCTATTCATCCCTTGGATAGATTATCATTGTTACCCACTATTTAGAGAAGATAATTAATCTCTTTTAAACATTTAAAAAATTCTGACCTTGGCAGATTATATAAGGGGGCCATCCGGAAGCAGGCAACAACAGCTCTTTTTCTCTGCTTAGAGAGTAGTTTGTGCCACACAGCCTTCTTTGATCTCTGAGGATGTTCCACCTGAGGTAGAATGGCACAAATAAACAATAAACATACATTTACAGCTTCAATCCACCTTCAGTGATATTAATCAGCTGCATCTTTTAAATTTATTTGAAATTGCCTAACAATTATTTTGGTTAGGATTATATCCTCAAAATTACCCAAAGCTAAATTTGAGATGTTTTCAAATGGTACTTAGTAAAAATTACCTATTTTTCAAATAGCCTGTAGCTCCCAAGCCTTGTTATCTTTAAAATCAAAGAAACCAAAAAGTATTCTACACAAAATCATTTTGCATCATTCTCAAAATTTTAAGTACTTGAAGTTTTTAATTTCATGTATATGCATATTTGTACATACATGAATGTACACACATGTGAGCATGCATATTGAGGCCAGTGAACAACCTTGGGTGTCATTCCTCAGTTGCCATCCACCTTGTTTTGGTTTTTTTCTTTTTTTGAGACAAAGTCTCTCATTGGCCTAGAACTTAGCAACTAGGATAGGTTGGCTGGCCAGTGAGTCCCAGAGATCTATCTCTGTCTCCCAAGTGCTAGAATTACAAGCACTTATTACCAGGCCCAGCTTTTTAAATGTGGGTTCTGATGACCAAACTCAGGTCCTCCTTTCATTTCTCTGATCCCCTTTGTGGGTCGTTCCGTTTTGTTTCCTACATAGGAGTGTACTCACATATCTATTGAAACTACTTTTATTATAAGTATGGGAACCACAAATACGAAAAGTGTTAATGAAAAGTCTACTGCTCTTTAATAAAAGAAGATAACAAGGCTTTGTGAGCTCAGTACCAGGAGTAAATAGAAGGATTTAATATTACAAAAGTACTAAAATATGAAGTTATTTTTGTTAGGCAAGATAAATGAGAATTTGAAAGTTACAAGAAATGATGCAAACAGGCTATTTATTTGAATAATGGTGCTTGAAACTTCAAGAGAAAAAAAGGAGATTAATCATAAGTATTAGAAAGAAGATAAATTCCCAGTATGGTTTTGTCAATTAATTAGTATTCTCTAAGCAATGGAGCACTGTACTTCCCAGACTGAAATATCTCCGGCCAGTATACTCAGTATACTTAGATTTCTGGAAAAAATGAAAATGTTATGTTAGCCCAAAGTAAAGCCAAATATATTGTGCTTTGTAATAAATGCTCAGAATATGAATATAATAATTCTTGAACACATTAAGACTGACTGAGCCACTGCAGACATTTTTAACAGAGCAATCTGTGTAACTGACAAGCACTTATTTCTCTGACTCTCTGTCCTCCATAAGACCAATGTAACAATCTAGCAAATGTCCACTTCAATTGTCTTCTTAATGTGAGCATTTGGTGGAATAAACTCTTATTGAGAATAGTGTAGATTAAAACAGAACCAATAGCTGAATGGTCCAATGAGAGCCAGTGTATCCCAATATAAAATTCCACTTTGGGATCTGAGACTTTAAAGGCAGCAGTTTTGATAAATACATGGCATTCTGCTAAGTATGACAAAACCCTTAGACATATATGAAGTTCTTGAGAATTTGAGATATCGTTGTGAGCTGGAGAGAAAAGGATCCAACTGGCATCTAGCCTCAAAATTTGTCAAAAAATTATACAAGGAAAAATTTAAGTAGTGGGACAAGCTACTTTGAACCATCTCCATATGTTATTTAACCAGTCAAGGCAGGGATAGATGTTCAAACAATATCTAGTATAAATCAAAGCAACATGTTTATTAATATTATGGTTATATATGCAAATGTGGCTAAAGGGGATAGAAAAATCAAAGCTTAATCCTTACAGCACAAAGGTAGGAAGGTTCCTGGGATGACACAGGGCATTTTATTATTTCAGCTTCAGTATTAAGAAAGCACACCACCTAAGTACTGTCAGAGACCCACTGGCAGACTACTCTAGCCTCTCACTTTGCTGTAATCATGTTTTATTTTTTTTTAATTTTAAGTATTTATTTCACTTGTGCATGTTGAATACATGTGCATGGGTGGATGCTCACACCAATATGTTTGTGAACAGAGGGCAGAGATCAGTGTATTTTAAAACCTCTACACCTTAGTATTTGAGGCAGAATCTCTCACTGAACTTACAGGTCAGTGAACCTCAGGCAGGCTGCCTAAACAGCAAGTCCTCAGGACCCCTCTGTCTCTACCCCATCCCCGTGCTGTAGTTACAGATATGCGCCACCATATTCAGCCTTGCCGTGGGTGCTGGGGATCTGAACTCAGGTCCTCGTGCTTTCACAGCCAGCATTTTACCTACCGAGCCATCTCTCCAGCCCTCTAATGTTATCACATTGACTAGATGTCATGTTTTAAAGAGAACATGCTTACTTGTGTATAGTGTAAATTCCATGTAATGGATCTAAACTTTATACAAACAGATTTAGATATGTGTATGGAAACCAGACAATTGCCTGGATACATGTATTTTGTAAAGGACTGATTTTAATATAAATAAACATACAATATAACCTTCTAACTGAGAGTGTCTCAAGAATTACTGCTTTGAAGATTGTTGAACTAAGGGGACAAAGTAGAGACAAAAACACACAAGAACTTGGTAGTTAAAACAGGAGATGACTGTCAAATGATGCAAAAATATTTTCCTCATTTGAGGTTTTACTGTCAATGTAATATTCTTCTATAAATGTAATTTGCTCTTTATCTCAGAGAGAAATTGTTCAAAAATCTCTCATAAAACCAAAGGTAAAGTAAGTAAAAGAGAAAACACTTCAGATATTAAACCAGAAAAAGACAAAATATCTAATACATAATTTATATGAAGTATTAAAATGATATAAAAATAAAATATTTGAAATCTGGTATAACTCTGTGATACTTTGTTAGAAAGGTTTAGAATATACTACTAACAATCTATAGAATTTTAGAAAAGTTTGAAACATATAATAAAATTGAAGGCCTTGATCTCCTGAAACATACTATCTACAAATGTCTCCAAAAACTATAATCTTGGAAATAATGAATTATATGCTCATTGTAATCAACATTCTAAACATAAATGGGGGTTGGGGGACCACAGTTAAAAATTACTGTACATTTTGAAAACATTTCATGTGGTTAAGGCCATTATGATGAAATTAACACAAAGATCTGACCTGCTCAAGATGGAAAAGTACATTTGCTATATCCAGGACACGCTCCACTGTCCTCTCTGGGTCTGAGGTGTCTTCTGTCCTGTTTGGCAAATCTTTATAGAGAGCCATTTGCCACCTGATTGCAGGATCTTCCAACTGTGGGCAAGAAAACACAAGGTGGCAACTGAAGAGAGGAGGTGTCCAGCATGATCACTAACTGCTCTACCATGACCACTAAGCACACATAGGAGAGTACTAAAACACCTGCCGAACTATAGTTACACAGGAGAATCTAAGCAGCCACAAATAGACATCTGTGGGAAGAAATGGCAAGGTTAGTTTTGCTTGACTGCTAAAACCATTTCTCTATGTCTATGTACATCTACATTTTATGATGCACATCTTAAATATATCACTAAAAAAATCAAGCAAGCGCGATTTAGAGACCACAAAAGTAAAACCTCATATATCCATTAAATTCTCATGTAGCAGACAGGATAGGAATTATACTATTGTTTATCATTTTAATAAGAGTTATGAGGAGGACATATAAGGAACCATGAGACATGATCTACTGTTTGAGTGATTGGGAATATTTCCCTAGAGTAGTTAAGATGTAATTAGGGGGTAAACACATGGTGGGCAAATAGAGTGGAGGACACCAGCCTTGGCATCTTGGGGACCTGAAAACTCCTTGAAGCCACAGAAGACCCTTTGGTTGCTTGGGAAAGTCACCAGTCAGCAGCATAGGGCCAGGAAACCACAGCCCAGAGGCCCTGGAACCTCCCAGGATTGTGTTTTCAACACTTTGGTATGAAATGTCAACAAGAGTTCCAGGCATTTTTCCTAAAACAGAGATTCAGAAAGCTGCAACAGTGAGAATATCTGCATCTCCAACAAATGTACCCCAGGAAGAATCATAAATGGCATTTGTCTGTGCAACCTAAAATCTTCTTAGATGATTGAACTCAAATACTGATGCAAGGAACAGAGTTGAAATTTCAAGATTGACCTGGAAGACTGGGTTGTCTGCTCACAGACCTTCTCCACTCTCTCTGTTCCCCTAGCAGACCCAATCCCTAGGCTCATCCCCATTGCTGCAACTGAACACCAGCTGCAGCCTCCCTTCCCTCCTGTCCACACCTCCTATGGATTCTACAGACCATCTCCTCCTGGCCTCTCCCTCTTGCTTCTCATTGTTGAGTCCTAGCCCCCAACTCCGTTGGGACACTCCTTGCTCAACCACAGGCCACATCTGCCATAAGACCAGGTAGGCTGCCTGTGGACCTTCTCTGTTCTCTCTGTTCCCCCAGCAGACCCAATCCCTAAGGCTCATCCCTAGTTCTGGAAGAGAATACCAACAGCAGCCTTATTTCTGCCCTGTCCATGCCTCCTGTGGATCCAACAGACCATCCCCTTCAGACCTCCCTGCAACTACTCCTTACTGGATCCCAGCCTCCAACACCAGCAGGAATTTTTCCCTGTGGACACCCCAGCTGAGGAGGGCAGTAAAATTGGCAACACACAGCCATAACAATCCCTGAAAATCCAGAGAGGAAACAGAAACCAAGGAACAACATACCACCCAACAAAGACAAACCCAGAAGTCAGCACCTAAATGTATTTTCACTCCAAACCCAGATACCTAAATGCTAGCTTAAGAACACCATCAATAACATCAAGAACAATATGTCTCCACTAGAGCCCAGCTATCCTACCAAAGCAGGCACTGAATATTCCAACATAGCTGAAGCACAAGAAAAAGACCTGAAAATGAACTATATGAAGATGAGAGAGGTCCTTAAAGAAGAAATGAATAAATCCCTTAAAGAAAGCCAAGAAAACAAACAAAGAAAGAACAATTGAAGGAAGCAAACCTGTTCAAGATCTGAAAATGGAAATAGACACAATAAAGAAATCACAAACTGAGAGAATCCTGGAAATGAAAAATTTAGTAATTCAAATAGGAACTCTAGAGGCATGTTTCACCAACAGAATATAAGAGATAGAAGACAGCATCTCAGGCACTGAAGATATGATAGAAGAAATGGATACATTGGTCAAAGAAAATGAAAAATCTAAAATGTTCCTGATACAAAACATCCAAGAAATCTAGGACACCATGAAAAGACCAACTCTAAGAATAATAGGAATAGAGAAAGGAGAAGAATCCTAGCTCAAAGGAGCAGAAAATATTTTCAACAAAATCATAGAAGAAAATTTTCTTAACCTAAAAAAAAGATGCCAATAAAAGAATAAGATACATACAGAACATATAACAGAGTGGACCAGAAAAGAAAGTGCCTTGCCACATAATATTTGAAACATGAAATATGCAGAAGAAAGGATATTAAAAGGTACAAGAGAAAAAGTCCAAGTAACATATAAAGACTGACATATTATAATTACATCTGATTTCTCAATGGAAACTCTAAGACAAAGAAGGGCCTGGACAGATGTGCTACAGATTCTAAGAGACCACAGGTGCTAGTCCAGACTGCTATGCCAGCAAAACTTTTTATCAGCACAGATGGAGAAAATAAGATATTTCATGATAAAGTCAAATTTAAACAATATCTATCTAGGAGGTTAACTACACTCATGAAAATGCAAGAAATAAATAATCTCACACCAGCAAAACCAAAAGGAGTGAAACACACACAGAGACAGAGAGAGATACACATGCATGCACACACCACTACCACCAACAAAAACAAAATAACAGGAATCAACAATCATTGTCGTTGATATCTCTCAATATCAGTGGTCCCAATTCCCCAATAAAAAGATACAGACTAACAGAATAGATGAGAAAATAAGATCCATCTTTCTGCTGCAGCCAAGAAACATCTTAATATCAAAGATAGATATTACTTTAGTGTAAAAGTTTGAAAAAGATATTCCAAGCAAATGGACTTAAGAAGCAAGCTGGGGTAGCCATGTTAATATCTAACAAAATAGACTTTAAACCGAAACTAATCAAAAGAGATAGGAAAGGATACTTCATATTCATCAAAGGAAAATTCCATCAAGATGACATTTCAGTTCTTAACATCTATGTCCCAAACACAAAAACACCCAAGATTGTAAAAGAAGCACTACAACAGTTTAAATCACATATTAATCCTCACACACTGACAGTGGGAGAATTCAGTTCCCCATTCTCATCAATGGACAGGTCATCCAGAAAAAACTAAACAAAGAATTCTATGCTGAAGCTAACAGGCATTTAAACCAAATGACCTAACAGGTATTTATAGGACATTTCACCTAGTTACAAAAGAATATACCTTCTTTTTAGCACCTCATGGAACTTTCTCCAAAACTGACCATATACTCAGGAATAAAGCAAGTCTCAACTAATACAAGAAAATTGAAATAACTCCCTGCATGCTACCAGACCACCATGGATTAAAACTAGATATATATCAACAACAATAGAAACATCAGAAATTTACAGACCCATAGAAACTGAACAACTCTCTACTAAATAAAAAAATGTGTCAAGACAGAAAAAAGAAAGAAATCAAAGATAGTCTAGAATTCTATGAAACTGAATACACAGCATACCCAAACTTATGGGACTTAATGAAAGCAGTGCTATGAGGAAAGTTCATAGCACTAAGTGCCTACATAAAAATAATTGAAGAGATCTCATAAGAGCAATTTAACAGAACACTTGAAATATCTAGAACAAAAAGAAGTAATCACATGCAAGAGTAGTGGATGGTGATCAATAATCCAAACTGAGGGGTAAAATCAATAAAACATAAAGAGAATGATACAAAAAAATCAATAAAACAAAGAGTGTTTCTTTGAAAAAATCAACAAGATTTCCAAGCCCTTAGCCAAATTAACTAAAAGATGAAGAGAGATTATCCAAAACAACAAAATCAGAAATGAAAATGGGGGACATAACAACAGACACCGAGGAAATGTACAGAAACTTAATGATATACTTAAAAATCTGTATTTCATGAAACTGGAAAATTTAAAAGAAATGGAAATTTTCTCAATAGGTGCCACTTACCAAAGTAAAATTAAGATCAGATAAACAATTTAAGTATATTATAATCCCTAGTGAAATAGGAATCTTTACAAGTCTTCCAATAAAAAAAAAAATGCCTAGGACCAGATGGTTTTAGTGCAGAATTCTACCTGACTTTCAAAGAAGAGTTAACACCAGTACTCCTCAAATTCTTGCAGAAAATAGAAATAGAACATTGCCCAGTCCATTTTATGAGGCCACAGTTACCCTGGTACCAAAAACATATAAAGATTAAACAAGAATGAGAATTATATACCAATTTCTCTTATGAACATAAGAATGTAAAAATTCTCAATAAAATACTTATAAACCGAATCCAAGAACACATCAAAAAGATCATATACTATGGTCAAGTAGGCGTCATCCTGGAGATGCAGCAATGGTTCAATATACAAAAAAAAAATCAGTAAATGTAATCCACCATATAAACAAAGCGAAAGAAAAAAAAAATCACATGAACATTTCATTAGATGCACAAAAAGCCTTTGACAAAATACAGCACCCTTCATGACAAAAGTTGTGGAGAGATTAGGAACATAAAAGACATACCTAAACATAATACAGGTAATTTACAGTAAGCCCATAGCAAACATCAAATTAAATGGAGAGAAATTCAAAGCAATTCCACACTACAGCTTCCATGAGGAGACTTTCCCTTTCTTCCTTTTTTTAATCTTAAATTTTATTTTATTTTATTTTATTTTCAGGGAGGAGGAAGTTGGCAGAGGGCAGATGTGAGGGGACAGGAGATGGGTGGGATCAGGATGCATGATGTGAAACACACAAAGAATAAGTTAAAAAGGAAGTTAAAAAGAAAACATCCTTAGTCATTAGAGAAATGCAAATCAAAACTACTTTGAGATTCTATCTTAAACCTGTCAGAATGGCCAAGATCAATAACACAAGTGATAGCTCATGTTGGAAAGGATGTAGAGCAAGAATAATATTACTCCATTACTGGTGGGAGTGCAGATTTGTACAGCCATTATGGAAATCAGTATGGTGGCTTCTCAGAAAATTTGGAATCAATCTACTTCAAGACCCAGCTACACCACTCTTGAGCATATACCCAAAAGACATTCCATCTTACCACAAGGTCATTTGCTCAACTACATTCATTGAAGCTTTATTCATAATAGCCAGAAACTGGAAACAACCTAGATGTCCCTCAACTAAATAATGGATAAAGGAAACGTGGTATATTTACACAATGAAGTATTACTCAACTGTTAAAAACAATGACATCATAAAATTTACAGGCAAATGGATAGAACTAGAAAAATCATCCTAATGGAGGAAACCCAGACCAAGAAAGACAAATATGGTATGTATTCTCTTATAAGTGGATATTAACTGTTAAGCAATTGATAACCAAGCTATATTCAGTAGAGCCAGAGAGGTTATGTTAAGAGGAAGACTCTGGGTGTGAGGGGCACATGGATCTCCCTGGGAAGTGGACATTCAATAGATTTTGTAGGTGAACTGGAGGTGGGTGGAGATGGGAGCAGGAGGGATCTGGTGGCAAGGGAATGGGATGGAGGGAGAGAGTGCAAGAACAGATGACTAGAAATGAGGGGCCTTTGGGGAGCAGTGTGGAAACCTACTACAATGGAAACTTCCCGGAACCTGTGAGGGTGATCCCAGTGAGGACTCCTGGTAATGGGAAATATAGAGTCTGAACTGGCCATCTCTTATAGCCATGCAAGGCTCCCAGTGGCAGGACTGGGTTACATTCAGTTGAGTTGTTGGCCTGGGAGTTCTGTGGAGATTTCCAAACAACCCAGGCTGCCACTAGGACAGAGGGTTACTCTCTGCAAACTTACAACAGAGCTTCATTGCCAAGGACAATATCCACATAGCTCACTGGACTTGGAGAGGTTAAGCTGGTACCTGCATTGAGTCTTAACCCTTTTGTTCTAGTATCTTTGGTGTGGAAAAGTACTCTGCAGGCTACTTAAAGAGAAAGGTGGACACCAATCCAGCCACAAAACCTGTGACCTACAATTTGTCCTTCCTGCAAGATGTGCTGGGGCAATAGTGGTGTAAAACTTGTAGCCAACCAATGTCTGATTTAACTTGAGGCCCTTTCCACATGAGGGAGCCCATGCCCAACACTGTTTGCATGGCCAGGAACCAGACAGTGCATAGCTCAGAGACCTAGGGTCAAACCAAACACAACTGGATTAGAAGATAAATATATCAATGAAATGATTCCTAATGATACTCTGCTATACACATCAGAGAGGATTCCTTTGGCAGCAGATGGGAGCAGATGCAGAGACTTACACCAGACATTAAGCAAAGAGTCTAAATTGGAAGTCTCCACCAGGTCCCTCCTCACAAGGACTGGGAAATCCCACAGAAGAGGGGGTGGAAAGACTGTAGGAGTCAGAGGCAATAGAGGACACCAAGAGAACATGTCCCACTAAATCAACTCAGGAGGGCTCATATGGGCTCACAGAGACTGAGGAAGCAAGTACAGGGCCTGCAGGGGTCTGCACAAGGTTCTCTGCATATATGTTGTGGCTGTTAGCTTGGTGTTTTTGTGGGACTCCTAACAGTGAGAACTGGTGTGTCTTTGACTCTTTTGCCTGCTCTTGGGACTCTTTTCCTCCTATTGGGTTGCCTTGCCCAGCCTCAGTAGGAGGGCTTTTACCTTGTCTTATTGTATTTTGTTTTGTCATGTTTGGTTGTTGTCTCTTGGAGGCCTGCTCTTTTCTGAAGGGAGATGGAGGGGAGTGGATGCAGGGGAGAGGGGAGGTGGGGTAGAAGCTGAGAGGAGTGGAGGGAGAGGAAACTGTGGCCAGGATTATTATATGAGAGAAGAATCTATTTTCACTTTTAAAAATAAAGAAAGAAAAAGTAAAACAGACAAAATAAAAAACAAAAAAGGATGCACTTAAGGTGTGAGGTTGAAGTGGGGACAGACAAAGGCAGCAATAGGATAAAGATGAGCCTCACCTGTCTCTTTCCTCCTCACACACTGTTGAAAGATTCACATGTGTTTATAAATTATGAAATAGGCCCACAATCAACTCTAAACTTATAGAGTTTTCAACATAGCAAATTCTCAATGGAATAAAGACTTTAAATAATATAAAATAATATAGCATATAAATTTTATACTCAACAAAAAGAAATCTCAACATTTTATTTGGTAATGCTGTCATATTTCATAATAAAAGTTCAAAATAAAGTCTTTGTGATTAATTTTTTAATATTTTATTTCTTAAACTGTGTATATGTGTGTCTCTATGCAGATGAGTACATGTGCACATGTGGTCTAGTAGAGGATATCAGATTCCCTGGTATGAGTGTTGGAATCAAACTCCTCTGAAAGAACAGTTAAATGTTAATGGCTGAACCAGTTCTCCAGCTTCAAAGTTTTTTTAAAACTATTTTTTCTTCATGCTTTTAAGACAGGCTATAAAATCATAAAACCTGAGAGATACAAACATCTTAATGGGAGAAAAACCTGTCATTTCAAAGAAATAAAACATAAGAGCCATGCCATTAAAAGTAGGCAAAACAATTTTCATCTCTTTCTCCTCCACTTTAGAATTTCCACTGGAAACAAAACTAGATTTTATAAAAAAGAAACAAACAGAGATCTTCTTAAACTTCCAAACTCCTAAGAAGGCCTAGCTTCAAATGACAGAAATAACATTGAAGGGGAAAAAAACCCAGAGACAGAACTTCATATACAAAACACTTCTAAAAACTATTTGTCCTTTGTTCAAAATAAAATGCTTTCTTCTGTGTTTTCATATCAAAGGACTATATGTTTTGTTCTTGTCTATATTCAATAATAGATGTTTTTGATAAATTGAAATCTTTATGTTCTCTCTCATACAATGACTCCTCTGAGGCTTCTGCCTCCACCTGGTGTTTCCATGGAGTATGAACATGAGGCTAGAGTGATGCTGCTCCACATTTGTGCCCATGTGTCCATCTAGACTGGGCTCTCAGAGTAGAGAGAGGTGAGGGTAAGGGACAGACCCTTTCCAGACAGTCCTCACATTGGATGAGGCAACAGCACTCTTTCTCCAGTGCCTGTGTTTTGATGTAGCAAGAAATGGATGCAGCAGTGAGGCCAAAGGCATCCAGCATCGAGAGTACTAGAACAGCTGTGAGGTTGATACCACCAAACCAGGGTTTGATGGGGAATGTGCTGTGGGATGTTCTGTATGGCAAATGTGTTGCTAATTAGTCAATAAATAAAACACTGATTGGCCATTGACTAGGCAGGAAGTATAGGCGGGACAAGGAGGAGAATAAAGCTGGGAAGTGGAAGGCTGAGTCAGAGAGACACTGCCAGCCGCCATGATGAGAAACAGCATGTGAAGATGCCGGTAAACCACGAGTCACGTGGCAAGGTATAGATTAATGGAAATGGATTAATTTAAGCTGTAAGAACAGTTAGCAAGAAGCCTGCCACGGCCATACAGTTTGTAACCAGTATAAGTCTCTGTGTTTACTTGGTCGGGTCTGACGGCTGTGGGACTGGCAGGTGAGAGAGATTTGTCCTGACCATGGGCCAGGCAGGACAACTCCAGCTACAGGAATGTCACATGTCTAGGGAGAATCCAGGATCTCAAAGTCCAAGAGCTACATGATCACTTCCTACCATGAGCACAGACCCTGAGGGCATTCAACAGGGATTATCTAAATGAAGAGACCCCAGGAGCCCTTCCAGGGTTTCATGATGCCATCTAACACCTATCTGTAAAAACATTCATGTCTCTCACTGAATGGGAGCTTACAGTATAAACTCTAGGCCTGAGTTCAGATGGAGGTTTTATGACAACTTACAAAAACTATTTATATTGTTCTTGTCTCTCTGAAAAAGACACTCCACTAGGAATGATACCCCTTCTCTGCGGGATTTATTACCAAAATATGGTTTTGTTCACAGAAAATTTGCCTTAAAGACACCCATGTGCACTGGGAATATAGCAGAAGTGTGTTCTACCTGCACCATATCCTCCCAGACGCTAAAGGAATAAAGGAAGGCAGGTCTGTGGGAAGGAATATTTGAATATACTGAAGGACTAATTAGTGATTTTTTTTTAAATATTTTTTGTCTTCGTCATTGTAATGAATTATACAGAATCCTCAGAAAGATGACAAACTAGAGTAGGAACCTAAAGGTGGGGTCACATAATAGATCTTTTTCGTTTGTTGGTCTTTGCTTTTGGATTCAGGGCTTTGCTATGTAACCCAGGCTAGCCACAAACTTACAATCTTCCCACCTCAGACTCTTCAGTGTTGGGATTATAGGCATGCTCTACCCACCATGCCCAGCAACAATAAAACTTTTTACATGATATCCTATGAATAAATGAGTGACCTACTCAGTGGTATTTAAAAAAAATCTTCAAATAAGAGCAAATACTGGACTATAAAACCCAGTTTTAGCAATTCCTTCAGTATTGCTGGAAAACATAGTTTCTAGTCACATTTGTCTTCAATTGGATTTTCCTCTCCTTAAGTCAACTCATTTGTTCTTACTGCAGCAATCCTCAATATCTCCTCTATATGAATAATTCCTAAATATACACATTTGCCTAAACACTAAAGGAAAAATTTCAACTTGTTATGGATACCAGTTTGAAGGTCCTCCAAACCTTGGAAAAGAGTTGTAAAAACACATATACAATATTTATTCAATCTATGACATACTGTTTTTAATTTTATAATGTATGATCCTCTACTTTTAAAGTTACACCATTTATTGCCATTTAGGTTATTAATACAAGATCTTTGCAAGTACAATAATGGTCAACTAAAATTATCTCACTTGCTAGGTAATACTATTAGTAATAATATCCTGAAAATATTAAACATGATTTGGAGTAAAAGCTGGCTTACCTTGCCTTGTAAGTGTATATTACTGCGGATTATATCTCGTACTTCCTCCTCGGTGTCTTTCTGTCAAGAAATACATGTTACCTAAAAGAAATCTCATAATAAATGCATCAACTGCCACAGTCAACAAGAACAGATCAAATACTCTGTTAAATAGTGTATGTCTGACAGGTATGTTTACATTTTTCTTTTCTCTCTGAAAAAGAGGGAGGGCGTGCACATGAGTGTGTGTGTGTGTGTGTGTGTGTGTGTGTGTGTGTGTGTGTGTGTATGTGTGTGTGTGTGTATGTGTGTGTGTGTGTAAGAAAGAGTGTGTGAGTGTGTCTATGTGTGTGCAGTTGCTCATGGAGGCCAGAAGATGGTATAAGATACCCTGGAGAAGGAGTTACAGGTGATTGTGAGTTTCCAAAGTAGGCTCTGGGAGCTGAACCTAGTCCTTTCCAAGAGTGGCACATACTCTTAACTGTTGAGCCACCTCTCAACCCCTTAGAAAACTTCTCTCTGCTGCAACCACTTCAAACAAGTCTACAATCTACTTTAATTGCTCACTAAGGATGTCAAGAGTCAACAGAAGGAGTATCTAATTCATGAAAAGAAAGAAGACCAAATCATGCTCCCTTGGGCTCATATGGAAATAAATCCATGGTTTTCTCTCAAATCTCCAGAAAGAGACTTTTGCATGTTGTAACATATTCCATCACAGAGCTCTAACAAGAAGTGTGTACACAAAAATCAAACATTGGCTAACTCTGCCCAAGTTATCCTCCCTTCATTCACTCCTTCCAGGACACAAAACAAGACCCACACAGGCATTTCACTGTCAGTCTCTGGAAAACAGGACACGGAGAATATGTTCTCTAATTTGCATATACCAACAAGCAATTCCAAAGCACCTTTCTGGAAATTTACATGGTCATCTGTAATTATGAAAAATAAAATCAAGGAAATAACTCTAGCAAAGAAAAAATCATAATGCCTGCAAAGGCCCAGAGCTGCTAGAAGCTAACACCTTGTCTAGCCACCATTGGTACAACACATTTTGCTTCCGATGTTGAAAAATCACCTTTCAAAAATCTGACCACAACTCTCATGGCAGATTTTATAAAGGAGTTCCTTTGTAATCCATTTCCCCCCATGGGGCCAGAGATTCATATATTTTGTTTGTTTCTAGAATATGCCTTGGAGGTGATTACCATAACTTAGGATAAAAAATGCCCTAAAAATAATAGGCAGTCATTGATTTAAGTCCTAGAGTCGTAAAAAAAAAAAATAGTTACTAAAAATGTAACTGTACATGAAGTATTGACAGAGTTATTCAAAGGATACACTGCCATAGAGTCTGGAGGTCTGCTGACCACCACCCCTAGGTAACAAGGAAACTTACCAAGCTAAATCGATTTTTGGCCAGAGCAATGAGCTCCTGGTCTCCTGGGGCACAGATGTTCAGCCCAATGGGCAGCAGTCGCTTCAGAGCTGCCACGATCAGAGATGTCTGCATGGAATACCGGTCCCCTTTGCGCTTCATTTTCTTTCTCTCTTGGTCAGAAACGGCTGCCTGTGGAACAAAGATGAATACTGGGATGCTCACCCACATTTCTTTTATTCTGATCTACCAATCTTCTTTAACCTAATCATGGTCCCCTCTTTCTTATTTTCTCCTGGTCCCTACTTTCAGGAATCCTAACCATTCTGAAAAGGTCATCTTTTCTTCTCAGCAATTTTTTTTTTTTTGCTTTTAGTTTTTATTCTTCCTACATCTTTACCATTAACTAATGGTATTTTATTCCCATGCAATTTTTAGATATTAGGACACATCATAATATTAGGAAGAAATTTCATATAGTAATTTCATACATAATATGCTTTCTAATTCTCAAGCTTAAATTTAAGTACAGAAAGCTTATTTTTGTTTGGATAAATGCTTTGCAATACACATGAATAAAAAGGATGTGTTTTACATAGTACAAACTATCTGGATTATTTATAAATTACCTATGTGGTTTATACATAACTATTATAAAATACATTTTCCTCTTTTATTATAGCTTCACTATATCACCTGAGAAACCAAGTGGTATACCAATCTCAGAGATTCAGAAATATTAAGGAGTGTTGGTGTGATCATGTTAAAACTGAACCTCAGGGTACATCAGCAGTCTACTATGACTCTTTTAAGGACTATGGAGGTGCCACAAGGGTATCTCAAATCCATCATAAGTTCTGATGGGCAGGGAGTAGTCTTCAAATAAAGAGATTAAGTCCTAAAATTATTAGAAAATAATTGACCCATATCCACTTCAAAGATATTGGATTTCTTTTGTAGCAATAATTTCAAACTGAACCAGTTCTATGACAATGACATATTGTGAAAGTTATACGGACCTGAGGGGAAAAAAAAACAAAGGGGATTTAAGCATGCAAGTGATTGGCATTACTTAAAAGAAGGTGGAATAGTCTAGTATCTTAGCCCAAACCTTTAATTCCAGCACTTGAGAAGCAGAGGTAGATGGATCTCTGCGAGTTTGAGGCCAGCCTGTTATACATAGTGAGTACTAGGACAACCAGAACTACACAGCAGGGCACTATCTCAAAAACAACAATCAAAACAAAGAAACAAAACAAAACATCAACAAAAAAAGGTAAAATAAGAAAAAGCCTGGCACTGAAAAACTTCTCAGCACTGTAAGAAGTAAGGCAGCTGCTGATTCGTTTTTTAAAGATTTCTATTTTATATGTATAGAGTTTTTGCCTGTATGTCTGTGCACATGTGTGTTTCAATCACAGAGGCCAGAAGATGGCATCAGATCCCCTAGGAGTAGTGTTACAGATGTTCATGAGCCACCATGTGGATAATGGGAATTGAACCTGGGTGAGCCACTGTGCTTAACTGCTGAGCCATCTCTCCAGTTCCAACAATTGATTCATTACGAAGGACTGGTATACAAAGTCATCATACTACAGTATATTATTCCACATATAGTTTTGCCCTATCAAATCTATAATTTTCTGAACATTAGAAGCAAAAATGGTTATAACCCAAAGAGATATACTTACTGTGTAGAACTCATTTTTTAAATATACCAACGTGTAAGAAATTATTCTTAGTAAGTTTACTGTCTACGAATCTGCAAGAACTTTATCCTTCATAGGTCATTTTTATGTCTCAGTATTTTACCACATCTGATTCAAACTAATAGTAGAAACTACCCAAATGGCATATATGTTTTTATGTCAGTAAGTAATATTATTGAACCAACCCAATTACCATTATGAACTTTCAAACAAACCTCTAAAATCTATCAACCCATAAAGGAACATTGAAATTGATGGTAAAATTTGATACCTTGGACATCTTGGATTTGGTGTCAGTGATGAGGAAGGACATGTTGTTGATTTCATTCTGCACCACAAAGTTCTGTTCTTCTCTTTTGAAGTTCTAAGAAGTTGCAAAGGAAAGTTCAGTTAAAACAGCTTAGAGAAAAACAATACAATCAGTGTTACACAGAAGTCCAGAGTTTCTTCAAGGACAGACACTTGTTTGTGACTGTTAGGTTAGGGACAACTGTTTTCAGAACTTTATGTGAGTATGATTGACTTTTTCCAATGCTGTGATGGAACTTAGAGCTTTGTCCTTACTAGGCAAGTGATCTATCATGGAGTACATTCCCTAGCCCTCTTACTTATTAGAAGATAAGTTCTCACTCCATAGCTCAAGCAGTCCATGAAATTGTAAGCCTCCTTCCTTCACTTTCTCAGGAGTTGGGATGACAGAACCATATACCATCAGACCCATCTTCCATAGGTATGTTTTGAAGCAGGATACGAAGTTTAGAAAGTTTAAGTCATAAAAATCATACATTACCAAATGACAGTATGAACACTCCATCCCCCAATTTAGCTGGGGAGTGGTTTATGCTGCCTCCTGGGATGAAGACAGTCTTTCAAGAGCACACACAACTCTGATACAACTTTCTATTCTGATAGTTAGTCTATATAATTCTAAAAATACCATAATATTATTTTATGTACTTTTAATTTAGAAACAGAATGGTTTAATAAATTGATTTTAAACATTTGGAAAAAATATCAATATATATAAACAAATTTGACTCTAAGATATATCAATATTTCTATTATTCAAAGTACCATTAAATGAGCCTGCTAAGAATAATAGAGACCTCATTCCAAAATATTCTTTAAGACAAAAATTTAAAGACACTTCATTGGTGTTTAAATGGTTGATGAGTGGATTACATATGTTAATTTTCCAGAAGTTTTTTTTTTTTTTTTTTGGTTTTTTCGAGACAGGGTTTCTCTGTGTAGCTTTGCGCCTTTCCTGGAACTCGCTTTGGAGACCAGGCTGGCCTCGAACTCACAGAGATCCGCCTGGCTCTGCCTCCCGAGTGCTGGGATTAAAGGTGTGCGCCACCACCGCCCGGCTCCAGAAGTTTTTAACTTGTTAAAGCATCTAATCTTGGATTCCTTCTATTTGTCCTCTTGGCAAATAAAAATTGGGTTACCCAAGGGAGAGGGGGAAAGGTAAAAGGCTGTCAGTTATCTCTGCTTTTTGCAGGTGAAGATGGGTTGATTTATCCTAGAATATACATTTTCCCCAAAATATCCCAAATAAGCTAAGGCATCCTTTAAAATGTATTGCACAAAATAAGGAATCATTCATTGGGCATGTTGGCACATGCCAATGGTCCCACAGAGGCAAGAGAATTATAAGTCCGAGGTCAGGCTAACTCCAAGGCCAGCTTAAAATATACAGGGAGGACCTGTGTCAAAATATCAAGGGTTGAGATCTACATCGGGGCAGATCCCTAGCCCAGCATACCCAAGCATAAAACAAACAATTAAAATATCTCATTTGATTTACTTAGAAGAGCAAAAACAACTTAAGAGAATTACCTAGGATGTCACAGATAACAGACATCAATTTGAATATGTACATATACATGTTTAAAAAGTCATTTTAAATCAGACATGTCCTAAAGGATCCAAGAATGTGTTCACTTAAGACTATCCAGGGCTACACGACACACTGTCTGAAAGAGGGGAGATATAAATACTCACCTTAATGTTTATACAGTACTATCAAAATTTTATCTTTAAAAGATAAATTACAGAGCTTAAAAGAGTCTGCATTTCCCTGAAGTCCTCAGAGTCATCTTCCTTCTGTTCTAAGCTATCAGGTGAATTCTAGGAGACAAACTCAAGAAATGCCATTCAGACAGTGACTCCAGGGTCCAAACAACTGGTCTACCTTTGCAAAGCCCTTATCACACATCAAACAGTAGATACTGTTGGCCAGCATTCTCTTACTTACATGGGATTTGGACCAGAAGATGAAGACTTCAGCCACCATGCGAAACAGCTCCTCTGCCTCTGGGTTGGGCTCCTTCAGCCACTTTGCCCTGGAACATATGATAAATAGAGTCTCAGTTAAAGTTAATTATGAAAAACAAAACATCTTCCCCAAAAATCCTTTCTACCAAAGCCTTTTTTTTCTTTAAGAGAGAGACAGAGTCCCTGGCTAGCCTTGAATTTGGTATATAAACCAGACTGGACTTAAACTCATAGAGATTTGCCTACTCTGCCTCTTCTAAATGTTGAGATTAAAGATGTGTGCTGTTATACCCAGTTTGTCAAAGCCAGCTTTATGGACCAAAGAATTCATAATGGTTGAAGGGTAACACTAACATTTAAAAACCTGTAAACATTGTAACTGTCCAACAGCTTTTTAAGAGAAAGAAATTAAAACTAAAAAGTTTAGTTTTATTTTGACAAATGGTTGCTTTATAATCCACATTCACACTTAATATAGAGTATGTTTTATGTATGTATACATATTATTTATATACTATATATAAAACAATTAAAGTGCATCTTTTCTGTATAATCTACAGACTTGCTCATTTATACCTCCAGTCTCTGCTGTAGAAAAAGAAACAGTGTAACAATAGATAAGTTACTTGCAAAGCACAGGAGGCTTTAGCAAACAATAAATACCCAGTGGTAAACTGAAGATGCCCAGTGAGAATTAATGTATGCATTAATGTTTTGTTATGTTAGAACCACAAACAAGCTTGTGGCCCAAGAGTCAGTGAACTAAGTACTCTGTATGAACAGATGAGCCAAGGAGGTCATGAAGGACTTGGGAGAGTGAGTCACTTTGGCACATTGTACCTGTTATAGTCCACAAATCGGATCAAGAGAGGGTAGAAGGCATAGAGATCCCTTGCCAGTGTGGTGAACTCATCTAAAATTAGCAACTCAGCCTCGGACATGTCCCCTCTGGCCTCGGCTTTCAGGTGGTCTTCCTCAGACACTACCATGGCAGCCTTTTTCTTTAGCTTTTCCATCAAGGGCAAGAAATGAGTTTTCAAGAGCTGAGGCTTCACCTTGTTGATGATAGGCTGTGAAAACACTATTTGGAAACAGAAATTAATACTCATCAATGGAAAACACCTATTAAATCAAGATGAGTTGTTGGTGTGATAATGGAGTGAGATCCCTACCTCTTCTCTTAGGGCTTACTTAAGGACAGAGCCCAGGTCTCTACCATTTTTCTAGCCACAAACCTAATTGCATAATTGATATTTAAATGTGATTACTGAATGTGCTTATTTTTAACAAAATTTGACAATTTAGAATAAAATAAAAAAGACTTGGAATCATATCTGAAATCTGTATTATCACACAAAAGCCCCAAACGGAAATGAGTCTTCCAGCTCTTTCATTTTTAGAAGATAAACACTCTCTGCAATATCATCATGCAAGACGTGAGGTTCCCTCATTTCATCCTAACCTCAGCTCATAGAAGGGTTAGATTACATACAGCACTGCTGTCCTAGTTAGCATTCAGTAATAGGCCTAGGCTTACACAAGCAAGTTTTAAGATGGATTTTTACCTTAAAAGTTATATAATGCATGCATATATACAGATACATACATACATTGAATAATAAATATGAGAGAAAGTTTTAAAATACACCTATTCAGATCACTAAAACCCTAGTATATTTCTCTTAGCTTTCATCAATAGATAAACCCATTAACTCATAGTATACATAGTTCATTCTGTGTTCCTTTAAAAATGTTGCTTTTTTTCTCTATATAATATAATGAGTATTTCCCAAGATACAAAACACTGCCAAATATTGAATGCTTGGAGAAAACGTAGTATTTTGGTAAGAGGATAAACAGAAACTATGTACCCCTGCTCCAGCTGTTGGGTATTTAGATTGCTTTCAGAATTTTTATATTTAATATTCCAAAATACTGCAAACTGTACAGGTTTTATTTGATCATCAATTTCTCAGCCTGATGTCATAGGAGAACAATACAAAGGTAGGTTGTTTCAAATCCAGCTTTATTTTTGTCTCTGTCTACATAACCATTATTGATGCTACCAATCACTGTTTCTTGTGCTTGTTAAATAGTCTTATATAGAAATAAATAATTCAGAGACTTGTTTGGAAGTATTAATTATGTAATGAGTACCTCTAATTGTCAATTCCATATAACCCAGAATCACCTGAGAAGAGGGTCTCAGTGAGGGATTGTCTACATTGGGTTGGCTGTTGGGCATGTCTGTGAGGGATTGCCTTAAATTAACTGATATGGAAGACCCAGCCCACTGCGGGTGACATCATTACCTAAGCAGGGGGTCTTGAACTACATAAGAGTGGAGAAATTGAGCTGAGTAACTCAAGCAAGTGATCGAGCATGCATGCATTTATTTATTTTTGCACTTGATGTATTTGACATGACTAGTACTTTAAGCTTCCGCCACTGTGATATCCTGCAAGTGATGTTAGCCCACAGTTCCAGATAAAATAAAATCTTTCTCTCAAAGGATGCTTTTTGTCGGGATATTTTATCACAGCAACAAAAGTGAGATGAGGGCAGGTAGAGAATGTCTGATCTTCTCTGTATCTTTTTAAACAGTGTAACAGGACTAAGCAATGAGAGTTTTGAGCACAGAAGAAATCATTAGTGATTACTGTGGGAAGTTTATAGCCGTCAATATTTCAAATCTTCTCTGGAAATAAAACAAATGGTAGTATGCGTTCTTTCTACTTCTTACCTGCTAAGCGTTTCATCCAGGCTCCTTCGTCAATCCCTAGGTTGTTGTAGATGATTTTGAGAATGTTACCCAGCAGTGTGTTCATGTGCTCTGAGTTGAGAGCTGTGCAGCACATCTCAGCTCTCTCTGGGTGGTTCTCAGGACCGTGTTCCCACCATCGTGACATATAGCTGCACAGCATGGGCAGTACAACCTCCATCATGTGTGGCATCTGAGTGTAACGGATACCTGACTCTGCCAGCTCTATAATCTCAGCCATGAGCTTCTCCAGGGATGGTATATTTGGGCAGACATCCTCCACATTTGCTGGTAAACTGAGAGCTGGAGAAATACAGATAAAATTGGATTGTGCTCAATGAAAAACAGGCACCATGTAGTAGACATGACTGTCTCAAGCAGATACCATATTTCATATTGAGCTTCAAAACTCAGCTAAACCTGGCCACCTTTCTCCTGGCATCTCTTCCTTTTATCTCGGCTGTCATTTCAAAATGCTTTCCTAATCCTAAGATCCTACCTTGCCGTCACTCTCTTAGGCTGGTAGACAGCTGCTCTGCCTACTCCACAGCAAATAAGAATTTCTCTCTCCCTCTTGCTCCTGGCACTCACCATTTTCAAGCCATCTCTGTGTGGCTTTATTCACCTTTATTCCCATTTTTTAGAGGAAGGAGATTCTGAGGTACTTCTCTTGCTACCTCTTATCTGAATGATTTTCCCACCACAGGCCCTTGCTCAGGTCTCTATTCCCAGCCTTTTCCTCTCTGGCTCCTGGACAGCCATATCTACAAATGGGCAAATGCCTCCAGAAGTTCTACTTCCTAGGTATAATTGTACAGAAACTAAACTCAGTTTTCCACCACATAGGAAAGTCATGACTTTACATCCATAGCTCACTGGTTGCTAGGTAGCCTTTCCCTTTTCTGAAAATGCCTCCTTCCTTATCATCACCATCTCCAGTCTCTGTGACTCTCTATTCAATACAGCACCATCCTTAACTCTTTTCTCCTTGTTAAATTAGATGTTGGCTTCTTTGAAGATTCATTTTAGCCCCTCTCTTCCTCCACTTACATATTTGTTTTGACGACTACATCCACTGCTACTGGCTTCTATTTGCTATGCCTAATCAATCCTTCAAAGTTTTATTTATTCATCTTTTTTTTTTCTGTCTAACCAGGACTTTTTTTTCAGGGTCCACTGAAACACAATGGGTTTAAACTTTTCACTTCCTCTCCAGCCTACTTAACTCAAAGAAGGTGTTATCCAATCAGTCATCCTGGATTGATACAGCTAAACCTTCCTCGGCTCACATCTGAGATGATTCTCCCTCCAGAAAATCTCATAACCACCCACTGCCTGTTCTTCCCAATGGGTATTGTCCGGTCACATCGTGCCTCGGGCTCTCAGCAGAGCTGAACTTTTACTCTCTTACTGCTGTCAGGATGGATGGCCACAGCACATGTTCTCTGCGGGGGGTAAATGAATCGTGTTTGCTGTTGGCTTCAGTTCCCACTCGTGGTTCCCCTCCTCTGTCTTTGCCGTCTTGCTTCATTGTCGGCTCACCTCTCCTGGGAGCTATCTCCAGTCAATGTGAAATGCTTGACATTTTCCCTAACGAACCGGAGTTTCTGTCTTCTCAATTTCAAGACTCATCCCGAGTTAGCTGTGTTAAGTCTTCCCAGGGGCTCTAGAATAACATTGCTTCCTGGTGCCCAGTAGTCTTTATTCTGAATTCTATCACCCATGTCTATCAGTCTCTGTCTGTACTATAAGCCAGAGCACCTCAAGGGAAGGAATCGAATCTTACTCATCTTTATATCATATCTCCTCTATTTATCATAACCTCACAAAATTGATTCTGAAATGATTGACTAATGAAATCATAAAATTTAATTCCCTTTCCTATGCAAATGAGGTGATAAAGAAACCTGCGCATGTAAATATTCTGCTTGCACAGCTCCTTATCTGTACAGAGGTAATAAATCCACTTTGTTCTTGATTCACAGCCAAATACTAATGATTCACAAAGCCTACAAAAGATGACTCTATATTATTACATAGAAAAATCAACAATTTGAACTTAACCATTTTCACTACTTACAAATATATAGAAATTATGTAAAAATATTCCTATTGCATATTCAATACATTTGCCTATAGTTTCATTTATTATATGAAGTGAGACTGACAAAATAGGCAAGTTAAATAATAATTATTCAGGTCATTACTTATTAGTAAGCTTCATTAAAAAAATCAAATACCCAAATACCCAACAGTGTATCTAGGTGACAGAGAATCAAGTTCACAGGTAGCTGCGCATACCAGGTTTTGAGGACATTCTAGGATTATTAGAAAGCAAGCAACATCCAAAGACTTAGGAAAAAACTCAAACAGGAAAGTTCCCACCAGAGGGCACCTGTGACATACTGAACCTTTAGAGCTGATCTTGACTATTCTGCGAGGCTGACTAGAAGAATAACTAGAGCCTACTCACTTTGCAATCAACCCAGCTCACATTCTAGTAGGTTTTTACAGGTAACTCTCTGAAATCATCAGCAAGGGAGGAAATGTCTTTTTCAGTTGGAATCATGAGCAAAAAATATGGCTATCTATGCAACAAACAATCAGATTCTCCTGCATGGGATACCATGTATGGACTTTGAGTCCATGACACACTGAATGTACACACAAACTCATGGATCTTAGGAAGACACACCTTATATCCAGGTGTAAACTAAAGTTGTTGGTTAAGTTTCTCAGAATTCCAATTTTAAGGTTGTTTTTTTTTTTAAGTGATAGAGGTCAAATCAGCTAACGAAAAAATTTAAAAGCACATGGATAGGATGAACAAGTTGTCATTTGACATTGGAATGAACAGTGTGGCATTCACACATACATTCATACATACACACATAAGCACACACACACACAAAATAAACATTAAAAATTTTAAAAACAATGAAAAGCATAAATTCATCAGTGAAATAAATAACGATATTGTAACCCTTCCTGACTTACTTGTAAGACAATTTAATAAGAAAGCAGATCAACCTACTTTCTTCATATTTGCTGATTATTTTGTCTTTCTCAGTAGGGTATTCATTTGTCTGTGGCTCGTTAACTTAGGAGCAATTAAACAAATTTTCCTTCAGAAACATTAGAAGAACCACACATTACAAAAGAATGTTGTTATAACACAAGAACAAAGATCCTCATAGATCATAAATTCAAGGGGATAATTAAAAATCACTGCATTATAGGAAACCTTCTATTTACTATCTATGCCTATACATGATCAAGCATACAAAAGATTAAAATTATGTGATGTTTAGCCCACATATGCATAAACTGCATCAAATTATGAACTACCCCATCTGTTAATCAAGGTAAGAAATCACCCCACCCTGCCCCTTGTAGCCAATTACTCCTCCTCCAGAATCCTGGAAAGGAAGCTCCTTTGGTAACCTGGGCTCATGAGCAACCCTATTAAGGCACACTGCTTCCTTACAAGATCACTACCTTGTACTTTCAGAAGTGAGAACTTCTGAATAAATGATATCACTATGCCAAGCACAAAATGCTACAGAAAAAAATATACACCATCTAGACGCAGCTTCATTTCTCAAAAAACAAGCATAGTTCTGTGTTACCTGCTCTCTCCCGTGAAGATCTGGTGTTGTAGATGGAGTAAATGTTATGTTTGTCCAGGTGGGTCTCCAAAAAGGCTATAGGGAAGGCACCAGCAAAGGCAGCTAGGCATTCTCCGAGTGCAGATCGTTGCCTACAAGTGCAAAATATTTATTGTTTCCAGCTGAATAACTGAAGAAGTTACATTAAAATTGGTAGATTTAACTTACAAGTGGGATACATAACTAAAATAAAAATTGAAAAATATTTTAAAGTAAAATAATGTAATATTTTATGTTAATTTAAGTCACATTTATAATATTTATATACTTCTTTTATGAAGTTTATAATATGCTTAAATGCTACAAAAAAACCCTGAAATCCAGTTTTGTATATTACAGGGGGGAAAAAAGAATTATATGCTTTGGTGACCAAATCTTGATCCATTGGATAAAAGCTAAATTGTCTATTAGCAATAACTTCAAAATCAGATTAACAAGACCAACAAATCACTCAAAATCTGAACTGCTTGCCTCTTCCTTTCTTCCCTTTCCTTTTTAAAATAAAACAAGGAGAAAATTTCTGCTACTGACTTAGTGGATTCAGAAGAGTAAAAAGTTGAAGTAATAATACTGACTATGATTTATGCAAATTTACCACATAAAAATAATTTAATCATAGCTATGAAATGTTAAAATACATTAAATGGATATCACCTGAAGCTGACTTATCATTTATAATAAGAAGAAATCAGAGTATGTCTCATTGATTGTGGACAGAGCTTAAAGTCTGATAATATCTCCTTTTATTAGTAATTTACTTAATTCATGGCTTTGTTGGAATCTTAAGTTGTTCATCAAAGAAAGACTGATAGGAAAGTTATTTAAGCACATTATAAACTTCCTAAAAGAAGTATATAAATATTATAAATGTGACTTAAATTAACATAAAATATTATGTTATTTTACTTTTAAATATTTTTCAATTTTTATTTTAGTTATGTGCATCTGTGTGTGGGTATGTGCTTGTAGGTGTAACTGCTCTCAGAGGCCAGTAGAGGGCGATGGGTCTCTTGGAGCTGGTGTAACAGGTGATGATGAGTCAATTGAAGTAGCCATTGGAAACAGAATTTGGGTCCTCTGCAAGAGCAATGTACTCTGCTGAGATCTCTCTAGCCCCTACACAATATTTCTTATTAGGTAGTTTAAATATCCCAGAAAATAAACATGCCCAGTCACTTAATGACAGAGATATTTTGTTTGTGGCTGAGAATTTTTATTAGTAAAGAGCTTTAAAAGTTGGGTCCTAAGTGATCTAATCTTGGGTATCTTGCTCTCTATATTGTGTGGTTACTCAACTGACAAGCACAATCTGCCATTATATTCATCAGTTCAGTTCTCTGTGGGTTCTGGCTTCTCCCAGCAGGTTCAAGACCCATGATGGTGGAAAATTATCTTTTTCACTGCTGCATCTCTATCCCTGCATCAGGCATTTAACTAATAATTAATAATCAAACAATAGCATGAAAAGGTAAATCTGAATAATGGAAAACCTAGAGAGGAAAACTAGAATTGATATTTGAATTTTTGCCTACTAAAAAAAGTATGATGTAAGCTTTTGACATTATAAAACTAAGGAGAAAAAACATGTATGAAGTAATTGACAAATGTCGCTAAACAAAAATCGAAAGTCCCCATGTATAAAAAACTACCTGCACATAATAGGCAAGAAAAGAAAATTCATAGAATTAAAAAATATGAGTGCCAAAGTAAACACCAAAGAAATAGGAAGCAAGGAAAAATTAAGAAAATGTCTTTGAGGATAAAATTGAGATTCTGCTGCTAAGTCTTCAGAGCTAAAACAGAGGAGAACTGAGCATGTGGGTCTTTAAGGGTGAGTATAAACCAAACCAATTTTGTGAAAAGATAATGATGAGTCATAGCTATTTCACATATGAATGCTTTTAGCCATGAATTTCTAAATTTGGGGATTATTATTGGTTAGGAAAATAATCACAAATAGACACCACTTAAAGCTTTGGGAGCAGGTCAAACGCTGATGTGCAGACTTAGTTTCCCTGTCAACAGCATTTGACAGTGGTGAATCACTTCTGTCTGGAATGTGAGAAAATGAAGCTGGCTTAAGTGAGCTTCTAGCTTATTTGATATATTTTTGGATGGATGGGTGGGTGGGGCAGGCATGTAGGAACACATCTGGAGACCAGAGGTCAACATTGAGTTACTTCAATCACTCTCCATCCTAGTTTTTGCACCTGGAGCCCACTGATTCATCTACACTGGGCTGTCGTCAATCAAGCTCCGAGGATTCTCCTGCCTCTGGCCCTTAGCCTGCAGATTGCAAACTAAGCGCTGCCATGTTGGGCTCTTTAGATGAATGTTGTGGGTCTAAACAGGGATCTTCACTCCATAAGCCCTTTAGTTTGTCTTTCTGATACAAAGTAATAATGCTCGCAGACACCCCTCCTAAGCCTTACAAGCTCTAAGTTTAAATTTTATATACTATGCTGCTATGTAAAAATATAGTAATTCTTAACTTAAAAACTGTCTAATTCCTCTAGAGAAACTGGACAGATTAATCAGGGTTGCTTCAAAGGTAAGAAACATGTATAAAACAAAGAGTTTTGGGGTGCAGTTGTCCTCAGCACTAGGCTGTTTTTAGCTCTTACCTTTCCACGTAGATGCTCTTGCTCGTTCCCAAGGCATACAAGCTGGTCAGAATTCTGTAACAAGACACCTGAACATCCTCCACTGAGAACAAAGAGAGTCTCCATTGAGAAGTGAACACTTACATGACAGATAAGCCTGAGAAAGTTTAGGCTGAACCCAGAATTTGTCATTAAACTCATTCTAATGTTTGAAACTTTGGAAAATGCAAAATAAGAACACATTTACAAAGTAAAGCATAAAAGCTTCTTTGAAAAATTCTTTAAAACACTTTAAAGAATGTGTTGTGATTATCTTGATCAGTGGTTCTCAACCTTCCTAATGCTGTGACCCTTGAATACAGTTCCTCAGGTTGTGGTAACCCCCACCATAAAATTATTTTTGTTGCTACTTCACAGCTGTAATTTTGCTACTGTTACACATCATAATGTAAGTATCTGATAGGCATGATATCTGTTATGCACCCTGTGTTAAAGGGTCCTTCATTCGGAAAGGGGTCACGAGCCACAGGTTGAAAACAACTGATCTATAACATCCTCAGAAACATTTTTAATAGTCTCTCTGTGTGTTAAAGGAAAGGACTTGCCCAAGAACAAAAGAAAGCACAAGACTATCTGGAAGGACAAGGGATTTATAAACATATTGAGTATTGTTATGGGGAGAAATAAATATTTTATCTTCTATGAAGGTTTGCTTGGAAAAGGTCTTCTAGTTCACCCCATGTTAAATATAATAACTGTCTGCTACCATAACTCACAAATGATATCCCTAGTGCTCTGACATTCAGATATAAGTTTCTCCAGGAGATTTTTTAAATTATTTTTTAATTAGGAATATTCTTCTCTGCCTGTCTGTGAGTACGTGTATGTTAGTTCAGGTATCTGCAGAGGCCAGAAGCCTGGATCCTCCTAGAGTTGGATTTACAGGGGGGTGTGGGCCATCTGAAGTATATTTTGGGAACCACATGTACTGCAAGAACAATATATACTACTAATCAGAGAACCATCTTTCCATCCCCTTCCTACAGTATTTGATGTTAGAAAAACCAAACAAAGAATCTAGTAAAAATATCTTTAAATCATTGAATAATACATGCTTAAAAGGCAAAGAAATCTAAGAAATGTGACTTTCCAATTCCAACCCTGCTGCCATGCCAGGTGGGATATACCACCAACAGAAGAAATTATCTTTGCTATCAGACCTACTTCCTTCTATACTCTGGGCCACAGCAATGTTCCCACTGGTGAAAATTAAGGTTTTGCCAATGCTAGCAGAAGAGCCACTGAACCTCACAGTGGTTTCACATTGCACTGTCCATCATCTGGGAAACCTATACTATGAAAGTCTCCGAAAGTGTGTCAGCTCCCCCAAAGCTCCTTGCGCATCCCATGTCACTATGAACAGACCTACAAAACATCAGGACAACTCAAGTGTTAATTTTCCACGTAACTTTGGGTATTCTGAGGACAATTTTTAAAAAGAACTTAAGAGTTCCGGCTCCAAACCAGCTAATTAAATATCTCTCAGAATCACACTCAAGCCTATCAACAGTTATTTGTGCTTGTCATAGTCCAGTGTTCTAGATGCTGCATTTGGCTCAGTACATTTCATATTATTTGATGGACTAACTCATAGTCCAGTCAGCAATCTGTGTTAGACTCAAAACTGATTTGAAAACATTTAATGTGGCATGGCTCTGTGTTCCAAATCTATTGAAAGTAAATATTTGAAAGGTGCAATGGATTCATGGAATTTGGTGGAACCTGAGCTTCAAAAGTGCAGAAGATATAAGCTAAAATGGTAACTTTACTCCAGGGCCATGTGAGGCACAGACCTGTCCCTGTATGAATGGTTTCTCTAACTAGTACACTCATCTATGCTGTTCTGTAATAATAAAAGCATCTGCATGCAGAAGCATGTTGGGATGACCCTGATGATGCTAGTTCAAAAGTCAGCTCATAAGGACCAGATTTACATACATATCAGATCTTCTCCAAACTGATGCTGGCCAATGTGTTCAAACAGGGATGAGAGCATGGGCAACAGTGCCACGGTGGTATAGTTGATGATCTGAGTCACCCCTTTGGGCTGGCTCCGGGTGTGAGTAAACTGGCCCTGCTTAAGATTTTCCATTGTCTTTTCCAGATCCTCTGCTGCATTGTCCAGAAAGGCCCTGAGAGCACTTTTCACACTGTCCAGGCCCGTCTTCATCACAGTCCTGGGAAATCAAGAAGGAAGAGATTGGACCTTCTGACAGCAAGAAATCAAAGGAGAAAATCTGTGCCCCTCCCCATTATGCTATCTTTCTACTACTACAGTATCCATAACACATTTAACTTTTCAAAAATTTTATTGGCATACATTAATTTATAAAATAATGGTTTTGTTATAACATTTTCACGTATGCACATAATCTATTTTAATCATATTCACCTCTAATTACCTTCTCTTGTTCTCCTCCCACTGAATCCTCCCTCTTTCCAGAGAGTTCTACTTCCATGTCTTTGTGTATGTGTGCTCACATAAGTGCATGCATATGACCAGGTGGTGAACCAATGAGTCTATAAAGGGTTACTTACCCGGGCACAGGAAAGAGGTTATTTACAAGTGCTCGGGCAACTTAGCAGTGACTACACCAATAAGGAAAATGTCTCCCCCATCCCTAGAAACTATTAGCTGCCTATACATCTTCAAGGAAGGGAGGGCCTTAGCAGCTCCCTCCTCCCTTAGCAACTGTTAACTTCATTTTTATATCAAATCTAAAATAAGTCTTCTACATATCTGAAGTTACAGGAATGCTGCTTTGGCCAGTCACTTTTCACAAATGACCTCACTGCTGATGTCAGTAAGGACCGGGAACACAATAATGCTTTAGGATTTCTGTTAGTGGTCTGGGATTTCATAGTCAACACAACAGCAACTTTCAGCCAGTTGGCTAATCCTATATCCAACAACACAAGGACACCTTCTGAGGCAACAGGCATGAAGGAAACACCATCTGAGGTGAGCAGTGACAATGCTAAAACACTTCCAAGGGCAGCAGGTGCAACCTTATCTAAAAAAGCCAGTGAAGGCTTGGCTTTCTGAAGAAGTGACAACCCAGTCCACTGCTCCTGGAAGGGAATGGATGTGTAAACTCCATCTCCTTTATGTATTACAGTGATACCCCCAGAAAAGTTTAAACATAAGGTTGCAGTCAAGGAATGTCACAGAATAGTCCCTATAAGAGATATGAAGTGGTCAAATTTGTATTTATAGATTGAACTAAATTGATTGTTAAAAGGCAGCATCGATCATGCTAAACAATGTTGTACTTGTGCAACATTCCTGGTTTGTGGAACAGAATAGCTAGCACACTGACTTGGGGTTCAGTTGGCCTATATACATCCTGTCCTGTCTTAGACATCACTTCACTCAAGGAAGATGAATCTCTCTAGCTTTTCACAAAAGCAGGTATCATCATGAATGTTGAGCACAGGCACCACCCTTGGGAGCTAAACAGGTTCCTCAAATTGTCCGGCTGCTATTGCTCTTCATAAGGTGCATTCCTAATTGATAACTCAGTTACAAAATCAGCTGCTAGAGAAATGCTGTGAAGATTAAATAACCTTAGGGTTGTAAAAACGAAGCGTGGCTGTATCAATAATTTACAAGGTTTCTTTTCAGTTGTGCCAAAGTGTTCATGAAATCACCAAAATAAAAACAAGACATGTGGTCCCATTTAAATGTTCTTGTATGTCAGAACCTTATCAATTCATTAGACAAAACTGTGCCTAGTTACCTTGCATCCAACGTCTGACCCAGAATATGAAGACAGTTCACAATTGAAGTAGCATCATTCCCTGAAGGGGAAACAAAACACTTCATAAATTGCCTTCAGAATTTCTTAGCCTTCTCCTGCCCTATTAACACATGTGCTGCAAACATTGGTTAATTCACACAATTCAATCATAACTTAATGAAAAAGACTTTTGAAGACTCAAGTTGGAAATCATGCAGTTTCTCTGCTTAAAAGTGGTTATGCAAATGTAAGTAGACAAGCGGCGGAGCATGTCTTACCAGACAGCAGACATGCTCCAGAAGCATTCGAAAGCATCGCACGAAACTAAAGGAATTTTTGCTGAACTCCTCAGATACGTTCCTCTCCCCACACTAATGCACTGTAATACATACAGTATGCAAACTTTTAAAGTCACCACATATCTTTCTGAAGTGAGATGAACCAAACTTCTACACGTTTTAATTCTATTTTAATTACTTCAGGAGTCTCTGCTTTCTTACTTCATTCAATGGCCTCAGTGAGAATTAATATGCCTGAATTCTGATGTGGTAAAGTGGATTGATTTATCCAAACTTTGTTGGTCTTTGGCTAAAAGGGAAGCAACAAATAAATTCATTTTTAACATATAAAACTAGAGATTGGAGAAGCTAAATGGAACTCTTGTTTTTAAAGCATTTTTTTTAATTATGTGTATGTGTATGTGGTTATGTACACATAAGCAAGCCAGAAGAAAGTGTCAGATGCCCTTGAGCTGGAGCTATAGGTGGCTGTGAGCTGCCTGAGGTGGGTGCTGAGAACTGAATCTGAGTCCTCTGCAAGAGTAGTACATGCTCTTAACCACTGAGCCATCTCTCCAGAACCTTAAACAGAACTCCTTTGCATTACTCAGAACGTAATTTTTAAAAACAATGAGATTCGGGCATTTTGTTTGCCATTTTGTATATAAAGTACAAAATTATGAGTGACATAAACAGTGTGTGTATGTGTGTGCATGTGTGTGTAATGCTCAGTGATGGGTATTTTAAAAATAAATAAATAAATAAAAATGATGACTCCATTAACAAATAATTTGACTACCAAAATGTGTTTAAGCCATATCAGTCTTTGTTCTATACTTTCATCACACACACACACACACACACACACACACACACACACACACACACACACATACACATACACATACTCGATCTTTAGGACAATGAGTCATGATTCAGTGTAAGTTTTTGTAACACCTGTATGTTATCTTCTTTAGACAAAAACACATCTCAAAATAGCCCACTTACATATACGTGGGTAATCATCCCAAACAGGAGCAGGCCAGTTTAGACACATTGTAAGACAAAAGACACTCTCAGTTCTAGACAGATACTGTCCTCAGAGATGCTTGGGGCTTTAAAGGGATTTCTTATTCATTGTCTCTACCATGCCCAACAAGCCCAGCACAACCTGAGCCTTTTAAGGATAAAATACACAGACTAATTTTCTGATACCTCCTGATGGCAGATAGCAGTAATTATTCAAATACACAAGGGATTTTGATGGGAGACATCAAACTATCAATGCAAATCTAATCTTCTAACAGCCAGGGAGAGATTACAAGAAAAATTTTCTCTGAATTAGGTCACTTAGCTTTTAGTTTGGAAACTTGTCCAAATATAAATTCAAGGTTTGTGCACTAGCGAAAATTAAGTATCCTCAACTGGAAAACAGAAAAATTCCATAAAACAAGTAGCTTCCTTTTAAACATCTGATATTTATGCTGCGCCAATATCCTCCCAGCTTACACTGTGGTGAACTGCAGTGATATTGTAGGTTCAGATTTAGGGCCACTATGAGGTGAAACCAAAAGAATTCTTGGACAGTTTGCTTGTCATGTACAAAATGCTGGCTTCATAAGCATTTCTGGACGTTTCCATGTCAAAAGTTTGATACATTCTCCACTGTCTCAGAGAAGTATCTTGGGGGACTGAGTGTCTTACTAGGAAAAACTTACATTTTTTTTCCTTAATAATTTTCAAAAAATAAAAACAAAATTAAATGTTGTGTTATTTGAATGCAAAAAGAAAAAAAAAGCTCTTGCAATTTACAGCACTTACTATTTTGAATGTCTGTTATCTTTCTTCTCTATTAAGACCCTGGGCTCCTTGAGAGCAGGATCTGATTGGTTCATTCATCCCTTCACTTGTCAGGTATTTTTAAAAGGTTATCATGTTCCAAGCTTCCTGCTGAGCCCCATAAAGACAAATGGAAGCCAGAAGGGCAGGAATCTACTGCATTTAGTGGGGATTAAGAAGGCAAGTGTTAGGTGTGGGGAATCTCATCCCACAGAGTAATTCAGCACCAAAGACCCTGAATGAAAAGGGACATGACACACGGCAGAGATAGAGAGTTTGCAGGAAAGCTGAGGTAGCATAGTAAGCAAGGAAAAACATGATGACGAGAACGGATGGAGTGGCACATGAGGAAGCCAGCACACAGGACTTGCATGCTCGGGTTATTCTACAGGAATGAAAGGCACTGGGCATGCAGGAGTAGGATAGGAGGCTGTTGTCTAAGGAAGACATGACCGCATGGGGCACAGAGTGGGAAGAGGGAATTCAGAGAGAATGGGTTCTTTGGTCCGGGAGTAGCACAGGTAAAAGTGTTTGTAGATTGACTTCAGTGTAACAACAGAAAGAAAATTCATTTCTCCATCTTCACATCCTAAGATACTGTCTCACACACAGCAGACACACAATGACCACATATTCAATGATGCATTTGAAGCACAGTTTTTTTCTTTGTGTTGCAAACAATGCCCTTAACAGACATTTCAGGCACAACTCTGTGACATCATCGCTGAGGTGGTTCTGCCTTCACATCCTGCACCCTCTACCAATGACAAAAGGGCTTAATATCATGGGTAAGCTTGGGGATGCTCTGGTTGTCTTAAAGTTAGCAAACAGAATTCCTATCTAGGAAAGTGGAGAGTATTAATAAGAATAAAAACAATATTTTTTTAGCCAACACTGGGCTCTTAGAATGGCAAGTGAGGTCCTCTGTCTTGTCAAAGTGTCTAAGTGTTATTCCCATCCCAACTGAATTTCCAGAATTCATGTGTGCACCAGCTTAGAGAGTCAAGCAAACACTTCAGAGTTCAAATGGGAAAGCATGGATTTAAGCAAGGTGGCATTTTCTTTCTTTCTTCACCACCCCACCTCACAAAATAGCCTGCTCTGTTCACCAAACCTCTACAGTGAAAACACCCATCCTTGGAAAAAGTCTCTTTACCATTTTCCCACATAATGTGAAATGCTTTAAGAGCCTCAGAATAACAATTCAGAGCATGAGAGCTGTTGGGTTGGTCTCTTCTTTTCTTTGGGTTTTTGATGTATAGAAAAGATTTTTAAAGGAGATCAAAGACACATGCAAATATGGGGAGTCAACTTTTAGTAATCCTCGAGGTTTAGATGTCATAACATTATTGTGACTACCAGAAGAATTGTAGATATTAATTTAATTTGACAGATAATACAGACTAAATATCCCTAGTACATTCCAGACCAGCTCACCACAGTGACCCCAACAGCAAGAACTTGGTCTGCTTATTGCTCTCCCCTGGTCTCCAGTGACTAACTATAGAAGGTTAATGTGTATCTTTTTGTGTCTTCAATTTTGGTACCCATTATCAAACCTAAATAGTTCATAGAGGTTAAATCTGTCTCAACTATTTCCTAAATGAAATTATGAATTATTTTCAAGTATTATTTTTTATTTATGTTTATGTGTGTGTATCACATGTATGTGGGTGCCATTAAAGCCCAGAAGGAAGATCTCTTGAAACTAAAGTTTCAGGGGTCATGAGCTGCCCAGTCTGGGTACTGGAAACTGCCCCTGGGTCCTTTGCAAGAGAAGTACATACTCTTAACTGCTGATCCATCCTTCTGGCTCCAAGTGATGAGTTTTTCTGAACTAAGGCAGTATATATGATAGAGTTGATAAACAGCTTATTTCCTGCCAGAATGAAGAAAGTCATATGCAAATATATATGAGCTAGGATAAAAGAACTAAATAAAAGAGTAATGTGATTATACGCATGCATCTGCTTTATATTTGCTTAGGTCTCTCTAACAAAACCCATCTCTGATGCAATGGGGTATGCAAAGGTCTTGTGCATCCACTTTAAATAGCCACATTTTATATTTAATTTGATTCACCTATGTAAGAGCTAATAAATAAGATTCAAAGGAACCCAATAAGTAAAATCTAATGGTTCAAACTAGGATATGAACACAGCAAGTTCACAGTTTCCATGATATCTCAACATTCATTAACTCAATTAGGTTTAATATGCACAACAAATTTCTAAGATTAGTGGTGATTTTAAGCCTACCACAAATACAAAAAAGTAAAAGTTTAGGTATTCAAGTTTCTTGCCCAAATCATTCAAATAGTTAATTCTCGAAAGCAGCATGTACATAGTCAAAGCCCAGTGCTCCCCACTAGTGATCACTGAGTCTAAAGGCAGGCTGTAATTGTGCTATGTAAAGTCTGTGTGCTAAAACTTAAAGACTCTATTAACTAGACAAGTCTATATTAGAGCATGTTTGAATGTTAAAGACATGTTCCAGCTTAATGGATTTCAAATATTGCATCTAGCTAGATATTAAGATCACACAAGAAAGAATAATTTACCACCCCCATCATGGGAACAACAAACTATATTACACATTTATCGTAAGTTACCCTTAGATGATATACTTGAGAGAAAACAATATTAGTCTAAATAACAGGCAAAAGAAATCCTTGCTCATGGAACATCCATGTAGTGATCCTTTGGAAAAGTTTATCATTTTTAAAAATGGCATAACGAAAGTAAGTGCCAGGAATGTTGGAAACTTTGTCTTGACCTGACTATTGATTTAGCAGATGTGTAATTATGGGAAGTTTCTTGTTCTCAATATGTATGTACTTTGTCATGTACATGGGATATGTTAAATTTTCCTAAAGGGGGATTAATGAGATAAAACAAAAGAAATAAGGTTATTAAATGGGTGGCTAGTGAAAAAGAGTTTAACCGTATTATGCTTTCAAGTGAGTATATAGACACTAGCATTGACAGACAAGCCCCCATCAGAGCTATCCATAATTAGACAGTACTCTCTGATGACAAAGGGGGTGTTCGAACCTGCTGTCACTCCAAGAAAGCTGAAGAGAATATGAAAATCTTGTCTGAAGAATTTTCACATGAATTGTTGTCTATTGATGAGAAGTTAAACAAAAATGGTTAAGCAGAAATCATTCTGAAGATAACTGCCCTGAAATTTTTAAATATCTTAAGCAATAATGCAAAAGCCCAGACAATGTATATGAAATATGAGTTAACTGATAAACAGAAGTGTACTAAACACTGCAGATCAAGAAGTACACAGTACAGTAGTAGCTAGTTGTAGCAAAACCTATTACTTATTACAAATTTCAATAAGAATGTATATTATTTGTGCCTGTCTCTATATGAATAAGTGTGTGTGTGCATCTATTTATGTCTATAAGACTCTCTGTTTATTCACTGTGACTTTTACAAAAAGGACTTAGTTTTCTAAGTCTTTAGTCTTTCATAAAAATATAGTTAAATTGAAAGCATTTCTAGCAATATATCTCTATAAAACATTCCAACATTATCCCCAAAATCTAGAGAGCAAAGGGCTCAATTTGCTTTGGCAGTTTATATAATCAGATAAAAGAAAGTGAGTGCCTGGAATATGCCGGCAGCTGCCAAGTCCTAAAGTCCCAGGTAGGAACAATGGCAAAGGTGAGTGCCCACCCTGCACAGCTATCCAGGAGCGTGTCCTTCACCAACATGGACCATCGGGCATGTCAGAAAAAGGCTGGGGTGTGGAAAGTGGTGCTAGAGAAGCCACTTTGACCAAGCAAAGCTCTTGGGCTCTATGGTCTCAATTACCAAGCTCCAAGGTTTGGAAAGCAGGAGACAAATATATCTGTAGTCAAGAACATTGAAAATACAATGTAAAGTCCCAAATTTGGATCGATATCAGCTTATTGTTTAATCTTACGGGGAGAGCCAAGCAAAAATCCAAGAGCCTGGTTTCATTTTACCCTTGAAATGGTAAATATGGCAGAAACCTGCCATTTTCATTCTTTTGCTTTTTTAATTGAATATGCTTCCGTTTTCAGTCGTGTTTTGGACTGACTTAGGGAAGACACAGCCCTCCATTTTTCCATAGGTAATGTCACTTACATACAACCTCCAGGAACTTGTCTGGCCTATGATGGCCATGCATGCAGCCATGCAGTCATGCATCCATGCAACATAGCAGCACACAACACAGTGCAAAATTAGCAAAGAAAAGCCCCTGATGGCCATGCTCAGAAATTTCCCAACGGTCTCCTTACCAAACAGTGAAATCCTATGCCTGACAAGAACTCCAAGTTTGCAGAACAGGCTGAGGACAAAAGAAAAACAAAAGGAGAAAAAGGGAGGGGGAGGGGAGGTAGAAAAAAGACGGGGAAATTAAAAATAAATCAAATAAGATGAGAAGAAGAAAAGAAAGAAAGAAAAACAAGACAGCTGACCTATGAGCCGGAAAAAAGCAAACATGATGTCACGCAGAAAGGGTCGACTCTCTGAGCAGGATGTGGAGTAAGAGAGTAAAGAAAGAATTTCTGCGTCTCTTAACAAACATGGTTAAAAAAGCACATATTGTAAGTAAAGAAACAAAATAAAATAGAAAGCAAAGCTCATTAATACAGAAGCCATCTCTATAAACCTCACAAGGAATGGAACTACAGAAAAACCACATGGAAAAAGTCTAATTCAATCTGCCCAAATACACTTGGTTACTATCATGGGCCTTATTTACAAACAGAAATGTGGTGCTTTGGGCATAAATGCTACTGTAAGTTTTATTACTCCTTTATTGGGTAAAATGCCTCTTCTAAACTTCACTGTGCTCCTTATGTAAATACCAAACATCCTATGAATTTAGATTTCATGAATTAGAAATGGAATCTGAACTGATTATCTGATGGTCAGTCAGCGGAAATGATAGGTGTGATAACCAGGAAACTTCTTAACAGTGATGGATGAGTTGAGTGTCTTATTTCCCTACCTCGGGGTCCCAGGAAATCTACAGTAGCTATCAATGGGACAACTCAGGTAACCACAACATGTATTCCACAGTCAGCATCAGAACCTCAAACCTACTACCCCTCAGTGGAGATTCCAGAGCTGTGAGGGCAGGTGCAGCCTCTGCCTCTTTGCCCATTCCAAGCCCCATGGCCTCCCAAGAGTCCCTATTCTAAAGATACTCTTTGTTGATATTGATTGCTATACCTCACTTCCTTCTCACTGTCCTTAACCCTGTCCCTCAGACTCAGCACATGCTGTATAGACTCCAAGAAGCCTTTCCTGATGTCCAGCTCTCCAGTGACACTGCTATCTCCAGGTGTCCCTGCTGATGCTCCCAGGAACCGCCAATCAAGTTCCACCACAGCATTTAATCCAGCAGGTAACAGCCTCCACTCACTTCTATCTCTCTACTCTCTTCTGAGCCCTTCAGAGAACAGCTCTTGTCCTAGTCAGCACTTCCTGGCACTCTTCCCTGGAGGATTGTGAAGGCCTACCTAATCTGGGCTTCTCTAGTGGGGTGAGCTGGCTCCGCACTACCAGGCTCTCTGGGAAAGCTCCTCTTTCTAGGGTACACCAACCCTAGAGACCAGCCACACAGGAAAATAAAGGGACTAAATCCAGGAAGACGGAAGGGAAGAGTCTCACCTTTGTGTGCTGACCTCTCTTTTAGTAAATTTTAACCTGATGGCTCTGCACTACTTCATACCACAATGGATTAATCGTTTTTTTGAAAATGTATTTGTTGATTTTTTTTCCCTTTGAAACAAGGACAAGCTACACATCTCAGGCTGACCTCATACTACTCAGGGAGTCCAGGCTAGCACTGAATTCATAATCCAATTGTCCACTCCTCCTGAGTGCTGAGAGTACAGGCAGGCACCGCCACACCAAGCTGGATTCATTTATTAATGAAAATAATTACATAGGGTATTCTGTAGCTTTTCCAAGAAAATGTTCATCTGCAAATGTCTGAATGAATGTTGGGTTAGAGGACACCACTTACCGGAATAAAAAAAAAATTTAAAAATAAAGATCTCTGTATGCAACCCTTAGGTGTGAGATTTGATGTTGATATGTATAGTATTTGCACTATAATTTTATTTACTAATTTTTCTAAACAAAAGCAACCCTGACTAAGATCTCTCATCCAATGAGCTTCACAGTGGCTTGTAAGTGCCTTCTTTACAAAGACAGATTTATCTCTCTATAAAGACTGACAACACAGACCTAAAGTAACACACTATATGGCTGCATCCTCACCTGTGTTAAAGGGCATTGATTACTACTCTCTAGTATTTGTGCGAAGCACTGTGAGCTAGTCTTGGTGCTACTGAATTGATAACATTGACTATATGTTAACACGGCTTGTCCTGATGGATCCACACCTAGGCTGTGTGGCTCTTTCAGAAACAGGACAGTTCTTGTCTCTTTCCACTAGATTCTGTTCACTCAACGTGCCAGAGAAAGGTCATTCTTCCCCATCTCACTCTCACTAACCACATGTCATCAGGGAGAAAAACAGCCTCCAGGAAGGTCAATGTCTCCTTTTACGTCATCTATTTTAGGGATAGAATTTCTGGGCAACCACGGACTTGTGATTGTTACAAACCACATCCCACACATCCCTTAAAACTATTGCCTGTGACTCTGCTGTCCCAAATCTCAATCTTTGCAGACATGATGATTCTGACTTGAGACACAATAGATGCTTAGGAAAGAATTTTGAGTGCTAGGAAGTGAGTATAAAAAGTGTCTCACAGAATCAATGATTAATGACTAGGGAGAAATTAACTCAGACAAAGGAAACTACTGCTAGGAACAACCATTACCAATAAATATTAATTTAAACCAGTATTACAGAACAAAAAATGCATTTCAATGTATCCTTGTCTAGTCTTAACAGCAAGGTAAGGGTTTAGCATTTTATCTACTTGATTGTGTGTGTATGTGTGTGTGTGTGTGTGTGTGTGTGTGTGTGTGTGTGTGTGTTTGTCTATCTACCTGCCTGTATGTCTGTCTTTCTGTGTGTGCATGCACATACATGCACAGACACACAGACACATACACATACATATAAAAGTGTAAGTGCTGACAGATGACAGAAGAAGGCATGGATCTCCTGGAGGCAGAGTTACAGGTGATTGTGAGTCACCTAATGTGGGTACTGGGAATCAAACCCAGGCCCTTGCAAGAGTAATATATGTTCTTAACCATTAAGCCATCTCTCCAGTCCCTTGATCTTATTATTTGTTCATTTTAGTTACTTAAGTTGTAATATTTAACTCAACTGGTAAAAACGCTGACATCTGTAAATCTCAGGTATTCCATCCCTGCATCTCAAATAAATTGGTTGTTTGTATGTTATTGTCATGGTGCCTGATATTGGCTATTTTAAACATTTGGATCATCAGGTTTTTGTTCTCATTTTTACAACACATAAAATGGAACGAAGTACCTATAATACACTATGTAAAGAAAACAGCTATTAAAATTATACTTACTCCTTATTTGTACTATATATGTGTGAAAAGGTAGGTACTTCTACAAGTTGGGTTAATAATATTTTTAAATGCATTTGATTATGGTAATTTCCCTACATTAGATACCTCTAGCCACCATGATTTTTAATTATACAATCTATTTTATCTATCAATACACCCTAATTTATCATTACTTTATCTATTGGTTTAGGTCCCTCTGAGATTAACTTCCCATGATAGACACTAAAGCACCATCATGAAGTAATTTACTTCTACTTTGGTTTCATTTTTTTTTTGCATGTGTGCTAAGATTATTCAAAGGCATATGTGTTTCTTTTCTGGGAATGCTAATGGGAAGAGTAAATTTTACCAATCCTCTTTCTATCAGGTGCTATTAAATGGAAAGTGGTATCATTGAAAACCCCACAGTATTATTCATTAATGAGAGTTGTCAGCTAGCTTTCTAGGGCCTCACAACGACATCACTCAGTGGCAGCCCTGGAAACCTGTGGTTCTAACTTTTTCTCTGAGGGATACAAGATTGCTTACAGACAATAGGCTAATCTACTTCAGGGGTATATAGGTCTATGGTTTTTTTCTTCCAGGTTTAAGTATAATCAGCAAGTAAAAAAGGTGTGCAGTAAGAGTATACAACTTAGTGTTTTGGCATCTGTGTGTTGTAAACAGTTAACATTTCCAAGAGTAAAGCTAACATTGACTAAAAATAGAGACTGAAAATGGGAAAAAGTAGAATTTGTTTTGGTTTACTTGTATGTTTTCCTTGCTTTCTCTCAGTGTACTTTAAATTACCAACACCCTTGGGGAACAAGGTCTCTGTTACAAACAGCTAAGTGACCCCAGAAGACACAGGAGGTTCAGGATTCACCATCCTTCATGGGGACTGGGCGACTCTGGGTTTTCTAGCTGCTTATGTGTTCTCTCAGTCCACAGGGACATGGGCCCAAAGACATGGAAGAGCATCCCTGAGAAATTTGCAAGACTACCTTTTCCTCTCTAGGGAATTAAGGGAGGAAGGTCATGCCCAAGTTGGAAGGGGGGTAGTCTCACAGTGGGATGTGACCCTGCACTGCTTTTCATCCTGCCGTGCTCACTAGTGTGTTTACCAACCTCACAGGGAGATCAGTATTTAAGAAGGTGATACAGAGACAGAGAGGGGGAGAGAGAGAGAGAGAGAGAGAGAGAGAGAGAGAGAGAGAGAGAGAGAGAGAGAGAGAGAGAGAATAGTGGCATTGTAGTCAGGGAAGCAGATAATGAAAGTTAAATGAGTTGGTTCCACCCTCTCACATTATTCAAGCCTGGACTCTCACTCCTATCCACTGATGATGGTGGTCCCACTCAGGTACATCTCACTCTATCTATGACGTGATCATTCCACACAGCAGGAACATCAAGGCCAAGAGAAGTGCTCTTCATATAGTTTACTCTCTTGTATGAAAATATTGCTCAAATACATTCTAAAAATCTGGGATGGTTGTGAGCAATGCAGTGTCAGAGATCTTCATAGCTGCTAATCTTTATATAGACTGAGTCCTAGTTGAGTTTTAAGAACATACACCCCAGGAACACAGTAGAATCACACAGGGGAAAAAAGCATCTATAAAGAAGACAAGGGTTTTAAAACAAATAAGGCATTTCTAAGATGCCAGGTTGAGAGGCACAAGAGAACACCAGAAAGGTATGTTTTGTTTTGTTTCTTCACTCCATTACCATGATGGGGCTATGATTTCATTTAAATTTTTGAAAAACTAATAGTGTCTAAGTAGGGTATTACCTTCTTAAAAATGAAAGCTCTCAAAAACATTAGCTTGTCAAGAAAAAAATCAAAGCAACTAATGTTCAAAACACAGTTGTTTTCATAAATAACAAAATGGAGATTCCTCCCCAACCTTCTTGGAGTTGTTTAGTGCTAATGGGCTGGAGATAGTACCCTCATGTACTTCGTCTTGAATGGTGTCTTATTTCTTCTGTTAGTGTTACCTTTAAGCAGCAAAATCAAAAGATCTGTCTCTAACATACACATATGTCAACTTGCAGAACCTCTCCACACCTAGTGTGAGACTCAGGGGAGAAGACTCTCCTTCCAGCCCTGCTCAAGGTTCTGGGGTTCTCTGACCTAAATACAAACACAAAGGAATCAAATACAAAGCTCTAAGACCATAGCTCTGTACCTCGTCACCATCTCCTTCTCTTTGTTGGATGCGTGTCCTCCAGTGCAGAGAGGCCTGCTTGCAGCAGACAAGAAGTACAGACGGTGGTTTTTGAAATACTGATCAATTAAAGGAAGGACAACCTGAAAGAGAGGAAGAGAAAACAGATCTACAGAATGGACTACTGGGGGGGTGGTGTCGCAAGAGCTCAGAGCCCACAGAGATCTGTGCCTGTGTAATACTGCACCCATGATGATTCTCTTCTGTCATCTCCAGCTCATGTATGTGTGCATATGTACATGCTTTTGTGCATGCCTGTGAGCATGGGCAGAGCAGAGTAGGATGTGCTGTAACATAATTATGAAGAACACAACAGTTTTGAACAGTTCAGAAATATTCTCAAAATAATACATACTTGATTGTGTTCGTACAATATCGTTCAGTGACCAACAGGCTCTCAAATCCCCAGGGCTACCACACACTGAGTCACTATTATATGTGAGAACTGACAAGGATGTAGCACCATGCTGTTTGTCCTAATGTATACTGTGTGTGGTAGCTGCCTTTATTTCTGCTTTGTAGGTGTTAAATGAAAAATGAAACACGAGACCTATTCAAAACCACAGTGCTGCCCGCTTCCCTACACAACATACATGGTATCTGCCCTTTCTCAAAGCCAAGGTCCCCATTCTGTTCAGACTTAGCTCCACTGCCCTAGACTGTCTCTTCCTCCTACTCTGTGTACTTGCACACACATCTTGGTACACACAAGTTCCTCCCTGTGAAGGGCACTTCTGACTCCTCATGCTCCTCATTGGCAGACCTCAGCTCAGAGGTGCTTCATTGGGTAGGCAGACCTTTTCTGATATCCTCACTAGAGAAAAATCTTATATTCACTGCCCCTCCAAGGCATTAATTTGGATAGAACTCTCTGTTTCTGTATCTGTCTCTCTGTCTCTGTGTCTCTATGTCTACCTCTCTATCTGTCTCTCTGTCTCTGTCTCTGTCTCTCTTTCTTTCTCTCTCCATCTCCCCTCTCTCAAAACCTTTTAGTCAAAAGATAGGAAGAAATGGGGTTGGATTTTTAGGTCCATATAGTCATTTTCTGGCCTCTAGAATTGTTAGTTGCCATTTTTGCTGAATGTGGTATTTTTATCCTACCTTGTAGCACAAAACAGTTATAATGAATGACTAAATATACAATTTTATCATTCTCTTGAAAGTCATAATAGAGCCTGAATATATTGGCTGACAGACAGTAGTTACTCGATCAAAATGGAGAATGAAATTCAGTCACAGTAAACATCTCTAAGCAACAACTAAGGGTGCTGGGTAAGTAGGCAGTTTAAAGATATATTAGTGACATGAATACATATCATTTCTGATAATTGAGTGTCAAGAGGGAATTACAATCATGTAGTGACTGGAACTGATCATAGATACGGATCTATCTCTCTGTCATCTGACAATCTATCTTCTATCTATTCATCTATTACTAACATCCTGGCATAAACCACATCTTTAGATGACTGGATCAAACTATAAGTCCTATATAGAGTAGAAAGAATAGATGAGAGATCCAGTAAAAGGTGTAACTCTGAAAACAGAACCAAAAGCAGATATTAATCATTCAAAAAACATGCCACTTGAAAATCTACCAAATGTGTTTATAGAAAATGATCTGAAATATCACCAATACAACTATCCTGGGAAAAAAAACTGTCAGTAGCAGTGTGCCTTCAGTTTGACTGTGTTGTTAAGAGGCACACTTACACAAGGGACACTAATGTATCTGTGACAGTCCCCAGGCCAGTCTCCTGCCTGACACAGCTAAGGAAGTAAAGGAGCCCAGTGGCAAGGCTACACTTCCCTTAATCTCCATCCCTCCTTGGCTGAAAGAAGTGATGAATTCCCCGGTAATATGGAGAACCCTTGATACTCTTCCTATGAGCAATTTATCCTCTAAGCCTCGGCTTGTGAAAGAGCAAGATTAAGATCCCACAACACAGAATTTATGGCCAAAGCAATATAGTCATTCATACACAGTTAAGCTTATTGCCTAACAGAAGATGTACAAAATGTTAAGAAACCGGGTTGCTACTTCTATTTCACACAAAAAAAAGTCCTAAGAATTAGAACTTGGATTTTTTGGGGGGTGGAGGTAGGGCATAACTAAGTCATGTGAGAAACACAGTGGGGAGAGCTGGGTGAGTATAAGGTAAGTGTTGACCAAGAACACCACAAGCAGACCCATCTCACATGAGCCAAGCAGGTATTTCTGTGCCAGCAAATATATACTTATAGTGAGAGGAGCATTTATAGACAAGTGTATTATAAAAAGTAGTGATGATCTAATAAGTCCATTTTGTAAACACACACACACACACACACACACACACACACACACACACACACACACTGAAGCCGAAGCAAGACATGTCATATACTGTACTTTGGCAAAGAACTTGATTTCTTGCTCATATGGAAAATGTTCTCCTTTGCTTCTGCTGCCGCCATCTGTAGACAGGAAGAGATTTTTAGGTCCATGTAGAACTTCCAACATTTTAAGAAATTCGTAAAAAATGCATAGCTTAAAATGTCTTCCTAAATGTGTCATCCCACCAAACTGAAAGAAAACGCCAAACAAAGTGTTCAGGCTAACTTCAGCAATGTGAATACTCAGCTGCAAAATTAGGATTCCACTAGAGAGCAAAGGTACCCTGACCTATGTCAAAAAAGGATTTCCTATGTGAGGAAAAACCACTCTTGTTTTCCCCAGGGTTTAAAGAAAGATACAATGTTAGTAATTGATCAACCTTAGCACATTGGCTTGGAAGACAGTCTCTATTACCCACTTCATGCATACAGAAAAGGCCCATGCCTCTACACACAGGAGAGGTAATAACAACCTACAGCAATTCTGTCGATATGCAGAACTTTGTATGAAACTAAAAGTTCAGAGATGAACATAAGCATCCAGATTTTAAAAGACTCAAACTGACTTGTGCCAGAAAAAAAAAGAACTTTTGCAATTAGAAATAGGAATGATGATATATGCTTTAGCTAATCTTAGAAATTCAGGGTAATTTTCATGGAAGACATGATATTTTATGATATCAGAACAAGAAAAAGAATGTGGGTTTTTTTGTTGGTTGGCTTTTTGGTTTTGTTTGTTGGTTTGTTTTACACTTGAATTTTTCCCCTTGGTCCTAGGGATAGAACAAAGAACCCAGTACACACTCAGCAAGTGCCCTACCAGTGGACAGCATCTCCAGCCCTCTGTCTATTTTTATTTTGAGGCAGAGTCTCACTAAGTTACCTAGGATGGCCTTGACCTCATTCTGTAGCCCAGGTTGGCCTTGAACTTGCCATCTTGCTGCTTCAGCCTCCCATGTAGCTGGTATTACAGGGCACATACCTCCAGTATCCTAGCTTGCAAACGTCTTTATAAGGGACTTTCTTGTGTAAAATATATCAAGATGGCTTTGTGCACAGTCAAATCACCAAATATTTCAGGAAGTGTAAGAAATATCCTTTTGTACATTTAACATGTTGACATAATATGAACAGGTTTGGAGAGAACAGAACCACACCAGCAGAAATGAAATGGGAATAAAAATGAAGGAAGGAAATGTAAAGCAGAGATGCTAATGTTTTTATTATGGGGTCCCCTAGCTTATAATTTTCTCTACCTCTGTAAAATAACTGTGCAATGGCACAGAAAGGCCCTTTGATAAAACTCTCATCACCAGAGTATTCAAATTTTCAGTATGAAAATGCTGCTCTTAGGTAGGTGTGATGGCACAAGCCTTTAATTCCAGTACTCAGGAGGCAGAGGCAAGTAGATCTCTGTGAATCCAAGACCAGCCTCATTGATATAGCAAGTTCAAGGCCAGCCAGGGCTAGCTATATAGTGAGACCCTACCTCAAAAACAAAACAAATAAATGAAAAGTCCTTTTTGGAAGTATGTACCAAGAAAAAAAAATTTCAAATATAATTTTATGTTAAATAGCAAGAGGTTCAAAGTGTGAACAATCTTTATCCTGGTTTGATATGTTTGATTCAGGAAAAAAAACATTTTTGTGCTAGAAGGTGATTACAAACTTAGAATAGGGAAGTTTTAGAAATAACCAAACTCTGTCAGTGTCTAAGAAATTCATGTGCACTCATATAACACTATATGGCTATTTTAAAGTTTTCCAATTCAACCCACTCTCCAGAAACGTGGTTAATGGCTGTTATGCACGCCTTTGTACTGAGATGGATGGAATGTGGACACCTTGACACTTCAAACACTAGGAACAGCAAGAGCTCGACGATGACGAGCAGTAAGAGAAACCACATACCGAACTCCAGGATGTACTGATGAGCCTCGTCCACATAGCGGATCAGCTGCTGCAGGAAACTATAGGCAAATCGCTTCTCAATGGAAGGTGTGTCCAGATCCAGGTCCTTGAACCCTCTAAAACAACAAAAATAAACACTGAAGTATGTATATATGTGGTCTCTCAGAAGATAAATTTTATTTTAAAAACTACGCATAAAATTGCAGGCAACATAATATTCTTAGAGCTGATGACAAAAGAGGGGTTTACCTATAAGGAAAACTTTACATCTTGCTGTTGGGATGCCTTTCTGTATGCTGTGAATATGTGTTGCTCTGATTGGTTGATAAATAAATCCATTTGGCCTTATAGATTAATAGAAATGGGTCAAGTTATAAGAGTTAGCTAGCAAGAAGCCTGCCATAGGCCATGCAATTGGCAATTAATATTAAGCCTCTGGATGATTATTTTATAAGCAGCTGAGTGACCACGCAGCTGGGTGGTACTGGAGAAAACTTCTGGTTACATTTGGCTACCCAATGTATTAGCTCAACTCCCACCTAAAACTTGACAGAACTTAAAAAGAAATTCTAAAATTGAGCTAAGAACAGTTTTCTATTTCATGTCTCATGCAGGCTGAGATATAGAGATGCCAAGGTACAGAGACACCATGGCATGTGGGCTTGAGTGCAGCATGGTGGATTCCTGCCATGGTACACAGTGGTGTCTCCAAGCAGTGCAGCACACTGCATGGTGGATTTAGCTTTTACTCATACAGACAAAAAGGGTTTATGGTCTAGCTGCATGCTCACTGATGGTAGCATGGACCCCAGAGTTATCAGGGTAAGCATGACTCTCCTGGGTACCCCTACCATGTTGAAAAACTCAGGTGAGTGGAGTCAGTAGCCAAGGCTGCTGGTCCTAGCCTCACAGCTTAGCAGTTAAAATCTCTCTTGGTCAGAGAAGGATTACAGATTCACAATGAGACAGATTCAGATGGAATAAAATTCTAAACTGTTTATAGTGTGTGTAAATATGTACATAGGCTTAGAAGAAAGAGGAAAAGGAGGATAGACAGTTATATAAAGAAGTAGATTGCTGATATGTAGAACTGAATTATATTGCAAAATAAAAAAAGAAGTAGATAGTTTTAAAAAATAAGTCTTTAAAGAGACAATAAGAATAATATAAAAATAAGCCACATAAAGATGGAAATTACACAGAGAATCTGGATTATATTGTCTTTGGGATTTTTAACTGCAGAAAGACATTTGATTGTAAAGACTACTGAGTTAAGAAATACCTATATTTTAAAGGTACCTTGACCTCAAAGTTTGTGTCTAAGGATACGTTGCTTTAGAAAAGAGGTTCTGCTTTTGTTTCCGCAGAAGATGGGAACCTGTGGATTGCTTCCAGGCTAACATGGTTTGATCAGCCAAGACCCCCTGAAAGGTCTCCAATGACACCATGGCCCAGATGATCCAACATCCAGAACAGCTTCAAGGCAACTGGCCCAGACAATGCAGTCTCACAGACTATTCCAGTTAGGACTTGACTATAATTCTTAATTTTCTCAGGATCCTCAAAAGATTGCCAGTGCCCCCATCCAGCAGGAAGTAGTACGAGAAGCTATTCCCAAATTCCCAAAATATTGTTTATAAATATTTATTTTTATTTAAAGGAGGTTGATTATAAATACAATCTCTTTCTAAAAAAGAAAAGGATATAATATAGATACGATAGGATAAAAAGGTAGATTGAACCTACTTTTAAAGAGCAACAATTTGTTTAAAATGTTTTACATTGCTATCGATTTTAGTTTATTACAAATTTAAAGTTAATTTTTTTATACCATATGTATATTTCTACTCTCATTTAAGGTATTATGTTTGTGTAGCTCATTTGAAATTGTAATGCATAATTAAGAAATACAGGTTAATAATTAGTCATCCATGATAGTCAAACTTATAGTCATATTAGTTAAGTTTTCTAGGTATATATAGATAAATTTCAATTAGGTAGGTAATCTCCAAACACTTCAAAGACCTACAGAATATAGCATTTAAAATGTTTTAAAAACGTAGACTTTCTGGACAGTGAGACATGTCTGCTCCTGGAAGCACTGATTTACTTCAAAGAGAAAGATGGGCATCAAAGACACTCCATATGGAGTTTATCTTCTTCTTGGCAGAACTGGCCATTTGGGCAAGAAACTATTCTTGCCTGGACTGACTGGCAAAATGTTGTATAAAATGGACATACAGGACCCATAGGAAAATGACCACTGAATTTGCCAACACAAGGTGATTTGTTTTGCCTTCAGGTTCCTGCTTTGAAGAGGAGACTGCCAGACATTCTACAGGACACAGGAAAAGTGACTGCGAGACTCTAGGCCTACAGGCTGAAGATGGATATCCCAATGTTGCAGAGGAACTTTAGGTAAATGTTCAGGTAGCCAGTTGTCTCTGTCATTCTAGATTTTTAGAAGTTGCTTACAAAGTACTTCCTGTTTACTTAGATAATATTATATCCTTCTGGGGTCTTTGATGTAGTTGAAGACTAGATAGTTATAATTTTCCTTGATTATGATAAAAGGTAAATTAGGTATGAAACCTTAGACTAGCAAATGTAAGATAAATAGAATATTTTGTTTGAATTTGATAAATATAAATAGACTAGATATTGCAACTGTAATTCTTGCTTGATAAATGTTTTGTTATATGCAATTTTACTAGGTTAAAATTAAAACCTTCCTTTTTGATTAGACAGAAAAGAGGAAGCGCTATAGGATGTCTTTCTGTATGCTATGAATATGTGTTGCTCTGATTGGTTGATAAATAAAGCTGCATTGGCCTATGGCAGGGCAAGATGGAGCCAGGTGGGAAAATCCAAGAGATATAGTAGGAGGAGAAAGGAGAGGAAGGAGACACTGTGAGCCACCGGAGGAGAAGCAAGATGTGAAAATACCAGTAAGTCATGGCCACATGGCAACTTATAGATTAATAGAAATGGGTTAAATTATAAGAGCTAGCTAATGAGAAGCCTGAGCCATAGACCATACAGTCTGTAAATAATATAAGTCTCTGAGTGATTATTTTATAAGTGACTGAGGGACCACCAGGCTGGGAGGGACCAGAGAAAACTTCTAGCTACAGCATCCAATATAAAATTAAAATGAATCATTCCAATACTACATGTTAAAATGTTGCATTTATGCAAATGGGGTATGGTTCTTTTTTCTTCTTTTTTCATTTGCTTAGAGATTTTGCTGAAATAATGGATGGAGATTGAATGAAGTTGTAAAAGAAACAAACAGCTAAGGGCATTGCTGTCTCTGGTATGAGCTGTGATAGTTAAACTGTCCAATTGACACAACACAGAGTCACCTAGGAAAACAATCTCAATGGGGGATTGTCTAGACCAGGTTGGCCTGGGGGTAAGTCTGTGAGGAGATTGCCTTGGTTGACCTAATTGATGTAGGAAAACTAACCCTGAAAGTAGGCAGTATTATGTGGAATATTTTAAGATGTGTTAAATTTGTTTATGCTGTGGAACATTTGTTTAATGATGCAAAGATGTGTTGCATTCTTTTACATTGCATTTGTATTTTACATTGCATTGCATTTAATTCTGTGAAGCTGTGTTACTTTGCCTGTCTAAAACACCTGATTGGTCTAATAAAGAGTTGATAAATGGCCAATAGTGAGGCAGGAGAAAGGATAGGCAGGGCTGGCAGGCAGACAGAATAAGTAGAAGGAAAAATCAGGAAAAAAAATCGAGGAGCAAGAAAAGAAGGGTCCAGCCACCCAGCCACATAGCCAGACATGGAATAAGAAGGAAAGAAAAGGTACACAAAAATATAGAAAAGTAAAAAGCCCAGAGACAAAAGGTAGACAGAATAATTTAAGAAAAGCTGGCAAGAAATAAGTCAAGCTAAAGCCAGGCTTTCATAAGTAATAATAAGTCTCCATGTATATTTACTTGGGAGCTAGGTAGTGGGCCCTCCAAAAGAGCAAAGAGTAAAAACAGCAACAACATGACATCATTCCATGTTGTAGATTCCTGGGCTGCATAAAGGGAGAAAAAGTTTGCTTAGCACTAATCATGTGTGCATTCACTTTTCTCTGCTTTTGACAGTGATGGGACTAACAGCTTCCACTCCTGCCATCGTGTCTTCACTAACGATGGACTGCCACCTAGAACTGTGAGAGAGAATAAATCCTTTCTCCTCTAAGCTGTTTTTGGCCAGATGCTTTACCACAGCAACAGAAGGGAAGCTAGGATGTGTGTTTTGAACATACTATCCAGTGGCCCCCAGGGTTAGTCAGGTCACTGAACTTATTTTCAGTTGAAATCCCAAAGAGCATTCGGAAAGAACATGAGATGGATGTCCACTTGCCTGGATACAGCATAACCACTGATCTGTAGAAACTTGAAGATATCCTGGGCCTTCTCTCTGTCCTTGGCTTTCTCTTTGGCTGTCAGTGTGTCATAGGGCACCAGCAGGGGGTGGTTTCCTCCTCCTAAGGGAACAGCAAGACAATATACTCTGAGATGACACCCAGACAATGGTACTTGGGCCTTCTAACAGGCATTTCAAACCTGAAAATACATGTATTTATAATATCAAGTGCTGGTTACATGTGCTGTCACCATGGAAGGAAAAAAGCCAAGGGCATTCTTTATTCACATGGAGCCTAAATTTGAGGAGTGGTAATAGACAAAAAAGTAGATACAACTCAGTGGAGAGATTTTAAGACAAGCTCCAGGGTGATGCTTCATTTTTTTGTCCCAAGGAGAGAAGAAAAGGAAATATGTCTTTAATAAGAAATTCTTGTGCCACCTTCCATATCACAGTATGCATCTAAATATACAACACACACACACACACACACACACACACACACACATACACACACACACTCAAATATATATAGACTTGCTGTTAAAAGTTGACCATTATTAAGTATCTAATATTTGAAAAATTAAAAGCTTTCAGTTAGTAGCTTCTAGCAAGAGCCTGGATATCCTATATGTTTAGAACTTGTAGAAAGTAGGTATAATATAAAAAAAAATTATGAGAATCAGTCAGATGTGGAGTACATGCCTGTAATTCCAGTACCTGGAGGTGGTATCAGGAGGATCAGGAGATAGAGATCATCCTTAGCTATGTATCAAGTTCAGTGCCACCCTGGGCTATATGAGATTTTGTCTCAAAAACAAGACAAAAGAACTCATAAGGAGGGAGGGGCAAGGGTACCTCTAAACAGCAGTGTGACTGCTCTTTCATCCCTCATTTTCCCCCCACTGGTCATGTAGGTGTGGGTGTGTTATGTAGGGGGAAAGGAGGCAGCTCAACAGAAAGCTGAGTGGATGCAGGAGTTCCAAGGATGCTACCCAAAACATGCCAGTATTCATTCTGACTTGTGAACTCCTTCATATGAGAAGGCAAGGAAAGTTCAACCCTTGTCTCCATGGCAGAGCACCACAGTGCAAAACATTCCAAGTGATGGTGAAAGTGGAGAAGAACCCTAAACCCTTGCCACTGATGTTAGAGCATGGTTACTAGTCTCAGAACTTTAACTCCTCTGCTTCTCTATCTCATCATTAGCATGTTTGGGGATTAACCCCAGGGCCTAATGTATGCAAGCAAGTCCTGAGCTATTTTCCCAGGCCTCACTCTTTTTCTCTTAATGATACACATTTCTATTATGGTCTCTTATTCTCCCTGAACCTTTCATATACTCCTCTCATTCACAGAAAGAGTACCAAACACCAGGGTGAATGAAATAAATTATTTTCTTCAGGCTTTTCTAAAATGGATACATCTACAAACAGATGTGATGATGGTAAAAGAAATCAGAATGGGCGGAAATGAAACTGTAGACTCAACACTGAATCACTGAGTACTTCCAACCTTAACACACACGGAAATCACACACACACACACACACACACACACACACACACACACACACACACACACAAATACATGAACACACATACACAAATACATACAAATAATATATACAAACATACACACCTACACATATACAAACACACATATAATATGTGCACAAATTAAGGCCAAATGAGTAAGAATGCAAGAAGTTCAGTGTAGAATGCATTGGCTTGAATAATGTATTTATGTAAGTAAATTATGAAAAGATTTCATTAGCATTTTGGTACTTTTTCAAGAGGGGACTGGAGGGATGACTCAGTGGTTAAGAGAACCCACTGCTCTTCCAGAGGATAGCTTTGCTTCCCAGCACATTGCAACCACTATCTACAAGTCCAGCTCAAGGAAATCTGATGCCCTCTTCCTGCCTCTGGGGGTACTGCATTCCCATGTACACATAAATAATAGAAAAGAATCTAAAAATATTTAAAAGAAAAAGGAGAAAAGAAGGCCAGTTACTCAGGAGCCTGAGGCAAGAAGATTGCAGCCTGTGTGGGCCACATAGTAAGTTTACAGCCGGCCTCAATCTCATGGTAACTCAGTCTCAAATGTAAAGGTAAAGAGAAGGCTGAGGACATCTGTTCCTGGCAGAAGACATCCCTAAGGCAGTGCCCGAGCATTCACAATGCTTGAGTTCAATCCCCAGTACTAAAAACAAAGCCAGAGAGAGTGAGAAAAGGGCAAATGCAAGCAGGAAAGTGGCAATAACATAAGTAGTGTAAACAAAAGGCGAAGGCTTGCAATAGGGTGCAAAACGCATGAAATTGGCGAAAGTTTAGTTAGACATGAGGATTGTGGTCAGTCTAAGAAATATAATACACTAATGACAAAGTGTCTAGCGCTTTGATGCTAATTCAGATACTTGGATAGTAGTTTGAATCCAGATAGCTTTGAGATACAAAGAGGGAAAGAAAAACATTATTAAAATCCCAATGCACAAGGAATACACATTAACAGTAAAGGAAATTACAGTTGTAAGTTGGACTCTGGATGCAGGCATGTTTGAAACATTTTGGTATAATGAAGGTATGTTGGGGTTTTAAGCAAAAATGTATACCTACTTCATTGGATCCTACATCGCTACAGTACAACTCCCTGGGTTTTTAATAGATGTCTCTAGGAAATACTACCTTTGGATTCCAGCTCCATTTTCTTTTTCTTGGCCCATATGTTGTGGTAGTTTTCAGCCATCATTTCCGCCATAGCCTATAACGTACCAAATATTGAAGAGTTAATCGATTCTTCAGTGAAAAAGGATAGAGCTGTCTTCTGAAGTGGAACACACAGATATATCTTAAAGGAATAGAGCAGAATATTAATGCTGAGATGAGTCTGAAACAGTCAAACAGAAAAATCTCACTTGGAAATCCAATTCCATAGAATTTTAATGATTTGAGAAATTAGACACTAAGTATCACCAAACTGTGGATTTGATGAAAATAGCCTTTCTTATTCATTATGCTTAAATATGTCTTTTGCTAATTCAACAATGAATCTTCAAAATATCTATGGATGTGGACAGAAAATAGATATACAAATACAAACTTGTGTTTTAACTCAAAGTTTTTAATCCAACCTGTACCTTATTAAATAATAAGACAAACACTATGAACAAAGATTTTACTTCTAGGTCATTCTTTGTCTAAACCAAATGGGGAATCTTAGATCAGATGTGATCTTTTCTTGTAAACTTTTCGGGAAAATTCTAATATTCTTGTGCTCTTTCAAAGTCAAGATTAGTGTCTTTTTAATTGGTTCCTACATGAGCAAGAATGAAAAATAAACCAAACATTTTAACAGCGCATGAAGCTCATATTTATATCCTTGGTTCTCTTGAACTAACCAAGATCAATATTCCATATTAACTTACTAATTTAAGCTCTATGGAAATAAATTTTATCTTTCATTCAAAATGGTCATTTCAAAACACATTCCTTAGTGACACAGAGCAGACAGGGGCTCCAGATGAGACAAATGGAATGTGTCCAATTTCCATAGATGAACAACCTAAAATTCCTGATTATTTATTTACTCTTTTCTCATGCATTTTTATATTTATGTCTATGTGCATGTGTGTGTGTCTGTAGGTACTCACAATGTGTGTTTGCATCTATAGGTACCCACAATATGTGTATATATATGTATGTGTGTGTCTTTAGGCACCCACAATGTATGTGTGTGTGTGTGTGTGTGTGTGTGTGTGTGTGTGTGTGTGTATCTGTAGGCACCACAATGTGTATGTACATGTATGTATGTATGTGTCTGTAGGCACCCACAATTTCTGTGTGTCTGTAGGCAGCCACAATGTAAGTGTACATGTGTGTATGTGTCTATAGGCACCTACAATGTGTGTGTGTCTTTAGGCACCCACAGTGTGTGTGTGTGTGTGTGTGTGTGTGTGTGTGTGTGTGTGTGTGTGTGTGTGTGTGTAGGCACACACAGTGACCAGAAGAGGGCATCGTATCCTCTGGAGCTGGACACTTGTGAGCTGCTGATATTGCTGGAAATATACTCAGTTCCCCTGGAAAAGTGGCAAGTGCACTTAACCCCTGATGAATCTCTGCAGCCCCAAGGAAACATTGTTTTGAAAGTTGTACAGTAGCCACCTTTATTTCATCCTGAGTGGTGCTCACCAAGGCCCCCAGTGAGGCCTGAAACCTCAGAAAGTACCAGATCCTTAGTATAGCATATATGTCTCCCCCCATGCACTAACTGTGGTGCTGCCATGCTGCACCAGAGATCATCTTTCCTCCTGTGTTCCAGGCCTCACACCTCCTCTGCATCACTGAACTTACAGTCTGGAGCTATCATAAAATAAAATAAGGATAACTGAACACAAGCACTGCTCTACTTTGACAGTCAATATGATGGCCTACATGGTTAGGCAGGGGTCAGTCTACACAACATAAAAATCTGAACACAGGAAAGATTCATGTCCAGGGTGGAAAGAAGCAGGATAATAAGAGGTTAGTTACATCATGGAACTCAGAATGGGAAGTGGCAACTGCTGACCATTTCAGACCACAGGAAGTAACAAAAATCACAAAGGGCAAAACCATAGATGAACTTGGGTTATCAACATTTAGGGTACTAAAAGGTCGAGTGTGTATTAACCATGAACTCTACAGGCTGGTCATATGATGAAACAACGCACGCTGTATAATGCTCACAAAAGTGTTCTGGTTTGCTTTTCATAAGAGCTTTAGAGACTATTGTGAAAACCTGGATACTCACATGCAGGTCTCGAGACAGTGTAACGTTGCTCATGTCAATAGCACGAGGGCTATAACCATGTGCAGCATCTATAGACACCTGGATGATTTGTTTAAAAAGAAAAAGAGAAGCATCTCATTAAAAGCTGCAGAAAGAGCCTTCAAAAACTTAGGGCAAGCATCAAACAATGTTTCCTGAGGTAAAGGCAACAGGATAATTTCAAGGACACATTAAATTAAATTGTGAGTGTCTCACAATCACTTATGATTAAATAATTAATCTTAATACCTCAAGGAGAGACCTTCTAAAAAGTTAATTATTAAGTTAGAAGTATGTGATGAATCCCATGTCCTGCAGTGTGTCCCCAGCCAAGGGCCACTGAGGCCTTGAGAGCTCACCATTTACAAGCCTGTTTGTGGGTCAGTTGTGAAGAGAAGCAGGGGCCAACTCGAATTAAACAACTGTACCATGTAGCCTTTAGTGGCTTACAAGGAAATCGTCAATGACCAGACTTGCCTAATTTCTATATTTTTGCTTTTAAAAGCAGGATATAAATATTTATACTGATACCTATAGATTTCTGCTGCTCTCAGCTTTGGTCTGAGAAGCTCCTTTTACAGTGGGTAGTGGCTAACACACAGATTCATGACTGGTTTAGCACTCATATCCCTATACACACACACACACACACACACACACACACACACACACACACACACACACACACACACACACACGGCTGAGAGACTATCACAGAAGAGAGGGCAGGACTGTAGGAGCCAGAAGTTGAGGTGGAGAACTAAGAAAGGCTGTTTGATCTGACTTAGCCATTGCACACATGAACTCTCAGCAGCCGTGGTTACCTGCACAAGATCAGTCAATCCACATCCCACAATGGAGAGATTGAATACGTGCATGAAATTTTCAAAGAAAAAAAACTAGTATTTTTTAAAAAGAGAGAGAGACTAGAGAGACAGCTCAGCGCCTGCATTTCTCACCACCCACATTAGGGAATCAGGTGGTTCAGGATTGCCTATAACTCCAGCTCTTAGGGATCCGACACCCTCTTCAGTTCTCTGCAGGCAGCTGCACTCACATGTGTGCATATGTACACAGAGATGCATACACATAGACACACAAAAATAAACCAGTAAACGAATACATCGTCTTGTCAACTTCCACAATTTCACTGTATTCTATCCCTTATCTTAGTCCAACCAATGAGGAAGACATGAACCCTGGGTCTTCTTATAGATCTTAAGCTCTATTGTAAAATATTTCATCATTATGCTTATTCTTTTATTAAAAAATAGTACATGATGAGGAAGAATGAAATTCAGATAACAAGCACATGAGTCATGAAAGAGCACAGAAAGATAATTATTCTTTTAATTTTAACTCTAACATTGATCTCTCTCTGTCTCTTTCCGTGTGTGTGTATGTGTGTGTATGTGAAGGATATATATATGCATGATATATATATATATATATATATATATATACACATGTGTATGTAAAAATGTGTGTACCTATATATTAAACTATAAATGTATGTGGTATATATTTTATATATTATATACACATACATGCATGTGTAAAAATATATGTATATATATATTAAACTATAAATATATATGTGTAATAACACAAATAATCCATTTGTCACTATGATTCTCACTTGGCTTGTCTGAGAAATGCGTCGAGTCCGGTTATAAAGAGCCATACTGTCTCCCTCCCGTGTTCTCTCAATTCTCCAACCCCAAGCCAGCATCGTTTTTAAAGATTCCTTGATAGGCCAGCGATAAATTTCCTTTTCCTAGAGGAAAAAAAAATTAAAGCATTAATGGTATCATGAACCCAAAATGAAAATTCAAAATATTTAATGATTTGTTCTGAAATGGACTGCTTTCATTCAAAAACTGATTATCCAGGATATTTATAAATAAAACAAAAAATAAAAACATTCAAGGGATGTATAAAATGCTGAAGTGTTAGCCAACTAAGGCTGCTAAGGAGAGAATTAACTCTCACAAGTTGTCCTCTGACCACATCAATGAGCACGTGTACAAACAAGTGCCCATGCTCACACACACAAACACATGTAAAACAAAAATTACCCCAAACATAATACTTTATAAATTTAAGGTGAAAAAAAAACAACCTCTCACCTTTTCAGACAATAGTTTATATGGCTTCATTAGTGGCTGGACCTTAGAAGAGTCTGAATATATTTCCCCATAAATCCATCCATTCGCCAACTAAAACAAACAAAATGTTAAAAAAAGTTTTACATATACTAATTTTGGTATTTTAGGTGCACATGTGCTTAGCAACTATTTGGTATAATAACCCTAAAGTGGGTTAAGAAAATGATTAAGGCCTATTGTCTGTTCGGTGTGGCCAGGGTCTGAAGCCAGGCTTTGTTTAGAGCGGGCAAGCTGTCTCCCACTGAGCTACACCCCCAGGACTCTTTTCACTTTTTATTTTGAGACAACATCTTGCTAAATTGCCTTGAATGCACTCTGTGTTCCAAGGCAGGTCTTGGGATTAAAATTCTCCTGCCTCAGATTCCCAAGTACCTGGAATTAGAAGCCTGCACCACTTGGCCTGACTGAGGTCTAAATGTTACCTAACTTCAGAGTTCCCCTCTTAGTGTCATTTTCAGTAGACACTTGGAATGAGTTCCTTTGACCAGAGATTAAATGCACCCTACAACAAACCAGGTCTATAACTGTGCCCATGCTTAATGCCCCACAGAGAGGCTATAGGGACCAAAGACTGGTGTTAATTATTCTTATTCGGACACATCTTAAGCCCTGATCTGTGATGCATGCATGTCTATGAGAGGTTGGTTTGAAATATGCAAATCAGGAGTGCCTCAGAATAACACTTCCTATTTGCTCATTTCTGTATCCCACTGTCTATCAATGGATTCATCCTCTAATAATTTGACCATTTTGGTTTAGCCTCATTTGTCCGTACCACCATTAGCTCAAAAAGTCCAGGTAGCTAGACTGGACCAGTTCAGGACTTCCTTCCCAAGGCATCTCTCACTCTTCCCCACTCTATCCACACAGTGTTCAGTGGAGTTACTGTATCAGAGTGACTCTTGAGTGACTTTCCTGATAAGACTGTTGATTTCTAGGACACAGAGTCACATGATCATCATACAGATAGAAAAGTATCTCTATGAGAAAGAAAGAGGTGGTCGTAGTACAGTGGGGAACAGAGCATGAGACTGTGTTGGGTACTTTTTGTCATCTTGACACAAGCCAGGGTCACCAAGGAAGGGGGAACCTCAGCTGAAGATTTGGCACCATCAGACTGGCCTAAGTGCATGTGTGTGGGGGGCATTTTTTTTATTACTGATTTATGTGGGAGGGTCCAGTCCACCATGGGTGGTGCCATCCATGGGTACTTGTTTCCAAGTTATATATGAAAGCAAACTGAGCAAACCATGAGGAGCAAGTGTTCCTCCCTGGTTCCTGCCTCTGTCCTGCTTGAGTTCCTGCTGTATTGTCCCTCAATGATCAACTATGATAAGAACATAAGCTAAATAAACCCCTTCCTCCCAAGCTGCTTTTGGTCACGGTGTTTATCACAGCAATAGACATCAAACTAGGAAAGAGACATGCCATGCCACTGACTTATCTCAGGACATGAGCATCCTTTGGGGCACCTGCTTTTCACTTCAGGGCTGTACATGTGCATGCTAGATTTTTGTACCATGTTAATTCAATTTCTTTGACAGATTTCTGATCGCCATTCCCTCTCAAACGGAAACTAAACTCAACAGAAATGAGAATCAATTGATAGGATGCAACTCACTGAGTTTGCTCATTGTACTTTTTTTCCTTGGGGACACCATTCTGTAGATGTATTCTATTTTTAGTGAGCTATCTGCGTGGATAGGTGTATAGAAAGTACATAATCACCAAAACTTAAGACTCTTCAAGGATGTGGGGAGATGCCTCATTTGGTAAAGTGCTTGCTGTACAAGAATGAAGATCGAGTTTGGATCCACAACACCAGTGTGAAAAGCTGGATGTGGTAGCTAGTGTACGTGTGTAACTGGAGAGAACAGAGGCAAGAGGAATTCTGGAGCTCTCTGCCAGTTTAGCCAATCAGTAAACTCTGGGCTCAGGGAGAGACCTTGCATCAAAAACCAAGGTGATCACGAGAGAATGTTGGGCTTCTAAGACATTTCCATTTGGAAGTTTGTCTTCTTGGCACAAAATGGCCTACTGGGCAAAGAACTGCCCTTGTCTCAACGGCTGACAGTACAAATGCAATGCTGTCCTTTCTGGACAAGCGGGACACAAGGAAAGCGACCACTGTACTCTGCCAAGACAGGGTAAGATGGTCTTTCAGAATTCCTGCTTCTGAAAATGGTCTGTCAGATACTTTAGGCTTGTAGCCAATTTGAATGCACCAAAAATGCTGAGAAACATTAGGTGACTGTCCAGGCTGCCAGCTGTCTCGGTCTACTCTTGCAAGATTCCCGAAAGTTGCTTGCATCCATCTACCGTTTCTCAGGTACCATATATTCCTTCTCAGGTCTTTGATGGGATTGAAGACTAGCAGTTATAGTTACAACTTAGTAGGTAGAACATATTAAGTATTAGATTCAGGTTCTTTAGGATAGGACACCTTTTGGAATGATCTTTGTAACATGCCATTTACCTATGCTCTATACTTCTCTGGATTTTAGTATGTGTTTCTTGCTTGATATTGTTTGCATTGGTTGTAGTTCCATCTTATCTAGGTCATTATCCCTCATTATTCCTGGACAATATTTGATAACCATTCCTTTGTATATAGTCTTGTATTAGGTTAGAACTTTCTTATTTAGACAAAAAGGGGGAGATGTAGTGGGTAGCCATTCCAGCTTTGATCTGGAAGTTCCAACCCCCATTGAGACTTCGGCAACTGTCACGCCTACAAGGCAGGGCCAAGGGAGGCGCCTGGAGACCCGAGATCTGGATCGGCCAGTGCTCTCTGTTCCGGGACCCTGGACGGTGGAGGTGGGCCAAGCAGAGCTCCAGAGAACACTGCTGGACTGCGATACACCTTCCCCAGACCCCGTGACCTACCTATCCCTTAATTTGTAAGTTACGCCATTAAATAAATCTCCTTTTAACTATGTGGAGTGGCCTTAATAATTTCACCAATACTAAATGCCCATTACTAATTTGGATGTAGCTCTCTCTTTAAAAGAGAAAGTTGGGGCTAGGGATGCAGCTTAGTGAGAACAAATATGGCATGGTGGCGCACATTTGTAATCCCAGAACTTGGGGCAGTGGAGATGGACAGATCCATCTAGCTGAAATGGAAAGTTCTAGAGTCACTGAAGACCCTGTCTTAAAGGAAATAAAAGAGAGAGTGATACAGTCAATGAAGTCAGACTCTGACCACTACATGTAAACATGTAATGAATAGACATGCATACACAAATATATACACTATACACATACAAAGAGAAAGTTGGCATAGTTGAATACATTGGAGCAGCACTCAGTCATTCACAATGGCAGCCTTGGATGGGAAGACTGAGCAAGGCCCAGTCATTCACAATGGTAGCCTTGGATGGGAAGACTGAGCAGTGACCAGTCATTCACAATGACAGCCTTGGATGGGAATCCTGACAGCACTTTTGACTTTTACCTTGTCCATGGACCATTTATCATGGGAATGTTCTGCATATTTGTTAATGAAGTATTCCAACTTCTCAGGAATTGTAATGCTACAATAAAAATAAAGGAAAAGAGCTTGGTGTTTTACAGAATTCACAGGCAAATGTATTATATTTACTCACAGCTGAGTAATACTCAAATTCCATTCAACTCATAACTTAAAAAATAGTTGTAACAAAGGATTGCTTCTTCACATTTCCAAACAATGTAAGTCAAGCATATCATGTTCTATCTATTCATCTCAAACTCAGACATCATTTATTGTGTTAATATAAAAATAAATGTAATAATATATGTTATTTAAAATATATTCAAAGATGATGACAATAGATTATACGAGAAAATGAAAACAAACCCAAACCAACAATCACTAAGTTTGAAGCCATGCTTTTCTCTTATATTTCTCCTTAGGAATTATGCTGTCTTTTTAAACTGTGTTTATTAAACTATGAATGAACAACACTGTTGATTTCTGATCTGCCATACTTTTAGCTTAATTTCATAGAATCAGTTATGTGTTAACACTTTCTGATATTAGTCCTCCATATAGATAACATTATAAAATGCTACTAATTTGGCCTATAAGGAAAAGTAATTAATAAACTTATGCTTTGTTTGACATATTGTTTGAATCCTTTATTGTTTCAATAAATATTTATCCTACTCATGTCCAGCATGTGCAATTGATGAATGGGTCTACTGATAAATGTTAAGACTTGTGAATATCAAATGTATCTATGAATAAAGAATAGAATACACATTCAACTCCTTAATAAATACAACTTACTAAACAGTTAACTTTGAGAATTGAGTTCTAAATAAAATCAAACATAATGAAATGGTTTTCTGATCTTTGTCAACAAAGTTATCAGTTAGTAAATGATAAACACATATTTAAGAAGCAATACTTAAAAAAACATACTCAAGTAGAAATTACCCAAACCACCATGTAAATTTATACTGAAAATTTTCCCCAGAAAGCAAGCCTGGGTAAATTATCATACATGCCCAACACTTGTTAGTTAATTGGATTTAATTAATTAACACCCAAACCATGATGTTGCTCTCCTGAAAAGCCTGGATTATTCCATATGTGAGCAGACCAGACACTTACCCATGGAATAATGTTACTCTGTGATGTTTTGGTGACTTACTTTGAAAGAAATACAAAGGACCAGTCACATAATCCAAACACTTAGGGAGTGGACTCTTTTCTCACAGGACTGTCATGTAATATCAAGCATGTACTTGAAAGACATTCTTAGATTAATGGTACATCATTTGGGTTGATATTCTGATTGGTTTAGGGGGCTAACCCAGCTGGGAGCTTCTCTGAAGCCTCAAAGTTCAGTCTCAGACTGATTCAGAAGTGGTGGTTAATAACCAACATATGACTACCTTGCTAACTAGTCTTGCCAAGTTACTATGGCATCAGTAAACTAAGTGAAGAGACAGCTTTTCTCAAAAATGGGGAGCTATGGTCCTACTCAAACTTGAAACACATGAAGCATCCATGTACCCCATGTATCCCATGCATCCCATTTGTAGAACAACTTAGGAAACTAGTACATGCATGAAGCTTGATAAGAGCATATGCTTGATTTTTGTTTAAAGCTATCAGTTCTGTCAACATTCTGACTATATGCTTATTTCTTGTGCCAATTTCTACTTGATATTCCTTTCATCTCTTTGTGATATAGGATATCATCAACAAAGCCTGAGCCTGGCCAAGATGCTGCAGTGGGAGAAATAATCCTTTCACTCACAGGAACAGCATTGCAGTAACATTTTGGAACTATCCTCAGCTAAAGATGGGGTTGATTATGGTTATTGATATACAATTCAGTTAAATTTTCAACTAAGTATAGCTCATGCATTTTGTTGAGTCTCCTTCTTCTAGATATTATAATGTGGCTATCCCCTGAGATTGTTCCTTCATCAAAGAGCACCCTAGAGGGTACACACCTATTTCTGATATTAGAATATTCACCGTTATTTTTACTGCCATCTGACAAATTCAAGGGGCTCCTATTCAAAGGGGGCATGTACCAGAGAAAGTTCACTTCAGTACCTTATTCAATTTCAGACTTCACACATCATTTACAATAAAAATCTGCTGCAATAGAAAGAGTCCATACTTTGAGGTATCAACAGGTTGTGGGTTAAAGTTCCCTTCAGAATCCATGGATGACTGTTTTTCCATCATACTGACATAGTTTGACTCCATGTAGTCTGGAGGTAAAGCTCCCGCAACTGCACTCAGGCAAGGCAGGGCCAGTTTGAAAAGTTCTTGTTCATATTTCTGGGAAAAGAACAACAATGGTAAGCTATTATCTATATGACTCTTGTTGTGGCTTGTTGATAAATATTCCCCATAGGCTCATATATTTGAACACTTGATTTCTAACTGGTAGCACTGTTTTGGAATCACGGAACCTTTGCAAGGTAGAGACTTGCTGGAGAAAGGTCACTATATAGTACCCTCTCTCCTCTTCTCTTCCCTGTCTCCCTTTTCCTCTCATCCTCCCCCATCCCATGCTTCCTGACTGCCATATAGGCTCATTCTGGCTGCTATGCCTTCCCTGCCATGATGGATGTACTAGTTTGAAAGTAATTGGCCCCCATAAACTCATAGGTAGTGCCACTATTAGGAGGTGTGGCCTTGTAGGAGGAAGTGTGTCACTGTGGGAGGTGGGCTTTGAGGTTTCCTATGCTCAAGATTCACCCAATATCTCAGTTCACTTCCTGTTGCCTGCACAAGATATAGAACTCTCAGCTACTACGTCAGCACCATGTCTGCCTGCATACTGCCAAGTCCCACCATGATGATAATGGACTGAAACTCTGAACTGTAAGCAGCTCAATTAAATATTTTCCATTATTAAGAGTTGCCATGGTCATGGTGTCTTCTTCACAACAATAGAAACCCTAACTAAGATAATGGATTGTTTCTCCTCTGGAACTGTAAAACAAAATGAACACTTTCTCTTCTAAGTTGCTTTGTGTCAGTGTATTCTATCATTAACACCAATCAACTACATGTCTGATCTCCTACATTCCTCCACTATTTTAATTTCAGAAACAGTGTTATGATCACAAGGAATTTGTGACAATGATGACCATTGAAAATCAATGTATAATATATTCTCAATATGCATTATTAAGAAAGGAAGAAAAAAACAAAAAAAGATAACTTTCCACTGTTTCATTTTGTTGAAACAGGATCACACCCTATAACCCAGACCCCAGTGGAGACTCATCTATGCAGCCCAGGCTGTCCTTGAACTTGAGATCCTCCTGACTCAGCCTCCTCTGTGCTGGTAGTATAGGCATGCACCATCATACCTGGCACTTTTTAAGTCTTGATTAGTGAAGACATTATTCCACTATAAATATCACCTTACAGATAATCTGAGGCTTTTTGTTGCTTTATCAATACATATAAATCCCCCCAGGCCTTCCATTACCTTTTGAGACAAAGCATCAAAAATGCCCCAAAATAACTTTCTTGATAAATGAAGTTCTTCTTCTGAGGCAGCACCAAAGTTGCCCCATCCTCCAGGCAGGCAGTAATATTTCCAGCATCTTTCATAATGATTTGTCAGAAGCTGTGTGGAAAAGTAGTCACAAAATTAACAGACAAAAACATCTTTTCTATGTTTCCATTCCTCTTCCATGACATTCTAATGTTATATGAAGTCCATGGAAGGGAAACTATCAAATCCATGTAAGTTCTTTTGGGAACAGAATTACTTGAATACTATGTCTCTTTCAAATTAGATACTGATCACAATACAAAGTGTGGACCAAATGTTCAACTTTGAAAACATATCCTGAGGTAGGCAGAAAACATGGGTCAGTGGTTAAGAGTATTTGCTGCTCTTGCAAAAAGCCCATGTTTGGTTCCCAGCACCTACACCAGGCAGCTCACAACCACATGTAATTCTAGCTCCAGGTGATCTTTTGCCATCTTCTGGACTTAATTGTTACTGCACTTACATGCACATACCCACACACATATACAAATAATTAATGTATCTTGAACGGCATTCTTTCTGGGGTTATTTTGATACTTATATAGTCCAGAGTTCTACTTCTTTTAATTTCATTTACTCATAACTATGTGAACTGTTATCTACTGGACTCCATGCACAATTATCTCCTAGAGTAAAGGTATAAAACAAAGGTATGGAAGGTAGAATAGCCCAGAGATGTTAAGTGGGAACCTTATCTCTGTGAATATTTTTGTTTCATCTCTGACTTACCTATCACTTGTGATGGCTTCATCTTAATTCTATGAGTAAACTCTGAAAATGACTCTACATTTGTTTAGTACCTACAGATGCAGTCTATGACCTACTTACATAAAAGGATCTTTCAGTTATTTAGCAGATTTCTGGGAAATTTATTTGTGATCTGTATCTTCCAAATTTATAGAATCAATGTTAGGAAGTCTATGCTCCTGTATTGCTTGTTTAAGGGTCACACACACACACACACACACACACACACACACACACACACACACACACACATACACACACACAATTTTATAAGGCTTTTTCAATAACTAGGAGAAATTCTACAGCATCAGAGACCAAGAACACTAAGTCTAAGAGACATATGATCAGGAACAAAAGTCAACTCAAGGAAACAGGGACCACACAGTGCCAAGAATCCCGGTATTTACCTTAAGAGGCATCTTTGCATGCTCATTCAACAGTGGAACATCAAATACCAGCCTTCTGAGTAGATGTTGCATCATAGAAGGTCGCAGTTGGCTGTTGGAACAAGGTGGCCAATTGTAATAATGGAGACAACCTCAAGATTCAGACATTCATATATTGTACTATAAAAATTAATTTTTGATATAGAAACTGTCCAAAAATTTCATGATAATTAAAAGGGCCATGCCATAAAGAAAAGTACAGAGAATCACCCACTTACCCACATATAGAGAGCAGGCACACTTCTATGGAGTCCCGCTGAGCTTTGGTGAGGGAGCATCCCTTAGACAGTCTATATACAGTATGCAGTAGAGAGTCAATGAGGGAAGCATGGTGCTCTGTTCCAGCAAACAGGGGAGCACATCTTGTTAACAAAGGCAGGACAGCTGTGCAAAGGTATCGATTGAGGGCTAAGGCCATATCTGTAGCACTTAGTGCAGCCTAGAGAGGAATAAGAGGACACAGGTTTGTGTGATCAGCAAAGGACTCAATGCATTGCCACATAATCTTCCTATCTGTAAATAACAACAGCTGGAAATGCAGTCCTTAGATCAAATTTTACCCATGGGTCACATGAGCTTCACCACTTAAAACCATTGATGGTTTATAAGTAGACTAAAATGAATGTGACAATATCTATTTTCTCCAAGAGCTCAGGAAATCCATGCTTAAGGTTAGGTTATGATAATATCATTTCCTCTAACATATGTGATGGTACTCTCTGAACTTAGTAAACAGTTCTATGTAATCTAGAGGAATATTATGAGCTTGACCTGGAGCAAGGCAGTTCTAAAAAGACTGAGACATCACTAGGGTGTGTAATAGAAGATGATGTCAATGAGCATTTCCTTGTGGGCAGAAAGAAATGAATATATTTGCATAATTGATCTCAGATTTGCACACACAATCTGAATTCAACTGATCAGTGGCATTCATACTTTTATTCCTGTCTATAAGTGTCAATCATCAGGAGACCACTGTATCACTATGTTGGTGTCTCTACTCTTCAGATTTAGAATGTGAAAGAAGGTGAAACTTCCATCTTGCTTTTATGATTGTACAGCTATGGATTTCTTTTTTTTTTTTTTTTTTTTTTTTTTTTTTTTTTTGGTTTTTCGAGACAGGGTTTCTCTGTGTAGCTTTGCGCCTTTTCCTGGAACTCACTTGGTAGCCCAGGCTGGCCTCGAACTCACAGAGATCCGCCTGGCTCTGCCTCCCGAGTGCTGGGATTAAAGGCGTGCGCCACCACCGCCCGGCTAGCTATGGATTTCTTAACTCAGGATCTAATTGTCCATGGGATCAAAGGGGCTAATTTAATTGATAAGTAAGTAAATAACTCAGGATGATTTAGATGGAATTTGGTGTTCCACTTTACTCCACCATGTTTTAGACATTAGCCTGACACTAGTAATGGCAGATCCTCCATAGGGTCACTTAACATACAGGGCAGATATTATGCAATAAGTACTTAAGAGACTGATGCTTCAGAATGCCACTGTAACTGACAAAACTATAATAAGCCTTAATGCTTATTGCTTTCGACAAGCAGCAACAGTGCAGAGGCCAATTTATTTATTTATATATTAATTTGTTCTTTGTATGGACACATGTTTGTATGTCTGTGAGCACTTGTGTATACATATATGGTGAGGCAAGAGGTCATTGTCAAGTGTCTTCCTTAATCTCTCTACCTTCTTTTTTGAAATAGGGTCTCTCGCTGAACTGAAAGTTTACTAATACTAATTCAGCTAGATTAGCTAGCCAGTAATCTCCAGGAATCCTTCTGTCTCTACCATCCAGTGCTTAGATTTTACACACACACACACACACACACACACACACACACACACACACACACTTATGTGTACACTACCATGCCTCAGTTTTTCACTTGGGTTCTGAAGGACAAACTCTGGTCTTCATGTCTATGTGGCAAGCACTTTATCAATTGAGCCATCTCTATCTCTAGGACAATTTAGAGGCTCATAATGGACAGGTATTAATAGACATCCCTATGACCTCCCACAAATGGACAGGCATTAATAGACATCCCTATGACCTCCCACGTTAAGCATAGATGAACCTCTTGACTTCCATGGCACCTCATCAGATTTCTTGTCAGCCCTTTGAGGCAGGTAGTGCCACTAGTCAGTGAACTGCCTTTCGACAGGGTCTGTTTTACTTTCTATTTACTCACTGCTTGCCTGAAAACAACACAGGTATGCAGTAAATGTTGTTTGATAACGAGCAGATGAATGAGCACCATGAGACACAGACTTCAGAGTTTGAGAGTCATGAGTACAAGTTCACTTTCTATATCATACCGTGTCTAGAGAGGCAGCAGCTCGGAGATCAGGCAGAAAGCCAACCTCAAGGAGATGGAGGAGGAAATCTTGCACCTCAATTCCATAGACCCTGTCAAGGAACAAAACCATGGCTGCCTTGTGATCTGGGCAAAACCCCGCGGACATGTCAGGCTCCACCACCTTCCCATCTACAAGAGAGAAGGTGACATGTTGGTGTCAATGGCCTGGCCATATGTGGGTTGATGACAATTGGCTTTTTGCCAACCATGTCATGTTTCAAATCAAGTATATTAATGAAACATTTTCCTGTTTTACTACCCTCACACAAATGTGTGCATGACTGGAGAACTAGGGCAGTGCAGTTTGAACCTACGGTCATTTAGATGTCATTTGGGCATCTGTTTGTTCACTTCATATTTGTAAAAGCAGAGTATCTGGTAGATGCCAAGAATGAAACAGAAGGCATCAGATAGACCTGGTAAAATACAGAGTGGATACCATAAAAAAATTAAAAATAAGAAGCACATATTTCTACTCTTGTTAAGGACTACCCCTTTAAACTCATTATGGTGGTTTAAATAAGTATGGCCTCCATAGACTCATGTGTCTAAATGCTTGGCCCACAGGGAATAGCACTATTAGGAGGTGTGGCCTTGTTGGAGTAGGTGTGGCCTTGTTAGAGGAGGTGTGTCAGTGTGGAGGCGGGCTTTGAGGTCTTTTATGCTCAAGTTAGGTGTAATATGGCAGTCTCCTTTTGCTGCCTACAGATCAAGATATAGAACTCTCAGGTCCTTCCAGTACCATGTCCGCCTGCATGCCACCATGCTTCTTGCCAAGATGATAATGGACTAAAACTCTGAAACTGTAAGTCAGTCCTCATTAAATGTTTTCTTTTATAAGAGTAGCCATGGTCATGGTGTCTCTTCACAGCAATAGAAACCCTAACAAAGACACCCATGCTCTACCATGTGATAGTCAGGACACTTTCCTACTGCTATGATTTAGATTATAATTATAAATGAAATCCCATCATGGAGATTATAATTACACAATAATCATAATGTGATAAATCAACACCATGAACACGGCATGGATTTCATATGAAATAGACTTCATTAATTATAACATATTTTGTCTAACATATCATGTCATTTTCTCTCTCAATACCCAATGGTTGAAGTCTATGCAGATGAATGAATTCCTTATAGTAATTCCTTAAGTTCAGAGGTTGGGGACCATTAGTATGAAGAATTATAGGACTTTGTGCCAACTTAAAATACTGGGGAGTTTATTTGCTTCCTATTTGATCATAAGATAATTATGCCAAACTGGTTCTTATAACCTACAGTAAGAGTTTATGAATGGTATCACAGAATTTTTCACATGGATGTAATGTTGAAGGAAACAGAACAGGGAAGGATGACACATGACCATCACCAGCCTGAAATAGTTTCTCACTTGGAGTCAATGAATGAATTTTATATTCCTACCATGAAAATGAATAAATAATATTTTAAATAAAATTAAAAAGTGATGTTCATTAGTTCCTATTTATTATTATAAGAATATCTAATGTAACTAATACTACTTTGCTTTACATTATAAGAAAAATATTTCTTAGTGTTTAAACTGCTGTCAAGTATTCTGCTTGGAATATGATAAATGGAATTGTTAGGTGATAGACCTGAGTGATGAAGTTGGAAGAAGGTCTGTGAGGACAACCCAACCCCTGTGTCTGTCTGTACAGACGGACAGGCTATTGCAAGACTTTGTTCCCTGCCTCCATGATGAAGCATCAGTTTTTAAAACAGAAGACTGTCTTATCCCTGGTACAAAACAAATTGTGGGATCTTGATTAGTCTCAAAAGGGAGACAGGAAGGAGGGAGCCTAGAAAGTTGCAATGATGCCCTAGTAGCTGTGCCTCCTAGGAGTCAGATGCCCCCTTCCCATTCTTCAGACTGCAAAGTGGTTGCTACCACTGTATCAAAAACTAACGTGCCAGGGCATCTTCCCATACACAGCACAAATGAGCAGTCTGCATTCTCCAAAGGGCATCATTACAATATCATTTGCATTGTGGTTTTTACTCCCTCAGTGAACTTTTCTGGAGGACCATGAAAAGAAACACCCTTAAAGGAGACTATCCTACCATGACCAGGGAAAGGAAAAGAGTATTTACCTTCTATTACAAATATACAATCTGTCTCATAAATATTTGTAAAGGGTTCTTTAACATTCACAGTGCTGAACCTATTGCATAGTTTTGGGACAGAACACCTTTGGGACATCGCCTTTTGGGACAGTGCACTCCAACCTCTTTAGTGTGGGTGCTTGCTTTGCTTTGCTGAATAAACTTCTAAAACTGCCTGCACCTCTTGACTGATTTCCTTATTTCCTTCAAAAGTTCTAGAACTGAGAGGTCTATCCATAATGGGATAACAGACAAGTTCTATGATCTGCATGTGGGGTGAGTTCCATGATGCTCATTTAACAGGTGATGAGCGTTGACTTTTGGGAAGAGGAAGGAACTTATCCAAGTTCACAACCCAGTGACTGGCAGAGCTGAACTAGAAGTTACTAAAATGTGTTTAACATTCAACCTGGGCTGATTTGATTTTCAGTTTATTTATATTTGTATGGCATAGTTTTTTCAAATAAATAATGATGTAAAATTTCCATATCAGTCTCCTTAAAAAAAACAACACATTATTGGGATTTAAGGTGTCATGGTTCTACTATTTTACCATCTAGCTGTACGTAAATAAAAATGGAGCCACTCAGAGACCCAAACAATTCTTTACTTTTCAAACACTCATTCAAGTTGACATTGATTTTATTTTACTTTTAAAATTGTTGTTACATTTGTTTAATTATTCATTCATGTGTGAATGTGTGCCATGGCCTCAAGCAGAGGTCAGAGGACACCTTGCAGGAGTCAGTGCTCTCCTTCTGTTATGTGAGTCCCAGGGATTTAACTCAGGTGCTCTTTAACATTGACTTTAATATAATCACAATTGCCTGGGACTCAAAACCCACTGATGTGCTACCATGGTCTATTGTTTCTAACTCCTCCCACACAGGACTTGATGCAGTGAAGGACCTGCCTACTCTTACACCTGAGGATGCACCTAACTAAATGGAGGTGGGGAGAGGGGATGTAAAGCACGGATGAAATTTTCACAAAGTGCTGCCCTCCCAGTCCAGAGTTACACAGGACAGAAGCTGATCTTACCTTTGGCTATTGTTGGCATTTGAAATGCAATGCTGATTACGCCCACCAAGTCTCCCAGTGGAATCAGGGATCGCAAAATAGACCTGATTCGGATGGCTTCTCCCTTTCCAGCATGAATCAACTAAACAGGAAGAGGATAAAGCAAGCTTAGAACCAGCGATTGACTCTGTCCATACTTATGCTAGGAAACTTAAACTGTGAGAATCCAAGTTTAAAGCAGTGTCTTTCCTGAATATGCATAAAGCTAGCCATCTCTCAGAAACTGCCATCTCAGACACACAGGTAGACAACAACATCTTACAGTTCCCATAAATAAGAGGAAACACTCAGTTATACACACTACATTCTAGACCACCTGGTTTGCCAAAAAGACTATTTTTTAACAATGTTTGGGGTACCAAAAACAAACTGAAAGTCAGATAAGTTTATGAACAATTACCTCTAAAATTACATATACCTATCAATAACCAGAGAAACAACACAATAAAACAGCCATCATTTCCAGTAACTGAAAATAAACTAATATTTGTGATTTATTTAGCCTCTTTCTGTTCTTGAGATTGGAAATTAGTTTTATATCTATCCATATTTCACCCTGATTCTTGGAGGAGGGGGTCAGTTCCTTTAAGACTTCTGGCTGAGGAAGTTTCCGTGATACCAGTGGATCAGGATAGTCAAGAATCTCAGTGAGTTTCTGGAATAACCACAGCTCTCTAGAGCCAAAACCAACATCTGTTACCTTCACCACAAGGCAGGAAAAGCAAGTGATAGTCATGGCCTAATAGAGGACTCAACTAATAACCATAAAGGTGGCTGAACTTCAGAAGAGGCAAGGTGAGTCATCATAAATCCATTTTAGTGTTTCTAGATCCTTAACATGGGCATGACAATAACACTGAAAGCTTCTATATATTATTACAATTTATTTCCTAGTTCCTCTGGTTTTTTTCCTTGAGACAGACAAAGATACAAACTGTGTGAACAACCATGTTTTAATCTACAACCTTCTCCCTCACATGGATCTTTCATCATCCATTTCCAGTTACCAAAGTGAAAAAAAATCACATCATAACAGAGGCTGGGTTAAAAAATGATTTTAGCCCTTCTAAGGAGGGCTAAAGGGAGGACACATTAATCACACTATGAAGGGGAAATAGAATAGACATCCCCATCACACGTGGACGAGGAGAAGAGGTCTAAATGGGTAGGTAGGCATGGGAACAGGAAGGATCGGGTTGGGGAACATGGAGGGAGAGAGTACTGGGAAAGACAACTTGAATCAGGGGGCATCTCTGGGATGAGATAGAAACCTAGTGCAATGGAAACTCCCAAGAATCTATGAGGTTGACCCTATCTAAGACTCCTAGCAGTGGGAGATAGGGAGCCTGAACTGGCCATCTTCTGTAACCTGGTAAGACTTAGAGTAGAGAGATTGGGACTCCAGCCCAGCCACATAACCTTTGGCCAAAATTTTTTCCTGCCTACAAGATATGCTGGGGTAAAGGTGGTACAAAAATTAAGGGAATGGCCAACCTATGACTAGTCCAACTTGAAACCCATACCATGAGAGACAGCCCACCCCTGACACTGCTGGGAGGGCAGGACCCAGAAACTCGACAGCCTAGAGACCTATGATAGAGTCAAACATGAATGGCAAAATATGTCAATGAAATGATTCCTAATAATATTCTGCTATACCCCTAGATTGTTGTATAGCCCAATCATCATCAGAGAGGCTTCACTTAGCAACAGATAGAAACAGATGCAGAGACATTAGGTGGACCTTATGGAATCCTGTGGAAGAGGGCGAGGAAGGATTGTGAAAACCAGAGGGGCCAAGGACACGACAAGAAAATCACAGAATCAACTAACCCGGGCACATAAGGGCTCACAGAGAGTGAAACACCAACCACAGAGCTTGCTTTGGACTGACCTAAGCCCTCTGCATATATGTTACAGTTGCCTATCTTGGTCTTCTTGTGGGTCTCCTAACAGGGGGAGCAGGGGCTCTCTGACTCTGTTACCTGCTTTTGTGACCCTTTCCTCCTACTGGGTTGCCTTGTCCGGCCTTAATAGGAGAGGAGGTGCCTAGTCATACTGCAACTTTACATACCACAGCTGGCTGATATACATGGGAGGCCTGCCCCTTTCTGAAGAGAAAGGAGGAGGAGTGGATGGGGTTGAAGAGGGGAGGTTGGAGAGGGAGGATTAGGAGGAAAGGAGAGGGAGGAAAAACTATGATCAGGCTGGGAAACATTAATTAATTAACTATTAATTATTAATAAAAATAAGTTTTAAAAATGATTCTAGATTTTCTAATATTCTAACAGTTCTCTATTCTGTAGTTCTCTATTCTGTATTCAGGTTACAACAGAAGAAAACCTCAAGTAGGTTTTATCATATGAGCTTAAAGGAAAGACCACAAAATAACAGAACTGAAAACAAGCGTAGGTACCAAGGGCAGGGGAATGAGATAAGCTACAAGCTGTCTGCTATGGCTTCATGTTTATCCCAGCTCAAATATGGACTTGCAAGTTCATTCTTTCTTTTAAAATTTCATACATGTATAAATGTGTCAATCATATTCATCACCAATTACATTCTGCAAACTCCCTCTGTGCCATCCAACTTGTCTTACAAATACATGTCTCCTTAAAAAAATTAATAACCCACTTAATCAAATTTGTGCTGCATGGGTGTAAGGCCATCCACAAAGACATGGGAAACCTACTGGCTAGCTCACAAAGAAAATTGACTTTATTTCCCCTAATAGCCATCCACTGCCAATAGTTCATCAGCTAGATGTGGGTTATCAGGAGCCTAGAAGCTATTACAGAGAACTGCAACTGGTCAAAGTACAGAGAACAAGTGATGACTGAGGAGTGCCCACCCCCAAATGGGACGTTTGTAACACAACACTACACTCAAGGCTCAGGGAGCACTGTGGAAGAGAGGGTAGAAAGTTTTCATGGACTAGAAGACTAAGAGGCTGCTGTGAAATAGGTTTTTCTGAACATAACAGGGATGCTACACATATGAGCTCTCAACAACTATGTCTACCTTACAGTTTTGAAATCAATATTGCTCACCTCTACTCTTATAGAGATAAGCATTATATGAAAGGAATCAATTATTGATGGAAGCAGTGGTTTTCCAAAAGAGAAGAATCTATACAGGGAAAATATATTCTCTTCTTAAAATGCAAGGAGGTCACATGAGTTTTAAAGACATATGGGTGACTATATATCCCATTAATGACTTGTACTGAAAAATCTCATTACTAATTTTTATAGCCAATGAGACATTTCCAACTAAACAAACACTTGTTCAGTAATTAGGCCACAGCCATTATTTTTAATGGAGCATGAATATTACTAGTTCAGGATGCTGCTGTGAGCTCTGCCACCCATGATGTTCTAGCACTGATGACTGTATCAAGATTGCTGCCCTCCAGCCCCCAAATAGACTCACGTGCATTTCAGGAGCGCAGCGACCAAGCAAGTCAATCAAAGCTGCATAGAAGGTCATGATCGCATTCCCCATGTGGATGGCATCATCTTCCTCCTCTTCTGTATCACTTTTGGGCATTTTTTTCCAAAAGAAATGGAAAGCAAATGAAGGTGCAGTGCTCAGAGAAGAGGGGGTTCCCTTTCCCTATCAGTACTTTCACATATCTCAGATACACCAGCGAGATATTTTTCAAACAAAATAACCAAGAGTTCAGGATCAGAATTGGAACTCTATTACCAAGAACACATTGCAAGGGCATATTAAGATTCCTGCCAAGGGAAAAGGGGATGATTGCTCATTTGTTGCTTTTTTTTCCAATCTTAAAGATTTATTTTATTTTTATTTATGAGTATGTGTGTGTGTTTGTTAATGTAGGCATGTCTGAAATGCCCTTGAAGGCCAGAGCAAGGTGCTACATGCCCCAAAACTTGAATTACATGAAGTTTTGAGCTGCTTGATTTGGGTACTGAGAACCAAACACAGGAGATCTCTGGAAGAACAGCAAGTGCTCTTAACCACCAAGCCATCTCTCCAGCCTCTTTGCTTCTTTTTTTCTGTTAATCTTTTGAGCTAGTGTACAAACAAATGGCTTTCATTATGGTATTTTCAAAAATGTAATACAGTCTACTTTTTTCATATTCATTCTCTCAACACCCTGCCTCCTCCCAAATAGCCTCTTTTTGTTTTTATGTCATATATAGAGAAATACATACACATATACAACACATATATGTATATGATATGTGTATATATGCCATATACATACATATATATATATAGTGTTCATTTCTAATGACAAACAGGATATTAACAAAAGAAATGGTGGAAAGACTATTGTGAAATAAGTTTAAGAGTGATTTTCTAAGTAGCACTCAAATAGAGAAAGGGTAACCAAAGACATCATATATGATAACATATGTCAGACTCCATGTATACTGTTTGATCTGGAGTAACATTTAGAAATATAACTTCATTTACTCACTTATCCCAAACCAATTGCCCTACCCTCACTCCATCACCCATAGTCAATATAGTCTGTTTCTTTCTCTACCTCCTCAAGATTTTCTTTCTGCAAACATTCCATTATTTTGCTGATAAAATGCAAATGTGGACAGACTTTGGGGCCCATGTCCTTCCTTGCTGCAGAGTGACAGTGAGTAGCCTTACATGCCCACGAGGGAGGTCTCAAGCTTTTGTGTACACACTGGCTAACATGGTCCTGGCCTGAGCTCTCTGGATGTACTTCTCACTGTGAGATCAGCCAAGGATTGCCTTAACCATCTGTATCTACCTGATAAACCACATTAGCTCTATGCCTCTTCCACCTGTGGAAAGACTAAAGTTTACTTGCAAGTCTGTCCCCTTTGAGCCCTATGTTTTATCTTTACAATTGCACTAGCAGTGTGGGTGTTTGACCTCCTCAGAGGACATTCACCTCCACAGATGAAAAGACTATAAAGGTAAGGACACATAAGACACATGCCCATCTGCATTGCCTTAGGACCCTACTAGACACCAGTATCGGTGTCTTCTGCCACACATCTGTCTCTAGTACATTAACCAAGCATTCTGCTCCTCAGAATTGTGTCTGTTTTCCTGGATGCTACCATCAATCACCTGGCTGAATCCCCATTCTCTTACTAAAGGTCTCTTTCCCTACCTGATAACATTATAAGAACTCATCTTGGAAGACTGGAAAGATGGCTCAGCAGGAAAGAGAGCTTGCATCATAAGCATAAGGACCTCAGTTCAAATCACCAGGACCCACATAAAATGCCAGGCATGTCACATATGTCTGTAACCCAAGTGCTGGGGGAGGAGCAGATTCAGGAAGATTGCTACAGCTTGTGAGCTGCCAGCCTACTTCCTAATCCAATGAGTGACTCTGTCTCAGAGAATAAGGTAAAAAGTGACAGAGCAGGACAAATAGTACCTCCCTCGGGTGCCTGTACAAGTAGGTATACACACACACACACACACACACACACACACACACACACACACACACACACATACACAATCATCTCACTACCGCTAGACCTGACTCAAGTTTCAGAGACTTACCTCTCATCATCTATACTGCACAGGTGTATGTGCGATGTGTTGAGTGTTGAATTTATGGGCTGGTGAGATGGCTCAAGTAGATAAAGATGCTTGCTGCCTGTGGCCTGTGGGCTGTATTAGCCCAGGATAGCTATAATGTGGCCAAACACCTTGTAGATGACAACATTACATCCCACTGTCAAGGATACAGGCTTCTGAACTGTGCTTTTTGCCTAGGGCGCCTGAAAATACCTACAAAATGCATCTCCTAAATCTACACAATCTCCCCAGCTCATCTCTTCATTCATTTAGCCTAGTCCAACAACCAACTCCACATTCGTCTTGTCTAAGACACTCAGTTTTCAATGGGGAAACTCTTCAGTGTCAGACAGTGAAAGGGTAATTAGCAAAATGTCAAATACATGTCAACCTTGGTGGGCTGATAGCACTTGCTGAGGGTGTGCATGGTAGACCTACAGGTTTTTGCTGGATCCGCTGGTTGGGGAGGGGCCATCTCTAGAAGGATCCTCAGCTATTTTTATGGCTTCTTCCATGGCTGCAAGGAGGCCATTGCCACCTTCCCCTCTCAAGGCAGGACCAAAGCACTCGGGCCTCCGGATGAGCAACCTCACCACAACGTTTGCATTCTCTTCCACACTCTCCCCTGCAGTCAAAAGAGTAATGTAAACAAAATATAAGACGTCCAGGGACCATATATCATAAGCATTTCTCATTTAAAGAAACAGTATACCTTAGAAATATACTATAATAGTAAATGCAGCTTTTAAATTACATTTATTTATGGGGTGGGGGGAGTCAGTTCACACACCACGTGGAAGCCAGAGAACAACCTGCAGAAATTGTTTCTCTCCTTCTACCCTGTGGGTTTCAGGGATGGAAGTCAAGAGGTCAGCCTTGGCAGCAAGCACCTTATCTACTAAGCCATCTCACCGGCCCATAAATTCAACACTCAACACACATCACAATTTTTATATATATTGTTATGTCTACATGTTGAATGACCCTCAGAGACTTGTGTGTCTCGATACTTATCCCCACGAGACACTGCTGTCTTGGGAGTCTTGGGACCTGGGGCCTAGCTGGCTATTACAGTCTGTCAGCGAGGGCCTTGAAGGAAGAGCTGCCTCCAGCTATACCCTAGCTCTCACTCTTATTTCCTGGTTGGTGCTAGATAGGAGGCTGCATTGCAAGCTCCCGCCAACCACAGACTAAGCCACTGTAGTCACCTTCTCTGTAGTGATGGACTGATTAAGTTCCTTCCTCAAGGTCCCTCTATCAAGTATTCTGTCATAGCAATGAGAAAAGTGACAGATATGCTCACTAAACGTCGTTAAGTTACTTTCTTTGATAATATTTTCCAAGTACAGCAAAATATTACAGAGACAAACTATTTGTTATGGGAGAAGGTACTGCAATCTCAACCCTTAAGACCCAAATGCAAAAATCTAGAAGGTACATGCAGATTTCAAATTAAACAATGAAAGTATAATCCATGTAAAAATATAGTATTTGTTATTGCTGTGGAAATAATACTATTTATTAAATAAAATGTGCAATCTCTTATATTAATTTCCCATATGAAAATGCTATGATGAACCATTGTTTTCTTTACATTTTTAAAAAACATTAATTTTTATTTTTAATTATGCATATATACATGTCTGTGTGTGCATAAGAGTACAGATGCCCCATAAGGGGGTATCAGATCTCTTGAAGCTGGAGTTAGAAGCAGTTGTGAGCTGTCCCACATGGGTGCTGGAAACAAAACTTGGGTCCTCTACAGGAGCCGATAAGTGATCTTAACCACTGAGACATCTCTCCAGCCCCAGAACCCTTATTTTCACACAGTTTTATGTGTCCTCAAGCAGTAATGTCCTACCGTTACAGAAAACAGCAAATCTGAGAAAGTCGAGGTATCTCTCTCCTTCAACTGGATTCCACCCAATGTCTGGGTAACCCTTAGACACCAGCATCTGACAGCTCTGCAGCCCACAGCCAGCCAGATAGCGAACTACCTACAAACAAATGATAAGCAAGGGGTTAGCCTTCATTTGGAAGTAACATGAGCCTAAACTAAGTCTGGAGAATGAGATTATCCACGGGTGGTTTAAAACATATGCATTTCATTTATTTGTATGCATGTATATGTACGCCTGAGTGCAGGTTCCCAGGGGAGCCAGAGAAGAGAATTGGATCTCCTAGAGTTGCAGTTGTAGGCAGCTATCAACTTGATGTGAATGCTGGGAATAGAATTTGAGTCCTCTGAAAGAGCAGCAATTACTCTTACCACTGAGCCATTTCTCCAGCCCTAACAAATGTATTCTTTTTGCAATTCTTTTTAACATCATGATAACTGACATAATTTCTCTCTAGTTAAGCTTTAATAATAATACGTACATACTAAAATACAATAAAATGTACCCATTAAAAATATGAATGAATTCTATAAGAAAATAATGTTCTTGAATTCCATACCATGTAACTCAAGAACTTTGCATACAAAAGTCATAATAGGCCAGGCGGTGGTGGCGCACGCCTTTAATCCCAGCACTCGGGAGGCAGAGGCAGGCGGATCTTTGTGAGTTCGAGGCCAGCCTGGTCTCCAAAGTGAGTTCCAGGAAAGGCGCAAAGCTACACAGAGAAACCCTGTCTCGAAAAACCAAAAAAAAAAAAACAAAAACAAAAACAAAAACAAAAAACAAAAAGTCATAATCTCTGAATACCCCTGAATGTCTAATAACCTCTAGTCCAAATAAAAACCACCTGAGTGCATCTTCCCATAGCTCAGCTGGTAAAGAGGGGGGCTGTAAAACCACCTGAATGCAGGAACTCCTGTTTGAGATACAAAAGCATCTTGGAGAGAAGCGATTTATTCATCCATTCAATGGTAGGGCAGGTATGAGAATGTTCTTAAGTGGGGTAACCCTAATTTAGAGGCAGATCTCCTCAGCTCTGATTAGACATATCTCACCCACAGGGTGCATCATTTTGAGCACGTTATTTATGCTCCTCGAGTCAGTATCAGCATCCATAAAAACTTGATATATATACTATCTACAATCCAAAAATCTAAAATCACCAAAGCTGTGACATCTAAGACATGTTTAGCATTGCCATGAAGTCACAAACAAAAAAAAAGTTTACATCTGACTTCAAATGACAGGTCACATTCAAAAGGCAGGTGCACTAAAAAAAATGAATCAAATATTTCATTATGTGTGTGTGCTAATTTTTTGTAATCCAGAAAACACTAACATCTGAAACATGATGGCTTTCAAGCATCATGGTTAAGAGATACTCAACCTGCACATTAGCAGTACTTTTCAGTGCTGTAGAAATGAGCAAATAAAAAATACCTGCTTGGTTTATCTTTTAAGATACTTCATTTCATAGGCATACTAATAGTACACAACATTTCATGTGGAATTGAGATATAAGAAAAAACCCAACCCTAAAGAAGTCATAGCCAAAGGTGACAAAGCATTACAAGAATAAATTGAGAGTTCTATTCAGCTTAGAAACAAATGTTATAGCTAAGACTTTTATGTCTGGAGCATTGAGGCAAGTGATGGTCAAGAGAATGGTCAACTTAAGGTACTAATTCAACATGGTTTGAAAGGAGCACATTTCTGAATACCCTAGACCATTCCATCTTCCTTCCAGGGTATCCTATGCCCTTTGCAGTCCCTTTCCCTATATATCTAGCTCCTGATGAACTGCTTTCTTTCAGGACAAATTAGCTTGTTTTTTTCAATAATATTCACACATGGAATTATGTGGCATGTATCTTCCTGTACCTAGTCACAATGTACTAGAAGTTAATACCAAATTATTTTGTATTGCTGAATAGCAATCCACCACACATGGACAGACAGTCTACAGCTTCACTTACCAATCTGTACAGTGGTGGGTGTTTTAGCTGTGGACTATGATGGATTTCTTTCCATTGAGCAAATCCCCAGGAATGTGAAGGCTATGTGTATAGTCCATTGTAAATAGTTCATATTTAAACTGATAATCTATTGGGAGGTTTTTCAGACTCAGTGTGCAACATTCATTCAACAGCTCCTTGGCAGGGTTGTCCAGTTGCTCAACATTCTCCCTCTATATTTGGTGTTATCAAGGGTTTAGATATTAACTATTTTAAGGAGTTATATAAAAAAAAGATTTTAAGTGACATATAGGAGCAAAGTCTCCTCTGCAAGTCAGAGATGTAAAACTTCATGACACTGATCTGGCATGTCAGGGGACTTGGGAAGAGCTCACAGCCTTACACCTGTAACAGGTACACTCAGATATACCCCAGTGCCAACACCTTCTCTGAAGCTGGGCAAGCATTTGCAAAAATGCTGACATCACCAGTAGCAATATCAGTAGGGAGTAGGTTTTAAGAAACACATAAACATAGCAATTCTTAATCTGCATGTGAGCTACCTAACAGTGTCAACTGGTGATCAAGCTCATATATGATCATGATCCTCAAAGACCACAACCTCTAGAGATGTCACACATGTCTTGTTTTGGGGAAGTACATTCTATGATGTTTGCATCACAAAGATGCTATGGAACTGCATTTCTCAGAAAGTTTTCCTGTTAAATGTTATACGAATATAAACATTATATATGTATGCATATATAATACATAAATAGATCACATAAATAGAAACCAATGAAATGTACACTTATATACATATACATGATATGTTATATGCAAGTATATATGCTTTCAAGAAAATTAAGTCATAAAATAATAGGAAGAGCTAGAGAAGGCAGAAATGACTTACAACTTTAAATAGCAGGGCTTGGAAGAGCTGATCACAAACATGACTTTGGAGTCATGATGAAAAGATATCTGGCAAAGAGCCATAGGCTGAGGGGTAAGGAAGGACCTGGCAGGTGGAGGGAACAGTGAGTACAAAGCCCTGAGACAGAGACGCATTCTAGCTTGTCCAGCTGTAGTGAGAGCTGTGTGGCTAGAACAAAGAGAAGGGACAGGATAGTGGTAAGATATGGGAGCAGAGCATTATGGGGGTGGATGGCACTGGAGGAAACTTGTGTCTGTTACATCCAGTGACACAGGAAGCCTTTAGCAGTCCTGGGAAGAGAATGAGGGGATCCTTTTAAGATGATCCACATCTGTAAAGAAATGACAGACAGGACTCTAGAGAAGGAACAAATGATCACATGGAAGGCTTCTGCAGCCAAACTTTGGGGAACATTCCATGCGTGCTGGTCAACACACGTGGTTAGATAAACTTAGAGCACCCAGCCTTGCAATTTTACTGACATTGTCACTGGAACATATGAATATCTGTGTGGTAGAAAATGTATATATGAGAAGACAAAAATATCCTTAGGGAAACTAATTCTTAAATAAAAACAGCAGAGATCATAAAAAACTATATCGGTCATTGCAAGATGATTCCTATTTCACAGAAAATTCTTGTGGTAAGAGAAACATCCTAAACTTCTTCATCATCATCAGACCCAGTGTTACAGAATGGGAAACAGAATTAAGTCAAATATAAGACATATTACAGAATTATAGTCACATGCCATGATATGACTATAACTTCAGCAGAGGTGTTCATACTGAAGTAATCTCAAGACAACTGTACCTAAGGTACAGTTCACAGACATTCCAGGTAGGAGCATGGCTCACCTTCTCCAGATCCGGCTCCCGCAGAGCGAGGGCAAGTTCATTGTTGTCCATGACTGAAGCTGCGGCCACATCCAGGGGGGTTGAACCTCTCATGGCTGGTGAAGCTAATTCAAATTAAGAGAAAATAATACCTGAATTGTGCTGGAACTAGGAATAGAGAGTAAGAAAATGCACCTTCCCACACTCAATATCTAAATGACATGTATATTATACTAGCCTGAATCAATGTATTATCTTTGACAGCTAAAAATGTATACATTTATTGTGACTAAAATAGGTTCAAACTGTGAAAGGACTCAGTTGCAAGAATGAACATGCAAGACTTCAGGGTCTTACCAAGTTTTCTGATGAGAACACTTCAGATCTACTCAGCGATTTTTAAAAATACAACATACTGTTGTTGACTGCAGCAACCACATGTTTGGGTGTTTGGGTGTTGTGATCCTTAAAAATGATCATAAACTAGACAGTATAAAAAAATATCTCCCCAGCACCCTGCCTCTTCCAATTCCCATGATGTCCTCATCTATCATGGTATCTTCCTCCCTGCCCTTCTACTCTGTCCCTGTTCCAGCCTGACCCTCCCATTTCCCTACATTCTCATCCCCTACTCCTCACCCTCTGCCACCCCCCCAACACCCAGTCCACTCATGTAGATCTCATCCACCTCTTCTTTACAGGATCCTCCATGTGTCCCTCCTAGGATCTTTCCCTGTTAGCTAGCCTCTCTGGAGTTGTGGGTTGCAGTCTGGCCATCCCTTCCCTCCCATTTAGTATCTACTTATAAGTGAGTACATACTATGTTTGTCCTTCTGAGTCTGTGTTACCTCACTCAAGATGATATTTTCTAGTTCCATCCATTTGCCTGCAAATTTCATGATATCAGGAATCCACAAGGTTGACCCCACTTTGGCCTGCTGGCAGTGGTCCAGAGGGTGCCTGGACCAGTCTACTCTAGTGACCAGCCTAGCAAATAACCTAGCTATCATCATAGAGCCTTTGTCCAGTGACTGATGGAGGCAGACACAGAGATACATGGCCAGGCACCAGGCTGAGCTCCGGGAATCCAATTGACGAGAGAGAGGAGAGATACTACAGGCAAGGGACGTCGAGATCATGATGGGAGGATGTGCAGAGATGACCAGCCACACTAGTGGAAGCCCATGAACTGTGGACTGGTGGCTGTGGAGCCCCCATGGAACTGGACCAGGCCCTCTGGATACAGAAGATGGTTGTTTGGCTCCAACTGTTTGGGGGACACCCAGGCAGGGGGATCAGGATCTGTCCCTGGTCTATGGGCAGGCTTCTGGAACCCGGTGCCTGTGGTGTGTCAGCCTTGGTGCAGTGGGAAGGGGCTTGGACCTGCCTAGGCTCAGTGTGCTGGGCCCTGCTGACTCCCCATGGCAGACCTCAATTTGGGCGATGTGAGGATGCAGTTGTGGGAGGATGGAGGAGGGGGGATCTGTAGATAGATAGTATGTGGAGTGAGTAGAAAATTCCTTAATAAAGAAAAATGAAAGAAAAAAAAAAGAAAAATATCTCAGGTGGCAAACCTCTGGGCGTGTCTGTGAATGTGATTTTAGGTTGGGTTAATTGAATGAGAAGACTCACCCTAAATATGGATGGCACCATTCCATGGGTAGAGGGCTTGGACTGAATAAAAAAGGGTAAGGACAGCTGAGTGCTGCCTGCGTCCTCCTTTCTCTCTGCTTCCTGGCTACCGCCACATCAGTGCCACTGCCGCCATGCCTCCCTACAATAACACTTTATAGCCACAAAGTGTGAGCCAGAATAAACCCTTCCTTTTCTTAATTTGCATTTTGTCAGATATTAATCACAATGGTGAGAAAATTAACTTATGTGCCTACTATCTAAGTCAAAATTAGTAGCTTTGTCTGGGGTACAGGTGATGCAGGATCTCATACTGTAGCTCAGCCTGACCTAGAACTCACTATGTTGTTCAGGTTGATCTCAAACTCAGGATAATCTTCTTGCTTCAGTTGCCTGGGCGCTGGGATTACAGGTATGAGCCACCACTTATGGTAAAGTTGTATAACCTTTGACTGGTATGTTTTCAGTCTAGTTCTCTCAGGCGCTAGTAAGCACAGTTCCACTGTCTGCTTCAGTGGACTCCGTTTTCAGATTCACACAGAGTGAGAACATGGGGCATCCACCTTAATGTGTATGACACTTGATTTGATGTAATTACATTGATGTTATCAAATGCAGGCCATCCACTGCATTTGATGAAATTTCCATCTGATTGTGCATTGTGTTTATAAACCACATTTTCTTTACCTATCTGTTTCATTACATTGGGATTGGTTTTATAGCCTGGCTATTGAAAAAGCATTGGCATGAGTATGGGAGTAAAGACATGTCTTTAACATATTGATTTTCCTTTCTGTGGGCATGTACACTGAAGTCAAACTGTTGTATCATATTTTAATCGTATTTTTAAATTTGTATTACATTTATATATTTGGTGTATGCATGTATACACATATGAGCACACCCGTATCATGGTGCACACGGGGAATACAGAGGACAACTTCTGAGAGTCAGTTCTCTCCTTCCACCACATGGGTCCTAGAGATAGAATTCAGGTCATCAGCCTTGGTGGCAAGTGTCTTTATCAAATGAACCATCTTAAGAGCCTTGTAATTCTACTTTTAACTTTTCCCAGAACCTTCACACTGTTTTCCATAACAACTAGAGTAATTATGATTTCCACTGTAAGTATTCTGGTATTCCATTTCCTTACACCCTTGTCAATAGTCACTATTATTTGCCTTCTAGCAGGTGTGAGGTGACAGCTCACTGTGGTTCTCATTTGTACTTGGCTGGGGATTAGCGACACTGAACACCCCTTCATTCATCCATTGGCCAATTCAATCTCTCTGTCTGTCTCTGTCTGTCTCTATCTATCTATCTATCTATCTATCTATCTATCTATCTATCTATCTATCTATCTATCTTTTAAGAACATCCTCTGCCCATATATGAACATTTAAATTTAATATACATCTTATTTTTAATATTTATTTTATTTATGTTTATGCAATTATGTATGTGCAAGTGTGTGCACACGTGCCTGAGTAAAGGTGCCTGTGGAGCCCAGAAGAAGGTACTAGATCTCTTGGAGCTGTAGTTACAAGCAGTTGTGAACCACCTAACATGGGTTATAGGAACAGAGCACCAGTCTTCTGCAGGAACAGCAAGTGAGTAGTCTTACCACCAAACCAACTCTCCCACTCCTATACAGTTTATTTTTCCTTTAAAGATTAAATTAACATCATACATTAACTTACCAAGACCAACACTGCTGTTTTCTAGTAAATAACTGAGATGGTCAAACATGGCTTTCTGATTCTGCCTGCTTATACGACAGAAGTAACAGAGAAAACGGCAACAGTTGGCTACCATCTTGGGGAAGGTGATTTCCTGTATAAAGAGTATCTAGTCAGTTGCTGAAACAAATGATAAGATTGAGCTCAGAAGGTGAGGCCACCATGGGTATCAACCCATCTACACCCATGAAAACCAAACTCAGATACTAAGAACCTTCAAACATGCAACCTGTGATTCACTCAGTCCTTGAGATGCTAAACATCAAGCCTAACACTGACTCACAAACCCCACCTGCATCCCTGATTGTATCTTCAATTAGCCCTAAACTTACAGCTAGCCTGAGCCTGGCTATGGTGTCAGACTAACACAGACACAGCTGTGCTACCTGGTTGTACAATTATCTGCGCCTACCTGGGAAACTACATAATCCCTCTGATTCTGTTTTATAAGATTCAGAAAATATGGATGTTAAGAACTTAGGAACTGAAGGGGAAGATACACTACAGTAAGTTCAGAACTTGGAGTCTCACAATGGGATATTTTTTTTATCAGCATCAATTGTTGTTGTGGTGGTTGTTGACATTTCAGGGCTTCAAAACCTCCTTGCCCTAGACACCACTTCCCTGCAAAGTTCTTGGCCAGAAGGGCTATCTGGTAAGCATTGACACATGCCTCTCACCTTATCCTATATGTTTCTTCCTGAACTCAATACACTGTGAAGGTTGTATATGTTTGTCTATGCATGGGGCATGGAAAACCTAGGTTTATACATATTGTAAAGAATGTACAGTATGATTTAAATTTAGGCATGACTTTTGCATGTCAGATTATGAAACTGTGCTGATTTACATGAAATGCTGGAGCTCTTCACTATGTTCTAAACATCCTGCTGTTGCAGATTTTGTTGTAAATTGTACATACTTAAAATTTAACTCTAAAGTCTTACCACAAACCCATTCCAGAACAATCCTGTCCAGTCATTGATCATTTCACTCAGAAATTTAGTGCATCCACTGCTGTCTGAATCCTAGCAGTGGCTGAGTCTGAAGTACAGGTGTATGCCTTGTACTTATGATGAGATGGGACTTAATTTTAAAAAAACTGATATGCTCTTTGTAAGTTGCTGGATATCCTTTAAAATAGACTCATTTAGGAGACAACAAATGACAGAGCATAGAGCAGGAATTTCTTTTTCAATACTAAGGAAAATTCAAATAGCTAACTACAACTCTTAGACTCAAGGATGTGTGTGCATGTGTGTGTGTGCATGCGGGCATGCATGTGACAACCAGTGTTCCCTAAACACCAGTCAACTAAAGAAATAATCATTCTTGTAGTTTCTCTGTAGTCACTACAGAAGGCTAAACCAAACATGACCCCTGAAGTCAAGGCTTTAGTTTACCTTGGACTCTCCACCTCCAAGGACATTCACCATGACTTCCATCACTGTTTCATGCATTCCAAGGGCCCTCATGAGATTGGGGTGCTGGTAAAACACTTTGTTATTCATGATATCCCTAGAAAGAATAGGAGAGACAGCGGTAAGGAAGAGTTCAGAATAAAGGGCCTTTGTGCTTATCAATTTTTTAATGTATTGTTCAATGTGAAAAGGTACATGTTAATACATTCTGTGCAAAATGTCTTCTGGACACAACAGGGGTACCATACCTATGAACTCTTAACTGTTCTGATAGCCTGTACAAGACCTGCATAAGTCCACATCCAGTGTAGATGGAGGAAGGCTCATAAGGACAGAACCCTGAGGAGCTCTCTACAGTACTGAGGAATGAAAGGTCAGTTTTCTTCAGGGATGAACCCCCACCCAGGTTGCCCATGACCCAGTGAGCAACTTTCTAATTTGGTTTAAAAGCTTAATCTCTAGGGAAAAAAATACTTGACATCATCCCATAATCCAGTCAGAGCTTTGGTATTAGTGTTCTTATGCATTGCTAACTTGATGAAATGAGAAGAAATGCATAAGACAAAGATTGCTATGGCTACATAGCTTACCCCAATCCACGAATCATTAGCTTCTCTTCCTCTTTGCCCATCCTCACACTCAGCAGGGATCGGATCTGACCAAGCGATGCAAGCAGGTTGATCGTATCCTCCACAGAGACACCATTGATAGTGTAGGTCTTTGGCAGTGCCCGGACGAGACCCCCGATGCCATCATACTGTCGATGCAGCAACACAAACATGGCCCTCACCAGCTCAGGGTCCTCGATGACAGATTCTTGAGCCCACCGCACCATAGTCTCAGAAATCAATTGCTGGAGACTGGCTGCATGGCAGGTTTGTGTCAAGTAGTGAGAAAAGACACATCAGTTAGACATTCCAACTCTATAACCTCATAACCCCAAGCTGCTATCACAAAAATTAGGACATATTAAGGATACTTAAAATATTCTTAACCCTGGGCGGTGGTGGCGCATGCCTTTAATCCCAGTACTCAGGAGGCAGAGGCAGGCGGACCTCTTTGAGTTCGAGGGCCTGGTCTACAAAGTGAGTTCCAGGAAAGGTGCTGCTGCTACACAGAGAAACCCTGTCTCGAAAAACCAAATATATATATATATATATATATATATATATATATATATATATATATATATATATATTCTTAACAAATGTCATTTAAATACCATCACTCTTTCCATAGAGATGCAGTTTATTACGGATGAAAAAATAAGCACTCCTGTCTAAATAATATCTCTTATAATTAAGATAAGCTGTTTCAAAGTTATAAGTTGTTATGGTTTGAATAAGAAACATCCCTGATAGGCTCATGTATTTGAACACTTGGTCTCCAGTGAGGAGCACTGTTTGGGAAGGTTATGGACCCTTCAGGAGGTAGAGCCTCGTTAGAGGATGTATGTCACTGGTGAAGGGCTTTGAGATTTTATAACCTGGCCCCACTTGCTTTTCTCTGCTTCCTGTGCACAATGAATGTGTTCCAATGGCCTCATGCTCCCGCTGCCATACCTTCCTCACCATGATGGACTCTACCTCATGGGAACTGTAAGCCTTAATATACCCTTTCTTCCCTAATTTGCTTTTTGTCTGGGTATTTTTATCAAAACAACAGAAAAGTGACAAAACTATTGTTGAGAGTCCACAGATCTGTCAAAGAATACAAAGTGCCCAAACTCTTATTTCCGTTTATTTTTTTTCTGACTTTCTTCCCAGAAGGTTTGACATCATTCCACCTCTAAAGGTCTACCATGGAACACTCATCATGGTGCTTGGTTATCCAGTTATTTCCTCAACTAAGTTTTCTGTTACATGGATATGGTTTATGGATACATCTATATGGTTTTATTTAAATTTGGATCAAAATTATCACTTAAAATGCCTCTAAAAGGGTTTGATTGATCAGTTTTAACTAAACTGAAAAATCATATCAGATATACAAGACTATCTTTGGCATAACATGCAACATGGTCAATTTAAAGACAGTAGAATTTTCTAAGCATCTTAAACTAAAATGAAAGCATCTAAGTTAGGTAGGGTAGATGCAGCTGAGGGGTAGTGAGACCTAATTTCTATCATTCATACATTGGCTGGTTTTCAAAAGAGGCTACTTATTTTGTGCCTAGATATTATTTAAGGAAAAGCAAATCTACCAATTTCATCCAAACAAAAATAATGGAAAGAAATGTCAATATATTCCCATACATTTCAAAATTTCATTGTTATGATAACAAGTAAAAGCCATAAATATGTTAGCAAATGTGACTCATTAGAAACTTAGGAAGTTCTAACTCACTTAGAGTTCTAAGTTTCTTTCCATTATTTTCGTTTGGATGAAATTGGTAGATTTGCTTTTCCTTAAATAATATGTAAGCACAAAATAAGTAGCCTCTTTTCAGCCTCTGGGTTTCTGGTCATCAGGAATCTCCTTTGGCTTTCTCTGTGATATATGACTATAAGGGACTGTAGAGGCCTTAGTTGTGCAGAGCCCTCCAAGCCTCCTCCCCCCTCTTTAGATAGCCCTGGGTTGCTAGTGGACAGCTGGGTTTTTCCACCCTGAAGCTGGGGTGAGTTGACAGGGCTTGTGGAGACCCATTGGATAGGAATTTCCCAGCTTTCTCCAAAAGTTCATAATGACCCTTAACCTGTGACATCACCAAGCTGCTTTTACTTTTTGTTCAAGTCCAGGAATGTGCATAAGGGATGCAGATATATTTATTTTTAGCACAGAGGACTAGAACTCTTGGGGGAGATGTTCAAGTTACCCATTGATGCCTGTACTGTTACAGTTAATGTTTTATTTTTTTAAGATGCTTAAACTGAAAAAAAACCACACTGGTCAGCATTAGACTCTTGAGGAGTACTTGGTCAAAGGGTATTTTGTGCATACTGCCTTTTTTTAAACCTCTAATATTATATGCATTATGTGTATAGTGGGGATGGGGACTGGAGGGGGCCTGAACATCCAGTATGGTTGCTTGGAATTAATGTTTTATGTTCCTATGGCTAAACACTGACGCCATTACACCCTGCAAGTGTGAAATAAAAATGTATCATGAAAAAAAGAAAAAAAGAAACTTAGAACTCTGGCAGATGATGGCCTACCTCAATCTTTTTTTTTGTCTCTAAAACATAATTTTATGAATAAGATTTCTATTTTTTTTCTAGAAAGACCTTTTACTAAACCAGTGCTGTATCTTAAAATTGGTAGGATCTTAGAAATGCAGTGCTAAGAATGTGGATCCAATGGCTCTGGTCCATAACCCCTTTAGGATTAAGGCACATTTCTGAAGAGCTCAGGGTCCAACAGGGCTGGCTTATTTGGTTCCAAGGACCAGCAGCCACTGTTCTTGATCAAATAGTATACAATTTACCAAAAATGCATACCTTAGAAGAGGTTTCAGAACCAAATACAGTTATATTACAGATAACATCTATTTAACTTTAAAAGGAAAAGTCTAATTTTATACCATCATTTAAAAAGCATGTACAGTATTTACCGATGAAGTCTAAGTTATTCTTTTTATAATTTCTCTGTGTGTGTATGTCTGTGTACATGTTCACATGTGTCTACGTGTACATGTGGTAATGAATATGAGTATGGTTGGAGGTCAGAGACTGATGTTGTATGTCTTTCTGGATAGTTTTCCACTTTATTGTTTGAGACAGGGTCTCTTGAAAGCTTGGCACTCACCACTTCAAATAGACTATCTGGCCAGCAAGCCTCAAAGATTCCCCTGTCTTTGCCATCCCAGCACTGGGATTATAGGTGTGTATTACTGCTTTTTACATGGGTGCCAGGGATCCAAACTCAGATCTTTGTGCTTACACAGCAAGCACTTTGCTAGCTGAGCCATCTCCCAAGCTATGCTTTCTCTTGATAGTCTGTGAGCAAGTACGTAAAACGTTAGCGATGCAGGGAGTCCTTCACAGCGCAGCTCTCTCAAGCTGGTCCTATGAGTACAGCATCTGCTGCTGCCGCCTACATCTGGGCTCTACAAACGTTAAAGCTGGTCCTTGGAAGTTAGGATCCCCTGCTAAGTGTAGTGTTCATTTTCAGGGTAAATAAATCTCATGGCTGGGCACTGGACCAGGACCCTTTAAAATGCTTACAGGACTTTCTGGAGTCACTTGCAACTGGTTTTTCAGCTTGTTTCTTCTTGAGGTAGGTCACCTTTTCTACCAGGGACATCAAACGTCCTCTGATTGTCAAGTCATTGCTTCCATCCAGGGATCCATCTTCATCCAGCTCAATTCCTGGCATTAACAGCAGGGGGAGCAGAAAAGGAAATCCTTTCAAAACAGTATAAAATTGGGAGCCAATCTCAGGTTCTCCTGCTTTTCCATCCTCAACTCCCAGCAAGGTCTCAAGCACCTAGCAGCACCTATTAGGCTACCTTGCCCCAGAACACTCAAATAAAATTCACTTCTCAGCATCATTCCCTCCTTCCTCTTCTTCCCCAGTTCTTGTTATTCCAGGACCAATGACAATCAGGACACACTCACACTGAGTGAAGAACAAAAAGGTACCATTAGGAGGAAAGATCAGTTCTGCTCTTTGCCTGACTTTTTTAGCATCAATGACTTTGGAGACTGTCTGCCTGAACTTCTTATCCTACCTGTCTAAAATTCCTAGGACCTCTATCCTCTCTCTTCCAGATATATCAGTGTTTTAACCTGAGAGGCAGAGAGAAAAGCATAACTAGATCTCCTAAACCAGGGGCCATTTTACACCTATAGCAAGAATTCTACAGTTTGGGGCATATTTTATTGATATTATATAGATGACATAATATATAGGCAAGTGGGTTTTCATTCATGAAATTAAATAAAGTATAATGTGATATTCTTAATATCTCCTATAATAAGGTCAGAATAACCTGACTGGTGCTATATCTGTCACCCATCTTTCTATCTCTTTATCTTTCTCTATTTATATATTTATCTAGCTAGCTAGCTACCCATCATCTATATCTTTTGTCTATCTATCTATCTACATCACTGGCAAAAATGACAAATTCATTTTCTGTTGTACAATATTATTTCAAGGTGTGTTACTTTTGTTTATGCTCTGGAACATTTGTTTAATGATGCAAAGATGTGTTTGATTAAATAAACTTCATCTGTGATCAGGAGGCTGCGTCAGCAACTAGCTGACAGGAAGTGGTAGGGAGGAGTCAGGTAGAGAAGGGTTTATAAGGAGGGATGAGGAGAAGCACAAGGGTTTTTTGGAGGACGCAAACAAGGAGAGGAGGTGAGCTACTTGCAATTCAGCATCTCTGAAGAGTAGAATTCCACCTCAACCTTTGAATCTTGAGTTCTTTAGTGGGACAGAGGTTTAGTTAAGTTCCCTTTGTAGTTTTGCAAGAGTCAGAGCTTGAGGGAACAGAATTCCCTCCAGCTATGGTCCTTGCAGCCTAACCACTGTTGGTAGCAGCGGGGTTGCACTTGGTGATTTGGACAGCTGTGGCTTAAAAGGCAGCAACAATTTAAAATACAACAGCAACTGGCACCCTACATTGGGCACCAAACTGTTGTTATTTCTGCTCTTTTGGCAGGCCCACCATCCAGCTCCCAAATAAATTATACACAAAGGCTTTCTATTACTTATGAATGTCCAGCCTTATTTTGGCTTAGTTTCTAGTCAGCTTTTCTTAACTTAACTTATCTACCTTTTGCCTCTGGGATTTCCCTGTTCTCTTACTTCTATAAATCTTACTCTTACTCTGTGGCTTGCTGTGTGGGTGGCTGACCCCTAATGTCCTCCTCCTTCTCTGGCTTCTCCTCCTTTTCTCTCCCAGATTTCTCCTTCTATATATTCTCTCTGCCTACCAGCCCCGCCTATCCTTTCTCCTGCCTTGATATTGGCTGTTCAGTTCTTTATTAGACCATCAGGTATTTTACACAGACACAGTAACACAGCTTTACAGAGTTAAACAAATGCAACATAAACAAAAGTAACACACCTTAAAATAATATTCTACTACAATTTTCTGTCATTGAAACTCAAATCTTCACCACATCATTTCATAAAGAAATACATGTCTCCTTTTCTTTGATTATAGTTACTCAACTGAGGAATTTCCTTATCTGTGAGCATGTCTGTGAAGGACTGTCTTGATTGTTAATTGATATAGAAGGGTATGACCCACAGTGGGTGTTACCATTCCCTATGAAGATAGTGCTGTGCTATGTTGGAAAGCTAGCTAAGCATAAGCCTGAGCAAGTCAGCAAGCAGCATCCCTGCACAGCTTTTTCAGGTTCTTACTTGGGTTCTGACCCTGACTTCTCTCAGTTATGGACTGTGACCTGGCAGTGTAAACCAAAGCCAAATAAATATTTCCTCTCCTAAGCTGCCCTTGGTCATGTTATTTGACACGGCAATAGAGATTATACCAGAACAATGAGTTTACCACAGTGAGTCATCAGGTCCTCATGGAAGTCCAGGAGTTGGTCTCGAATTTCCTCAGGACAGGGACATTCACTTTTGTCATCCTTAAAATTGAGAAGCATGTTAATCTGGAAGAGGAAAACAAGAGAGAAAGAACAAGGTGGGGGTGGAGAATTTGAATTCAAGAGCATTGAAAACCACATTTCTAATGTGCATAAACACTCCCCTCAATAAGTGAAAAGCTACTGTCGATCATTCAATCTAACTAGCATCACAAAGTAAGTCAATTCCTCCTGAATGTAGTGATTGGAAAACAGTTATAATCATTTAGGATCCTCCTCAGGTCTACTAAATTTTAGACTCATATACATTGTTATCTTTAACTACAAGTGGTTTTGGGGGCTGGATAAATGGCTTAGCAGGTAAGAATGCTTGCTGTTCTTTCAAGAACCTAGTTCAGTTCCCAGTGCCCATATCAGGTGTTTTATAACTTCCTATCACTCTCTCCAGGGGATCTGACACCTTCTTCTGGTCTCCACAGGCACCTACTCACACAAAGAATACACTCACACACACACATACATACACATGCATAAAAATCTTTTTGAAGTATTTTATTATATTCTTCACAATTTATTATGTTCTGCACATCTATTATTTTCTAATATTGTCACTTTCTGTATATTCTAAAGAATGCTTTTGAGGAGAATACAGATTCAAAGAGAAGGAGAGGTCTAAATACATGAGGAAAGCCACATAATAGACAGCTATGCTGACGCTAATATTCATGCCTCAGTCAAAACACAGGACACTTCCTTCCATCTGCTTAAGTTTTAGTACTAATAATATTAAATTTACAAATGAAGATAAGATAGCATGGATGTTCTTTTATATTTTCCATTTGTGAGATTTTAAAGTTTATAGTGTGATTTTATTACAGATCTGAGATAGTTACAGATTCATATGCTTTTGTGAAAAATAATAAAGAGAGATCAAGCATGCCTTTACGTGTAGCTTAGTTGCTGATGCCAGCATTTGCCAGTTGGGAAGAATTCTAAAATCTTATCTCTATCCATGTCCTCTTAGCTTCCATTTACAAAACAGTCCTCTTAAAATTCTCCACACACCCAGTTAAAACCGCAAAAGACAGTTTTATAACACCTACATAGCCCCCAAAAAATATTAGGATAAATCCAAGGGAAAAGAAAATGTGTTTTTATTTACTTGTAGCCTAACACTTTTCATTGTTCTTTTCCCTTCTCCCTTCTGAGTTTCTCTATTCTCTTCTGTCATTTTCTTTCTGTTAAAAAAAAAAAAATCTTTAGCTTTTTTTTGTAGCATGTTCAAGATAGTTCAATTCCCATTACCTCACTTTAAGTGTGAATGTGTGTGAGTGTGAGTGTGTGTGTGTGTGTGTGTGTGTGTGTGTGTGTGTGTGTGTGTGTGTGTATTGTGTGCAGATGTTTTGAATGTCAGAAGAGGATATCAGATCCCCTGGAGCTGGAGTTATGGGTGGTTGTGAGACACTAAATGCAGATGCTATGAACCAAACGTGGGTCCTCTGGAAGAGCAGCAAGTGGACTTAATGTCAACACCATCTCTCCAGCGACTTTTCTTCATTTTCAGTGTCAAATGTTCACTTCCTCTTGAAAGGTTCTTTCCACAGAGTGTAGAACTCTGAGCTGACAGATTTTCTTTCAGTGGTTGGGACTCACCTTCCACTTCATGCTGACCCCATCTTCTCTGATAACAACCTGCTAATACTTGAGCTTATCCTCTCTCTCTGCAACTAAGATTTCATTTCTTTCAAGATTTTTTCCTTGTCTAATTTTCAGAAATTCAGCTATAATGTACATTTGTTAAGATACTTCAGGTTTTCCTGTTGAGGACTTTACTAGCTTCTTGAATCTCTAGTTTCATACATAGTCCTTGAGGAGTAGTTCTCAACCTGTATGTCACGACCCTTTTTGCGGTCAAATGGCCCTTCTCTAGGGGTCACATATCAGATATACTGTATATCAGATATTTACATTATGATTCATAATAATAATAAAATTACAGTTATGAAGAAGCAATGAAAATAATTTTATGGAGGTTACCACAACATGAGGAACTATATTAAAGGGTCACAGCACTGGGAAGGTTGAAAACCACTGCTTTAGAGAATTTAATATTTTAAGACATTTTCTTCAGTGATCTTTCTTCAGTTGCCTGTTGTTTCTTCTTCTGCAGCCCAAAACCATGGTGGAATCCTTTGTCTCTCTTTGTTTTCTCTCTTCTCTCTTTTCCTCTGAGGGATTCTTCTGTGCTGTTCTCTTCCCAGTTAAAATGGCACCCTCTGCCCTCTCCATCATGTTCTCCAGCTCATTTTTCATTCCAGCTATTATAATTTTAATCAAAGATGCTATGGGTTCTTCTTGGTTCTTTGCTGAGACCCTTCTATTTTTTCCTATTTTGGAAGTTTAGTGAGAGTAGCTTTGTCATATTAAGAGCTGCAGTCTCAGTGTTGGTATTTCCTTTGTTTACCTAGTCCTTTCCTGGCCAAAGAAGAGACTTTAACTTGAATGTGAATGTTTTCAGTATTGTGCAGTGAACTCTGGATCTTACTCAAACTCCCATCTTAGCCAGCTTACTCTGACACTAACCAATGGAAGACTTAAAGAAAGGGCCCTGTGGCTACTGGACCTTTCTTCTACAAGGGTGCCAAAGAGAAAGAATCTAGTGCCTATTTTTAGGAGTGGAGGGTTTCTATTATTTGACGTGACCCAGGCCAGTCAAAGTTGACTCATCTCTGGTTGAACATTGTCACTATTTGTGGAACCTCAAGTTGTGGCATCCTGACCTTCATTAAACCAACTGTAGTTTACCTGATGCCTTTTAGTGATTAGCTACTTATTTATCTAATAGTATAATAATATGCCATTAATTAATTAATAATAGTTTAATGTAACCACATAGATTCTTTTGGTGAAACTTAGAATACTGACAAAATGAACTTGGCTAATTTCAACAGAACAGAAAAGAAAAAGCCAATCATAATTTATCATACAGTTTTATAATGAACAAATCTTGAATGTTCTAAAAATCCAAAATGAAAGGAAAGTCCTCCAATTCCACTATGGTACCTGCTCTTGTGGTGGTGACCGGAACTCCTTCGTTTTCCGGGCAGTGAGTGCGGCAGACATGTTTAAGGCTTGCATAACTTCATTATATCTGAACCGTTGATTGTCTTGGAGCTTAGCTACAAAGTCATCTGAAAAGGCTACAATGGCTTCTATCCGGTGCCGAACCTGGCAGTCACAGAGGTACTGAAGCAAGAGGCACATCTGAGAGAATAATTTAAAACATATACTATTAATAGTTAATGTATATCAAGTCACAACCAGTGTTAAATATTCTCAGTTGCCCATTCTCCCTAAAAACAGAATCCTAGAACTTTATAGGCAGAAATGTATTTAGTCTTATTGGATGAAGCTAACATGTATAAGCTAGCTTGATGGATACATGTCCCTTGAGTAGGTAATCATTCAGAGGTCCTCTGCTATACCACAGGCAGAGCAGCCAATGGATAAATAAGGAAAAGTTTGCAAAGGGGTCTTCTAGGGGGTTTTTCACCATTGGTAAGGAAATAGAATGCCTTTCTTTCAAAATGCATGCAAGTGTATTATAACTCAATTGTTGGAGGAGAAGTGCTGTGAGAAAACAGAAGGAACACAGGTGAGCATTGCTGAGCAGAAAGACATCACTGAATCCCTGATCCAGGGCCACAACTATGATGTTCATATACAAGGTGATTATGAGGTGAGAGCTTACTCCTCAAGTGGCTAGCTCAGTGAATGCTCATAGAAAACCAAACAGATTTTTAACAGGTAGAGTATTTGTTGATAAATGTGTCTGTGAATGGTACAGAGATGTAGCTCAGTAGTAGAATGCTTGCCCAGGAAGCATGAGGCTGTGGGTTCAATCCTAAGCAACACATAAAAACAAAACAAAACAAATGCATAAAAAAAACAGAGGCTGAAGAGATAGCTCAGAGTAAAGAGAGCTTGCTGTTCTTCCAGAATGCCTGAGCTAAGTTCTCAGCACCATGTCAGGCAGCTCACAAATTCCCAACTCCAGCCCTGGGGCATCTGATGCCTTATTCTGACTTCCATTGGTACCTGTACTCACATGCCTACAACCCTATACAAATACATACATGTAAACAAAACTGAATGTTTTAGAAAAAAACAGTTGCCTATGAAAGAATATGAGGTTAAATTTAGAAAATGACTAATATACTTAACACCCTTTGTGACAAACACACAGTATTCCAAAAGAACTTTAAAATCTTGCACGTCAAGGTAGTATAATCACGAGAATTTTCTCTCGATCTTATCTTCCTTCTCCAAATCTTTTGTCAAAGGACACACTATGCCCTCAGGTCTAGACAAGTCTGACAGCTTGCTGAGGAACTGGAATCTGGGCTGTGAGGCTTACCTCCCTCCTTTGCTTTCCTAGGAGCATCCACCTGGCCTCTTCAGCCTCAGGCTCTGGGCTGGGCTGTCTGCTGTGTATGTGAAGCTCCTGAGACCTTCTACCCAATACCTCTGGCTCCCACTATGGAACTCCAGCTTCTCTACTTGACCTCAGCTTAAAAATCACCACCTACAAAGACTCTTCCTTCTATTTCTAACAGAAATCCAAAAGATCTTCCTTCCAGCGAGTCATCTTTCACTTGAGACAAGGTGATGGATTTTGGCAATGAGATGCTAAAAAGAAATTCATGAACCGGTACAAATTTCCCTAGAGATGTCGGACTTCTGGAAGGCAGGACTCATACCTGTTTCCTTCTCTTTGCACTAAACACATGGTCCAGAATATGACTTCCACTGATGCTAAGTTGATGAGCAAAGTTAATGCCAATGACTTGAACATCAAGCTAAAGCACTGAAGAGGCATGAATTAAGAAGCCTCCATCAACTCTGATGAACAGAAAGCCAGGCAGTGTCTAGACTCCTTACAGACATGCTGGAGGAGAAAATTCTTGCTTCCTATGAAGAGGTGCACGTGCATGCTCCAACATGGACAACAGAGGAGGTGGGAAGGAAAGGTGATGCTTGTGCCTCAAATCCACACACAACTAAATATCATGTGGGATAAATGCTTATGCAGACACAAATAAATGGGTAGTTAATGTAAAGGTGAAGAATGGAAAGTAAATTTATGAAGACCAATGCAAGAGAGAGAGGAGGAGAAGAGGATTTTACTACTTTAACACTTAAGCGTTCTGAAAGTCCCTCCATTTTTCCCCAGTTACCTGTAGTTTAACTGGCTCTGGGAGTTTCATCTGGAGCAGGCCTTCCTTGGGCCTTTTGGCCCCTTTGGCTTCTTCTTCACATATTCCTTCCAGCTTAGAGTCTTCTGCACTGATCTCCTTCTCTGGGGCTCCTCCTTCCTCCTCTGGAGTGGCAGCTTCCTTAAACACACTGGGCTCAATCAACTGCAGGATGTGTTTCAAATCCTCGTTGTGAAAGACACCCATGATGAGCAGGGTGTAGAAGAGTTTGATGAGAGGTACAAAGAGGAACTCTGTGGTCCCACCTACAGGGTCCCGTGCATGGAGGCTGCCCTCCTTCACTGCTTCTGTGAGCATCTGGATGGTCTTGGCCTTGAGGATATCCAACGGAAACTCGGGACTATATTGATAACATTCACTGCTAATGCTCACAAAACTAGGGGAGGAAAACTGCATCCGAGGCCGGAGGGAGGTACTGAGGCCAATGCCTGGGAGACCATGTTTCTTGTTCTCATTGGGGAAGAGGGTGATGCTCTTTGTCTCCTCTGTCATAGGGACAATGAACTCATTGTTCATCATGAGCCTGGCAGTGGCATAGGAGCTGAGGTGTATGTCAATCAGCAGGTCATAATAGCCAGCGCGCAGCAAGCCAGGCATGTACTTGTTCTCAATGGCATAGAGCAGCTGAGGTTCGTCCACGTGACTGCACAGTGCATGGGCCACCCGGTGATTCCCAAGGGCACAGACAGCAGAGTAGAGGCGGAGGGTGTGATAGTGAAACTGCAGCAACTCGTCCTGCTCTGTCAGCTCTAAGATATCAACAGATCTGTGGAAGGGAGGACAGAGCTAAGGGAGCAGACATGAGCATCCTTTAACTTTCTGACATGTAGTGGTTTCACAGTATTTGTAAGTCATTTCTAGTTGGCTTACACGTTTTCTTACTTAGAGAATTTAAGTGAATGCTTCAGCCCTGAGTTCATCTAGAACTTCCTTCATCCTCCCTGGTAGTGAGGCTGTGAGCACCCTTTGAAATATGTGTGTTTCATCCCAAGTCTGGGACTCCTCAATTTCAGAGCCTGAGTATTCTTAGGGGAAATCCCAGCTTTCCTTTTATAACAGACTAACATGATGTGAAAACAGAAAGCTTCACCTTGGATCATAGTGCTGCTATCTCTGTACTATGACCATGACAGGTCAGAAATGGGTCAACAGAGCACTCACCCTCTGACGTAAAGTATCCTCAGGCATCCTGCACAGACTTCAGCATCACCTGACAGAACTACCTATGTTTCCACAAAGTACATGCATACAGCTCATGAAACAAGCAATGTGAATGGCATTTTCCTCTTAACAAAAAAAAGGGACAATTACCTGAACCCTTTTTCATATACTCATGGGCGTGAAGGCATGCACTGAAGTGTGATAGACCTACGAGGTGTCACACCCTTAAATAAAACTGGCTCTCCTTCCCCCAGTAGCCATCAACTGCCAATAACTCTGTTAGAGGCCTTGTGAGACCCTTCCCCATCCATCCTGAAATGTTGACTGGCTTGATCTCAGACACCATATGCAGATATTCTCAGCTGCTGGGAGTTTATAAGTGCAATGATTCAGTCATGTGCAGAATTCATTGCTCCAGGCCTCCCCGATTTTGGCTCTTACAATCTTTCCACCCCTTCTTCCTCAATGTTCCCTGAGCCTTGTGGGAGGCGTAATAAAGATTTCTCACTTGGAGCTGAGCACCACAGTCACATATTTTCTTCACCTTGACTAGCTGTGAGTCTCCCCACATTCTGCCATGCACTGCCTTAAGAATTGTCTCTGATAATGGTACCCTAATCTACGCCACCCTGGATCTTTAAATCAGGCCACTTTGTTTCTCTTAAACCATATGGCCAGATGATACCTATCATCACTTCTGCTAATGCACATGTTTCCTTGGATGTGTCTATATGTTCTACCAATTTTAAATCATAAATAGGTCATGGGAGACACCAGCATTAAAAGCAGAACCATGGCATATCCTTGATCAAAAGAAGGACCTGCTAATCCAGAGAGAACTTCCTCCACTGCTTTCTTCCTCTACTGTCAGCCTAGAAGAGCAATAGGAGACCCATAACATAGACCTTGAGCCAGAAACAAATGCTCATTTGAGAGCTACTGATTTCTTTAGCTTGTTTGTAACTACATCAAAATCAGACAAATATAACTCATCCTACCTTTAACAGCCCCCCGAGGGAGGAACTATTTCATATCTCAATAATTCTCATTAATTCATCAGTGATTACTGTGTAGAACACATTAGGCACTGTGTACAGACAGTGTAAAGAGCACAAGCAAGCTTGCATCCCTCGAGCAGCTCACTCTCCAGTTGTGGAGACAAAGCCATATCCCTTCCCCAAAGAAGAAATTAAATAATAATTGCAGGGATGAAGAGCTGGCTCAGAAGTTAAGAGCACTTGCTGCTCTTCCAGGACCTACAACAGGTGGCTCACAATTACTCATAACTGCAACTCTAGGGAATCCAATGGCCCCTTCTGGCCTCCACAGATATCTGCACACCCATGGCTTACCCACATATAAATTTAAAAATAGAGAGAGAATGCTGGACATGGTAGTTCATGTCTTTAATACCAGCACCAGGGAGGCAGAAGCAGGCAGATCTCTGTCTTCGAAGACAGCCTGGTCTATGTGTGCAAGTTCCAGGCCAGTGAGGTCTTAAAATTAAATAACAATTATGATGTACATTAGGAAAAAAATGCTGACACATATCTACCACCATCTCCAACTTCAAAAGAGTTTCCTATGTCACTGGGACTCCTCTTCTCAGGAAATCAAATCTTATCAGATTTTCCTGTGACTGCAGGGGAGCATGACTCAGGTCAGGTCGAGACTGGTCACTAAGGTCAGTAAAGAGGGTGATGTGATCACTTGAGTGTCTGTCTTCACTTGTGGTGTTTATTCTGGTGCCCTTGCCATCTCAGGAACTTCATTCCAATCACTTTTTTTTTTTAATGCAGCTGTGGTTCTCAGGTTTAGGGAAATATCAAATCATGTATGAATTCTAGTGAAGCTTTAGATTACCCACTCTCTTACATATGTAGTTATCACAAATGATATCAGTGATGATGATCATGACATCACAAAATATTCTAGTCTATGTAAAGTTTTCTACCAATTAATAAGAGAATCTTTCCAGCCCCAAAAGGAATTATTCTCTAGTATTTTTTTTCTTTTTTCTTTCTTTTTAAAGAAAACATCAGCAGATACAAAACTCTGATAAAAAATTTACCTCACACAAAAAGAAAAAAAACTAAATCAACCTAACATCTAAAGTATATGTGTGTATACATATATACATGTATACATACATATCCAATAACAAATAAAAGCGTTCGGAGAATTTCATATATAAGTACAATCAAATGTCATAGTATCTACCACTTCTGCAAACCCCTCTGGAATTATCCCAACTGTCAACATCCTCTTCTCAAATTCATGCCCTCTTCTTCCTTTATAATATATATGACATGTATGTTTTTAAGCCTATATCCTAATGAGTCCAACTAGTCTTGCCCATACACACACAGGAGTAGGTCTGGCCATTCTCTTATGACTCCTATATATATAAGACACTCCTCCCCTTACCAACCTTTGATGGTCTAAAATTCAGCCAAGCTCCTACAATTACTTTTAGACCACAGACTTGAAAAGGACAGTGGGGGTATATGAGATTCACTTGATTTATTACCTAGTATTTTCATGTTACCTTGACACGTAACTCTTGATGCACAGCTTAAGAACCTCAGCTCCTAATCCATAACAGTTGCTGAAGTGAAATCACTGAGATTAAGGGAAGCCACAGAAGACTGGGGAGCCAAAGAATATGCCTCCTCTGAGTCTTGACATTGTCTTTACTGCCTAGAACACACCTAAGTTTGCTACAAATGTACTCTCGCTGTCTTCATGCTTTTCCTCTTTAAGCTTCTTGCTTTCAGTTTTTCACACGTTTAAAATGAAAAATTTCATAAAGTGGTTCCTAGGATCTCATCCCCCAAGATCTCCCAGTTGTGATCGTTAAAGCTTCAGTAAGTCTCAGAGATAACAAAGTGGTTGAGAAATACGCTGAAGTCTGAGCTACACAGGCCATTGTGAGTGTGAGTGTGTGTGAGTGTGTGAGTGTGTGTGTGTGCATGCACATGCACACATGTGTATAGAGGTCAGAGGCCAGCTTTGGGTATCATTCCTCATGAGCCATCTACCTTCTATTTATTTATTTATTTATTTATTTATTTATTTATTTATTTTTTAATTTTTTTATTTTTATTTTTATTTTTTTTTTTGGTTTTTCGAGACAGGGTTTCTCTGTGTAGCTTTGCGCCTCTCCTGGAACTCACTTGGTAGCCCAGACTGGCCTCGAACTCACAGAGATCCGCCTGGCTCTGCCTCCGGCTCAGCCGTTAAAGGCTAGGCTCACAACCAAAAATATTTTTTTTAAGCTAGGCTGGATGATCAGTGATCCCATATGCTTGCCTTCCCCCTCTAGCACTGGGGTTACAAACACAAACCACCACACCCACACTAGGATTTTGGCACATGGGTTCTGGAGATCCAACTTGAGTCCTCACACTTTACTATCTCCCTGCCCCAGACCATTCTTTTGAAACACATTTTATTTCCCTAATCTATCCCTCATCCTGAAAGTCTAGTTCTAAATGCTCCATCAAGTAGTGACAGGTGACTGGGGCTGACCTGTTCTCCTCAGGGATGTGGAGGGACATGAACTGTAGAGGATCAAGACACTGCACCAGCCAGCCTTGGCGTTCACTGATTCGAGAGACATCCACCTTCAAGAACTGGTTGGGCATCCGGCTCCACAGGACATGTGACAGGAACTGCACATGCAGTCGTGGAGGACACTGGGGCACTGGGTTTTTGTGCTCACTTTTAAACAATCCCGCTGAGAGAGGCATCACATTCTAGAGCATGGAGCAGAGGGAAAAAAAAAGAGAAAGAAAAGAAAAGAAAAAAAGGTTATTGCTCATGTCACTTGGGGCTCCTAACACACTGACTGATAGGCTAAATAGGAAAGAGTTGGTATAAATAAGATGCACTGTGAGTTAAGATTGTGCAGATACAAAAAATAGAAAATTAGTTTAAAATTTCCTGAAAGACCAAATGGGGGAAAAGGTGGTGAGAAAACAGCTAAAATTTCAGGATTTCAGGGCAGGGACACCAGTTTTAAAGAATATGTCTTCCCCATGTGTACCATGCAAGTATGACCAAGCATAGACTGTATCCATGATGTTGCTTCACAGGGCTAGTCCCAGAGGAAACTGGCAAGGCTTTAGGGTACCATGTGGTGGTATTGTGTTCCCCAAAATATTGTGCACTCTAATAAACTTATCTGGGGTCAGAGAACAGAACAGTCACAATATTAAACATAGAGGTTAGGCAGTGGTAGCACACACACCTTTAATCCTAGCATTCCAGAGGCAGAGATCCACCTGGATCTCTGTGAGTTCAAGGCCACACTGGAAACAGCCAAGCATGGTGACTCACACCTTTAATCCCAGGAAGTAATGGCAGGAGGCAGAAAGGTATTTAAGGCATGAGGACAAGGAACTATAGCCTGGTTAAGCTTTTAGGCTTTTGAGCAGCAATTCAGCAGAGAGCCATTTGGATGAGGACTCAGAAACTTCCAGTCTGAGGAAACAGGGTCAGCTGAGGAACTGGCAAGGTGAGGTGGCTGTGGCTTGTTCTGCTTCTCTGATCTTCCAGCATTCACCCCAATACCTGGCTCTCGGGTTTGTTTTTATTAATAAGACCTTCTAACAATTCGTGCAACAGTACCACACAATTTTTTACTGGAGGAGATTCTACTAAGTGCTCTTTCTTATCGTCTGCCCTGTCACCCCTGTTTCAAGCACACCCTATTTAACCTGCAGCACAGAGACAGCTGAGTGGGTGTACCCATGTATCCCCCATGAAAGTCAAATGAACCTGATGGTAACCAGCACTGCTTATTTTTCCTCCACCTGGAATGGGCTGTGTCAGCCAGCCTTAGTTCCTCTAGATTCAGAAAGCAAGCTCTCTGCATTGCCCAGAAGTGTTCCTTCCTGCATGTTGCTTAAGCCTTTCCTGATTGCCTCCACTAGAAGCCCTGAAAACAATGTCTGACCTCTGCCTGAGCTCCAGGCTCTCTTCCCTTTTGATGAGCCTTGGACTATTCTCTATAGGTGCTTCACCTTCCTGCTATTTCTTAACCCCTCTTAGGACTGGAAAAGAATACATTTGCTAAAGCGCTCAGGCATTGTTTTAGATACTGAGACTATGTTAATGAACAAACCAAACAAGGCCCTTGCTCTCTTACAGCTTCCATTTTTCTTGGAGATGTAAAGAAAAGCAGAAGGGGCGGGGAGCTATGAAAGACAATGCCTGAGCTCTTTAGAATATTTATTCTTTTCCTTCTCCCAGAAAACAGTATGAGCCCTCCAGTTCTTCTCCATTATGATTCTCAAGGCCCTCAGCACAGCCCCCGTGTAAACAGTATCAGATCAGCAGTACACACTTACCTATGTCCCCTCTCTCATTCTGCACCTCCATGTTCCTACCTACCAGTATGCTATTCCAAGGCAAATTGCACTACACTCAAAACCCCTCTTCAAATGTCAGTAAACACCCCTACACAATACATCCCAACTTTTCAGCATAGCATGTGTTCTATAATGGAGTGGTATTTGCTCCACCCATGATCTTGGGCTCTAGGGCCTGAAGGAGGCAGTGCTTCTTGCTGTTGTATGTGACCTCTTAAGAGGTAAGGGAGAGCTGGGTGATGGTGGCTCACACCTTTAATCTCAGCACTTGGAAGGGAGAGGCAGGTGGATCTCTGTGAGTTCGAGGCCAGTCTAGTCTACAAAGGGAAAGGCGCAAAGCTACACAGAGAAACCCTGTCTCGAAAAAAAAAAAAAAAAAAAAAAAAAAAAGAGGTAAGGGAGAAGAGAGAGAGTCCCTTCTCCCTGCTGCCTGCTTCAGGGTCTGATTGGACTGCCAGGTGGATTCACTCCCCTCAGAACATCAGAACAGAGGACTACTTCAGCTGTTAAGTCTGAACTTGTCACTCTCTACCCATGCCTCAGCAGGAATCCTCTAGTGCACCACAGTGACCCACTTAAACCTCATTACTTTCACTCTTCAGATTTCTGTCTTCTCTCTCCCTCTACCAAGAGGGCCTTCTCCTGGTAAATGCACCTGGACAATCATGATTGACAATAAAGCAATCAACCCAAATATCATCTCCACCTCCTCTGCCCAGTGCATCTTAGCTATTCTCCCATTTATATCTCCAGAGAACCTTACAGATCATTCTCTCCTCAATGTATGGTTTCAAGGACTGACATCTGGTTACCAGATCAATGATTTATTGTGTACAGTTTAGTGGGGTTTTTTTTCTTCTCTATAAGCTTTGCTTTATTGAACAATATATTCAAAACAAAGGAACTCTTGAATTATGTTATCAGTGACCTGAAAGAGATTTCCAAATGTGGCTATTTTTCTTCTAAAGAATATCTATATTGGTAATAAAATAGAGCATCCATTTTGGGAGCACATGCTAGGCACTAATAGAAAATAATAGGAATGCCACATTATAGACTGTCCTGATTAGTTTTTATTATCATCTTGACACAACCTAAAATTGCTTGGGAAAGGGAACCTCAATTAAAGCTACTGACTCCAGGCCTGAAGTGATACCTCAGCAGTCAAAAGCACTTACTGCTCTTACAGAGAACCTGGGTTTGGTTCCTAGCACTGACATGGCAGCTCATAACCATCTGTAACTCCAGTGTCAGAGTATCTGTTGCCCTCTTCTGGTCGCCAAAGGTACCACACACACACACACACACACACACACACACACACACATATTACACATACACACATGCAGCCTAGGCACTAATAATAAAATAAAAATATAGAGATAAATAAATGGCTGAATAATTGTTCCACAATGGGCTCGTCTGGTGTAGGAGGACCCAGCCCATTGTGGGTGGTAACAGCACTAGGCTCCTGGGCTGCATAAGAAAGCTATCTGAGCAAGCCAGAGAGGGGCAGCATTCCTCAGTGTTTCCTCCCCTGACTTCCCTCAGAGATGGACTCTTACCTGGAATTATAAACTGAAATAGCTCCTCCAAGCTGCTTTTGGTCAGCGTGTTTTATTACAGCAATAGTAGAAAACTACAACAGAGTCTTTCTTACCTTTATTCTGCCCAACTCAAACTGGAAAACATTGGGACTTGTAGCTTGTGCAAAAACTGCAGGAAATAATTTTGTACTTGGCTCCACCTTAAATGAACAAATGAGTGTGTGATTTTAGTAAAGAAAGGAGAGACAGGAGGCAAAGAAACAAGCATTTCCTTTATAACAACCAAGAGGCACACGAAAGAAGGAGACTAGAGATTTTCCCTTTCCATCTTGTGACTATCCTGTCAATAATCACTGGATTCATCATTGAACAGACAGCTCTGGAGGGAAATACCGTTAACTCCAAAAGGCTTATGGTGCTGCAAATATGCAAAAGATAATTGTACATGTCATAAACTCATTTCTGTTTTCCTTCTCTCTTAATTTCTAAGATTTTCATCTTAGGAAATGTGCTTCCCTGTAGCAGGAGCAAAAGCCTAAGGCCAACTCTGACCACGTACCTGATAGTAAGTACTTAGCTCCTTGCCATTGGCAATGAATGTGAGCAGCCCACTGGCAGCATCCACCACACAGCCAATCTCCAGACCATTGCTGTTGTTTCGCCCTTGTCCAGGACTCATGCTCTCTCCCGCACACACCATATAGCAGTTGCTGCGTTTGATGCTGAATTAAAGAAAGAACAATGGACATTTGTATCCTTGTACAAACACAGGAGAAAGTAAGTGTATCTTGCAAACTAAGCCTAAATTATGCTGTGCAAGCAACAAGCTCATGCTGTAATGGGAGAGATGCAAAATGGGCCCAAGTCTGTGATTCTGAGCAGTACTTCATTGACTGCAGGGGACAGGCTACATCAGGTCTGTCACATGTCTAATTTTCACACCTAATGAGACAGGCCAATGAGCTTGACACCAAATAAGAATTGATCTGTACCTCTTCTGCAAAACAAACAAACAACAAAAAAAGAAAACTCAAACCAAACTGGACCCTTTTTTTTCTGAGGTTCAAAAAAGTTTGACTATTGAATAATTATCCAAATTTGAATTTTCACCACCACCACCACCCTACACACACACACCACTACTTGTTCTGAGATGAGAGAACTCCCCAGGTGAGATAAAATCCCCAGGAAAATTCTCTATGAGTCATGAGTGCTACCAAAATATATCTGACCAAAATGGTGTGTATTTATGCATAATTTCTGGTGATGCTACAAAGGACAGTTAAGTAGATAATGCACACAGCAACGATGACTATAAACTCCATCTGACTTCACCTTCACCAGAACCTGCGTTAGAAAGTTCTATTCCATTCTCTTAGGTGCACTACAGCCAACACATCACAAGACTAGCGAGGAAAAGCCAGAGGCAGGCAGGAAAGGCAGCAAAAACAAACAGGCTGGGATAAAGTCCTTTTCGGATCGTCCAAATGCAGGCTGCATTTCTTTGCACTAGGCACCCTGTACTCGGTGATTCTCCCTCGTCCTGTTTCCAACTCTACTAACCCATCAGTTATAGCATTCTTATATGAGTCAGTGTTTGCCGTGCATGGTTGCCATCTTTGAAAATTAAATACATGTCCAGATTATTCTTTAAAAGACATGGTATTTGGGGTCCCATGTTGATAGCAAGTACTCTTTGAGGCTTTTGCAAAAGCCCTCATCCATCTGCAGTGCTGGGGGAGGGGCAGTGCATTTCCCAGATCACCAAAAAGGATGGCTCAGCTGAAGAAGAAAAGCAACACTATGGAAGACTCTTTCTGAGACCTGTCATAGCAGATCAGAGAGGATCGCATGGGCGCACAGGGTAGAAGCAAATGGGAGGATCTTCTCTTGTCTTATTCTGCAAGGAAGATGGCCTTCTTCACTTTTTTGAAGGTTTGGTTTGAGTTCGGTGTTTTACAAATGAGAAAGGATGGTACACAAAATGTAACTGACTTACCCGAGGCCACACAGCGAGTCAAGGGCAAAGCTGAGGAAAGAATCCACTGGTCCTCAGTCGGAGTTCAACGGTGTGCCCCTTGTCTAACTCACTCTAAGCTGCGAGCCCACTCCCTCCCCACTACACAGCCAGTCCCCAGGAGGCTTATCAGACCATAGGCACTCCGCCTCGATTCACTCATCTCTCATCCTAAGACCTAGTATTGGCAACTTAAGTCCTTTGTTGCAGCACCTGAAGAACATGTGCTCCTTACCCTAAAGGACGCTGTATTCTTATTATATGATTTTTGCTTTTAATATATTTAGATTCCTTGCTGGTTTGTATGCATGAGAAAAGAGGACATTGACATCAATGGCTTAATTACATCATCCTATAAATGAAAATATCCTGAATACAAAAATCCAAGAAACAAGAGTATCTAGGCCTATCAATATTTTCTCAGACACAATTCTGTGGAAAACACTGGAAGAACCAACCTCTCGTGTACTTTTCCTTTTTCATCCCCTAGAGTGACAGTCACCGTGCGCACTCTGTCCAAATCAAAGCCTGTGTCGTACTGGTGGAAGTCAGATGTAATCCAGCCCACCCAGACATTAGCAGGTTCTTGTCCAGGAAAGATCCTCACTGAGTAATAGTACTGTGGAGACAGAGGAACGAAGTGTGGGCAGTGTGAAACAAGACAAAACAAAATGTGGGTGTCATCTGAGCCTTTGAATACACTTCTTTATTTAAGATCATTTGGCTGAATTAGAGGGTACAGGCAGAGGGGGCTAGTATTCAAAAGGATTAGGATCAAGTGGTTATAAGTATTTTCTACTCTTCTAGAGGACCAAGAACACATATTGGGCAGTTTACAACTAACTGTCCATCACTGCAACTCCAAGTGATTCTGACCTCCACAGGCACCCCCTCCACATAACATTCTCTCTCACACACACACAGAAATGAAAAAAATTAAGATTATATGTGAGAACATGACAAATAATGGGAGGTTTGTACATTCCTAGGTATGTGTGTGCATACATGTACCTAGGAATGTATATATACATGTAGTTTTACATATATCACATACATACACACATGCACATACACGATAGGTATCAATTTGTTAGACAGATAAATTTTCAATTCCTTAAATGTCTGCAGGTACATGAGAGTTTCACTTTGGTCACAGGCCTCTTTACATATGTGTGGCTTCTCCTTTCTCTTACATGTAACATTCCAAAATCTGAAGTCATTCCTTTGGCTTCTTTGATGCATGGACATCAAACTCATACACAGAAGTACCAAAAGACTAGAGAGACAATTCAGCAGTTAGTAGCATGTGTTGCTCTTGCAGAGTACTCGGGTTTGGTTTGCAGCATTCACATGGTAGATTTCGACTACCTGTGACTCATTCCCAAGGGAGCCAACGCCCTCTTCTGGTGTGTGTCCACTATCACTGCATGCACATTATGTACACATTTACATGCAAGCAAGCATTTATACATATAAAATAAAAACAAATAACTTTTAAAAAGTAACTGAGAAGCACTCTACAATAGATACAACTATTTTTTTTTCTAATTTGGCATTCTAGATACATAAATCTGAACATTTTAAATGGCAGACGGCAAAAGTTGGGTCCCATGGAAAGTATAATAAATTATCTGCTCTCAGACAATTTGCTAAGATTAACTAAATTATATGGACTTTAAAAAGTCCAGTGGAATTGTCAAATTTCATCAAGAAACTACACATCAAAGTCTGAATTATAGATGTCCATAAAGACTGTTACTTAAAATAGTTCTCATTCCTTAACAGACATCACAATACAAGCTTTGCTACAAAATTTCTATCCCCAAAATATGTCGAAAAATATAAGCAAATGATTGCTTTTAAAATGTTATTCAGCTGAGTGTGGTGGTGCATGCCTATAATACCTATACTACAAAGGTTGAGGTAAGAGGATAGAGTTCAAGGGTAGCTTTGAATATATAGTGAGCTACTGTCTCAAAAAAACAAAATAAGGGCTAAGGACAGTTAGCAGAGTGTTTGTGTATCATGCAAAAAGTCCTGGATACCATCCCCTAGCACCACATAACCTGGGAGTGGTGACACATTCCTATAATCTTAGCACATAGATGGAGGCAGGAGGATCAGGAGTTCAAAGTCATCTTCAGCTACAAAGCAAGTTCAAAGCCAGCCTAGGCTACAGTAGACCCTGCGTTACCCTCCACCAAAAAAAAAAAAAAAAAACCAAAAAACACTGTCAATATATCAAAGTACAGCATTTGAGATGGAAAGTACAACAAGTGCTTCAGGCACATACCGTGGATGTCTGCATCAGGTACTCATAGTCATCCCGGTCATCAGCAAGGACATCTTCAGTGAGTCTTGCAGAATGGCTTGTGCTGTAATCTGGCTTTGTCCTTCTAAGTAAGAATCTGTAACATTGAGAGGAGGAATAAGCATGTTCTGCCCACTTTGCATATGCGATCATTAGCCAAAAAAATCTTCAACAGGGCATTCTCCTTCCCAGAGAACATCTGGCTATAGTAGGAGAAGTTTTTGGTTGTCCCAACTTGGGTAGTGGAGCACTCTAACATCTAGTAGGTATATGTGAAGGGAATCACTCAATACCCTTTTAATTCCTAGGGCTGTCCCTACAATAAAAAAAAAATGGCCTGAGCAGAGTGGCAATAGCATTGCATTTGAGAAATACTGATCAATGCAGGAAAGGATGCTATGGTAACCTGTCTCTCTGATCACAGAAAATAGTATTTGCAGCAGTGATTCTCAACCTTGCTAATGCTGTGACCCTTTAATACAGTTCCTTATGTGTGGTAAGCCCCCAACATAAAATTACTTCGTTGCTACTTCATAACTGTAATTTTGCTACTATTATGAGTCATTACTAATGTCTGACATTCAGGATATCCAATATGCAACCTCCCAAGTGATCATGACCCCCAGGTTGAGAACCACTGATTTAGAGGGAATACTCTTTAAGTCTCAACCAAGAGTGTAAATATAGATAACTCTGAACAGATGACATTTGGGCTCATAAATTAGAAAAACATGAGTTGTGTTATGCTCCTCTATAAAATCTTCTGAGAATGAACGAATGAATACTAAAAATCTTTACCCTCTACTACAGATTGGGCCACTTGGTAACCATATAACTTAAAAACATACTGTAGCTGAGCTCAGTGCTTCACACCTGTAATGCCAGCACATAGCAGGTTGAAACAGGAAGACTGGCATGAATTCCAGGTCAGTCTGGCATACAGAGTGAGATTCTGTCTCAAAACATCCAAACCAAAGGCTAGAGAGACATTGTACTAGGTAATCTGCTTGCCACACAAGCATGAGGACCTGAGTTCAGATCATCAGTACCTATGTAAACAGCCAGATGCAAAAGTATATGCCTGTAATCCTAGAACTAGAGAGGCAGAGACAGATTCCTGGAGCTCACTGGACAGAAGGTCTAGCAGAACCAGCAAGCTCCAGGTTCTGTGAGAGACTTTACCTCCAAAAGTAAGGTACAGAATGAGAAGAGTAATCACCAGGCATCCTCCTCTGGCCTAAACACACATACACACACACACACACACACACACACACACACACACACACACACACACACGCACAGACATGCACATGCACACACACACTGAAATGCAAGTGCACCCACACACATGTATATACACACAAACAGCAACCCCAGCCCAGACAAGCCACCACACTATCTGCTAATCACCTTTGCTTTAGGCGTGAAGGCTTTTCCTGAGCATAATCTTTGTGGTTATTGAACTCTGGCTTCGGGGTTTCTTTGTCCTTATCAATGCGATCAGGTACCAGATGACCATGAGCTGTCTTCATCAGAACCTCAAAATCAGAGTCCACATCATAATCCTCTAGATCATTCTTGGGCCCATAGAGGCCTGCACCAGGGAGCCCTCCTGCCACTGTCTTCGAGAAGACTTCCGCACACTCAATGGGCATGCTCAGGCGGTAAAACATGATGTCAGTGTTGCTGTTCTGAGAACCAAAGGACTTCTGAGTGACCTTCAGACATGGAGAACTGTCAATGGTGCCATCTATTCTTGTTACCTAGCAGATGAAGAAGCCAGTTAGTTTTGAGTGTCAACTGAACACAATGTGGAGTTACTTGGGAAGAGCAATTATCTAGACTATATTGCCTTGTGGGCATGTCTATGAAAAATCTTCACTGTGGGTGGCACTATTCCCTAGGCAGGGAACCCTGGATTGTCCAAGAGTGGACAAAATGAGGTGAGCACATGCATGCATGTAATCACTGCCCTTTCTTCCTAACTATGGTTGTGATATAACCAACTCCCTCCAATTCCCACTGCTGGGACTCTCCCTCTGTGATGAATTGGAACTAGAACCTGAAACCTAGAGTTGAAAGCTAAAATAAACTCTCTCTTTCCTACATTGTTTTTTGTTTTTTTTTTCTGAGACAGGGTTTCTCTGTGTAGCTTTGCACCTTTCCTGGAACTCCCTTTGTAGACCAGGCTGGCCTTGAACTCACAGAGATCTGTCCGCCTCTGCCTCCCAAGTGCCGGGATTAAAGGCGTGCACCACCACCGCCCGGCTCTCCCTTACCTCTTAAGAGGTCACAAACAACAGCAAGAAGCACCGCCTCCTTCAGGTCCTAGAGCCCAAGGTCATGGGTGGAGCAAATACCACTACATTATAGGGTACATGGTATGCTGAAAGTTGGGATATATTATGTAGGGGTGTTTACTGACATTTGAAGAGGAGTGTTGAGTGTAGTGCGATTTGCCTTGAAATAGCATACTGGTAGGTAGGAACATGGAGGTGCAGAACGAGAGGGGGCATTGGTAAGTGTGTACTGCTGATCTGATACTGTTTACATGGGGGCTGTGCTAAGGGCCTTGAGAATCATAATGGAGAAGAACTGGAGGATTCATACTGTTTTCTGGGAGAATGAAAAGAATACATTTTCTAAAGAGCTCAAGCATTGTCTTTCATAGCTCCCCCCCCTTCTGCTTTTCTTTACATATCCAACAAGAAAAATGGAAGCTGTAAGAGAGCAAGGGCTTTGTTTTGTTTGTTCATTAACATATTCTCACGTAGGAGCTCCTATACATAAAGATATCCCACTTCTACTTTTGAGAAAAGGCTTGATTATTAAAGGAAAGGCAAACCTCGATGTGTTCATGGTTTGATGGGACTTGGAGGAACTGAGGAAGCCGCTTGCTCAGCCACATGGTGATGTCTCTATTTGTGTTAACAGCAAATGGTTCATAGCCTTCTTGTAAGCCACAGATGGTGAAATATTTCAAAGTGCTGACGTCCTTTCCAAAGTTCATCCTGCCTACTTGTGCCACCCCTAGGCTACAGACAGGGATGAAGCCTGGAACAAAAACAGAAATCACGATCTTCAGTATTTAATGTGAGATTCTCTTAGTAAGGCATAACAAGCAAATTGCTTCCCAAGTCCTGGCTCTGAGAAAACCATCAACCTGGAAAGAACACAGTGTAATGAAGAAACCGCTAACATTATGAGAGTAGAGGTGTATGATCCTGGCATTGTGATTTACTGACTAAAGACCTTATAAAAGTACATTCCTCCACCTGACCTCTAGGAATCTTGGAGTGTCCATTCCTACCAGTGCCTCCACACCATCAGGTATACATTCTTCTTTCATGAATGAAAGTGAGGAAGGACCAAGGACCAAGGGGAGTATGGATCTCTTTGCCTTGTTCTTCAACTAGCTAAAGGGCTCAATATGTTACAACATCAGACATGGCCAGTGCCACTGGCTTCTTTATATGTATTCTCAAGGAGAAAATGGCTAGAGGCGAACATTTGAAAGGTGTCTAGGGCTATATAGATGGCTCAGAGCTTAGAGCATGTATTGTTCCTACAGAGACATGGTTACAGTTCTTAGCACCCACATGCAGGCTCACAACCATCTGTAATTCTAGTTCCAGGGTATGCAACACCAGATTCTGGACTTCTTGAGCACCCAGTATACACGGTATATACACATACATATAGGTAAAACACCTATACAGATAAAACAAAAATCAAGAATTTTGAAGTGTTCACAGTTACTCTGATCTTTGAAGAGACTTTTTTTTCCCTCCTGGGATGAGTTAAGACTAGGCCTAGGAAAATGTATATAAATGCATGTGAGAGAACATACCTGTATGCATATGTATAGATGAATATATGTGTATATGTACTATACATAGATTATATATGCATATACATAGATATAATATGCCCAAGTTAAATGAATACATATACACATCACACACATGTGTGAATATGCATTCACACATATAGCACTGAACAATGAGACAAAAACTAATAGAACATTTGATAACCTAATCTAACAAAAGCCAGAATCTGCTAATCTTTCCATTGTTAGACAAGAACAAAATTGTCATAATACTGCTAATTGTTTATTTGAGATCTTTGGGATCTGTTGTTGATGATGTTAGATAGTATTACTTTTGCAACAGATCTGGGATGCCTCTTTCCAAAGGGAAAACATTCTTTATACTCCTCATTTCTTGCCATAACGTTTCACATTAATATTGGGCAGCCAGCACACAAGCAACATCCATTGGGGTGCAGAGTATAGCTTAAAGGGTCCAAATAGGTCCACAGGAAAATAGTGTTCAGCACCCTCTGTACCATAAGACAGTAAAAGTTACATCAATGACTCCTAATACTAGATAGCCCATCCCCTGTACCATAAGACAGTAAAAGTCACATCAATGACTCCTCATATTAGATAGCCCACTCCCTGTGCCATAAGACAGTAACAATCATGGCAGTTATTCCCTGGCACTGAAGAGATAGCTCAGCAGTTAAGATCAGGTACTACTCTGACAGAAGACCTGAATTCGGTTCACAGCAGTCACATGGACAGCTCACAACTGCCTATCTCCAGCTCCAGGGGATCCAACACCCTCTATCTCCAGGAGCACTGGTACACTCGTGGCTTACACACACACACAGACATACACACACAGAAAATAAAAATATAATAAAATAAACCTTAAAGCAATAATGTTCAGTGTTCTCCCCCAGTCTGTTTCCATTGGTACAAATGCAAAAGAATGGCAGTGCAGTGGTGCTACCACCAAGGAGCGGGGAAGGACACATCCAGCTGCGTACCAAGCAGTGTAAATTACCAGTTTGTGGTTAGATTTGAATCAGCTGCAGCTGTGCCTGACAGCCCATGTTCCAGCAGTCAGGAAAGCTGATGCAAATAAGGGTCCCCAGGGAAGCAAAGGGCTGGACTGGATACATAGAACAGATGGGAGACACTTGAACTTCATTTGTGCCAATTAGGAAGTGTAACCCACCATCTGACACCACTGAAGAGACAATAAGACAGAGTCAGCTCCTTGGACAACAAACATCTATTTATTTCTGATCACTGTGTTTGTGGAGGAATTATGGGCTGGAAAGACCCGAGAGACTTGCAAATATCTCCATGGTAGACCTTTGAGTGTCAATTGTACTTCTCTGACTTTCTGATGTACATTTAAAGTAGTTTATCTTTTTAATTAAGTTAACTAGTGACATACACAAAGAGTTATATATGGAAAAAGACACTAAATCTCTATTCACAAGTCTACATTGCTTTAATAATACATAAACCTCCTGGGTGGAATAATATCTAGATTTTGAAAGTTTATTCTTCAAAGGCTCATTCATATATAAAAATGGGTTGGTATGTAAAAGGAAAGAAAAAATTTTTAATAAAAAATTATATATATGTAAAAAAGAAAATATTCATGGACATGCATTTCACAGAGCAAACACTGTTTCCAGAGAAGAAAACACCAGAATGTTTATCCAGAAGCTTCTTTTATAAAGACTTTTTAACACTTTTTGGTCTTTCTTTTCTTATGTCCCTTGACAAATTTCTTCTAGTGAATGCATATTTTCTTATGAAAACAAGAGACAATTCCCACCACAAATACTTCACTTACTGAAACAGTACATGGCAACATCCTTTCTAGAAAGAAATGTGTTGGAATTATATGGATACAATGACTTGCATGGCATGTTCTTCAAGTCTAATACTCAGTTCTGTGTATGGTGAGTCCAGTTTCAGAATTCTGCACAAAAAAAACCCCTGCTTATCCTTCTGAACAAGTGTGATGTTTATGTGGGACATGCTACTCATATTCATTGAGAAACCACATGTAGTTTCTTTATTTGACAAATATCAGCTGCCATGTACCAGAAACTAGAAATAAAGTTGAATAGCACAGAGATACCAGCACCAAACTGCTCACCATCTGCTGAGGGGCCAAAAGATATAGAAAAAGTTTAACCAAATACCACACTGTCCTTCCAAGAAGTATTTGGGGCAGAGGAAGGATAGAGAAAGAAGATTCAGTAACATCTCCAGAACAGTGTCTAGGAGCAGGGCATTTGGGCAGTCAGTCCTGGGAGGGGTTGACAAGAGCCTGACACTGTGGTTGATATATTGTGCACCCTAATAAACTTATCTGGGGGTCAGAGAACAGAACAGCCACTATATTAAACATAGATTTAGGCAGTAGTAGCACACACCTTTAATCCTAGCATTCTGGAGGCAGAGATCCATCTGGATCTTTGTGAGTTCAAAGCCACACTAGAAACAGCCAGGCATGGTGACACATGCCTTTAATCCCAGGAAGTGATGGTAGGAAGCAGAAAGTTATGTAAGACATGATGACTAGGAACTAGAGCCTTGTTAAGTTTTAGGCTTTTAGCAGCAGTTCAGCTGAGATCCATTTGGATGAGGACTCAGAGGCCTCCAGTTTGAGGAAACAAGGTCAGATGAGGAATTGTCGAGGTGGGGTTGGCTGTGGCTTGTTCTGTTTCTCTGATCTTCCAGCATTCACCCCAATAACTGACTCTGGGTTTGCTTTTATTAATAAGATCTTTTAAGATTCATGTTACATGACACTCAGGTGACTTGGACCTAAGTCTTAGCTCCACTCAGAATAGCTACTAGACCCTTTGCATGTTGTGTACATTCTTGGAGAGTCAACCCCTTTTCATTTAACCTACATGATAGGAATATGTTTTTTAATAATTAAGACTTATTGTAAAGAACAAATCTTGCAAATAAAAAATATTACAGAGTCAGATTAACCAGATCCAACATCTATGCGTCTCAGTGAACTTCTGTATATCTAGAGCAGCTGGGCTGAAGCTGTGGGGCTTCACACTGAATTTCACCTTCACTATCAAACATATTTCACATTTTTAATCTACCACAAAAGGATGAAAAATGCTTAACAGAGCTGAACTGAGAGAAACAATTAACTTTATATCCTCTTTCATGACTTATGTCCATTACCTACCTGCATTCCATCCTTCCTCATCACCTAATATTTTCCCTTTCTTGTTTGGTCTCCTTTCTACATGTTATACTGTACCCACACATATATCATAGGCCAGGATCTGTCAATGACGGAGAATATGTAATTGTTTCCTTTCTGAAAAATTTTTTTTCACTTTTCTTTGGCACTGAATATCATTTTAAGCATGTACCAGGTTTTCATAATCCATCCCTCTGTTGATGGACAGCTAGAATGGTTCCATCTCTTTGCTATAGTGAACAGAGCAGCAATAAATATGGATTATGGTTTTAAAGTAACATTTTAAAGTAAAATATGTCTACAACTTATTGTTTGAGCTCACTGAATTTAATTTTAGATAGAAAAAGAAGTAGAAATCAATCTACCTATAGTAAAATGAATGGTTGTTTTATACATATATATGCAAGATTAAATATGGGCAGCCATTAAAATTCATCTTATGACTAAAAAAGTAAAAGTTGGGGGGTAGGAAGATGGTTCAGTCAGTAAAGCAACTGCTGCCCAAGCCTAAGAACCTGAATTTAGATGATGGCCATCCATATAAGAAAGTCAGGCGTGGTTGAACATGCCTGTAAGCCTAGCACTGTAGGGGTTAAAAAAAAAAAGACAGATCCTGGAGCTAACTGGCCATCCAGTCAGAGAAGTCTGTGAGCTCTCGGTTCAGTGAGAGACCCTGCCTCAAATGATAGGGCAGAACACAATAGTGGAAGACACCAGTGTCAATCTCTGACCTCCATAAACACCTGTAAACACACACACATAGTATAGACACAAATAAAATTGGAAAGAACAATAAAACTGATATAACAATTTTAAGTATACAATCATTTTAGGTGAAGAGTAGAAAAGAATGACTATACTATTTCTTATACTGCTTTACAATTAACATTTCTCAGGGAGTTGATAGGGATAATTAAATTCCACTTAAAATGTTTTTGATTTGAATAGCATTTATAATCAGTTTAAAAGAGATTTATTTTCACAACATCCTTTCAAATTTTCATGAAGGAAATAAATATACCAAACATCAAATTTCTTTTGACTTTTATATAATTTTATTAAATGTTTATTTTTAATGTTATATGTATATGTGTATGCATACATAAATTTATGTGTACCATGTGTGTACAGGTGTCCACTGAGACCAGAAGAGGATGTCAGATACCTTGAATCTAGAGATACAGGGTTGTGAGTCACCTACAAATACAAGGTTGTAGATGCTAGGAACTGAACTCAGGTCTTCTTCAAAAGAAGCAAGTACTCCTTGATCAATGAGCTATCTCTCTAGTCCATTTTTATGTCATTGTAATCATATAAATTATAGAAGTAACAAGTGAGTATAGGTTCTTTTTTCATGGAATTCTTACTGATAGATGAAATATATATATACATATGTATATATTTGTGTGTGCTGTATGTGTATAAGCTTATATATATCATATATATGATTAACATAGCTATAATGCAATAAAACTTCATTTATAAAAGAAGATGGTAGATAGGGACTTGGCCCAAGGCCCTCAGTTTGCTAATCACTAATCCTGGTTATGTTCTCACTTCAAGTACTACTATACTTGTCCCAGCAAATATTTAATAAACACCCAGGGCATACTCATGATCTATACACTGGGGCTATAGCTGTGAACAAATTCAAATGAGCCCTTAACTGAGGGCACTTATCTGTGAATACAAAATACATAAAATATAAAGTAAGTAAACAAGAAAATAGGGGGTAGGGCTGGGAAGATGACTCAGTGTCTAAGGGTGCCAGCTACCCCAGCATGAGAAACTTAGTTCAAATCCCCAGTATTCACATAGGAAATAGGTATGACTACACACATCCACCTATAACTCCTGAGCTGTGGGGACAAAGACAGGAGGATCCCTGAGGCTTGCTAGCTGCCAGCTAGCTTCCAGTTCAGTGAAAAATCCTGTCTCAAGGGAATAATATCCCAACACAATGAAACAGATTTCTATAGAGCTTTGTACAAACCCAACATCTGTAGAATGTTGGCCCCTCTTTTCTGCCCTTTGCATTTGTGATCTTCTAGTCAGTTACCTTAAGTGACATTCTACCAGTAACAGAGCCCAGTGATATACTTCTAAAGAAAGTCTTTCTGGCAATGAGTCTTAGCATAATTAATGCAAATGAGCTCAACTGATTATATCAGGCTCAGCCACGCCCACCCTATTTGTAACTCTGTTCACACACACACTATCTATATATCTTATGGTGAAGTTGCTTCTTGTAGTCAAGAACAAATGGCTTTAACAAGCTTTTACTTTCTGGTGTGAGCCTTTGTCCCCACAGCAGAGCATGTGTGATGAGCACACAAGCATAGCCTAGAAACTGGCAGTCCCCAGGATGTGAGTCAAAACACAAGCCATAAAAACCTATAGCTGAGCCAGACAGTGGTGGCACACGCCTTTAATCCCAGCGCTCGGGAGGCAGAGCCAGGTGGATCTTTGTGAGTTCGAGGCCGCCCTGGTCTACAGAGCGAGATCCAGAACAGGCACCAAAACTACACAGAGAAACCCTGTCTTGAAAAAAACAAAAAAAAAAAAAACTATAGCTGGGGCTACAAAGGAAGCTAGAACAGACCATAAACATTTCCTAAGAATTATCAAATACCTGATTCTTTAACCTTCCTGAAATAAGGACAGGAATCCACATGTACAACCTCAACTAGGTGAGCCAAAATTTTATTTCATATAAATCTGAATTTGGGGATTAGAAGAAAAAGAAAGCTAATGCTCCCTTGTGGTAGATAGTGTGCTGATAATTTGTGAGCATCTTCCCATATATTATTTAATATTAGCCCCATTTTTTAGTAAGATAACAATCAATGTATTAAATCATTTGTCTGGAATCTAATAATTAAGAGGATGTCATCATTTGTATGCTAATTAGTATTAATACTGTATTAGGTTGCATTGCAGAATTTGTTTGAACTGAGTCTCTCCTTTTTCACATATCCTCCTACCACCTTATGTCCTTCTAGTCATAGTGCCCTCCTTTTGGGTTTCATGTCCCATGTGTTCTATGACCTTCAAAACCTCCTTTTCCCCCTCTCATGGTTCCTTTTCTAGTTTCAAGACCTATATATAACCAGACACATGTTCATACATATGCACATATACAAACACTAAAATCTAGGACCCTCCTATGAGAAAGAACATGTGCTATTTGTCTTTCTGAGTCTGGGTGAATTTTCAGTTCTATTTATTTTCTTGCAGAACTCATGTTTTTACATCTGAATAAAATCCCATTGTGCATATATGCCATATTTTCACTATCCATTCATCAGTTGATGGACATCTAGGCTGATGGCAATTTCTGGCTATTGCAAATAGAGCAGCAATGAACTTATATGAGCATGCATCTCTGTGGTAAGAGAGAGAATTCTCTGAGCATATCCCCAGGAGTGATATAGCTGGCTCACATGGTAGTTCTCCATCTAATGTTTTGCAAAACCTCCTCAATGGTTTCCTTATGGTTGAATCTATACGCTGAGTGGAACTTGAAAGTGTCAACCTCTCGACAAACTGCAATCTACATGAAGATGAGACCTGGCTTTCATCATCTGTGTCACCCCAGACTCTGAGAGAGGGAGGGCCTGAGCCATGTCAGATTCTCATTCCTTTTTTGTGAAGTTAATGGACAAGAAAATGCTATAAACCACTGATGAACCACAGATATCCTGAATGAAAAGTTAATGCTGTGGGATGCCATCTTAGTGGCCACCACTTGTTTTGCTTTGCACACAGACCTCTCTACCTCATCAAAACCCTCTCCAAGTGGGATAGATGTCATTTCTGGGGAGATAATTTCAAGGATGTCTGATCAGATCAGTTTCATGGCACCTAGCAATTTACAGCTCCAACTCATATGCCCACTCACCCTAAAACTACTCCCGGGGCTGGTCATGAATCAGAATAAACAGCTGCATTGTATTGCAAACACAAATGACAAGAGAATACCGTGGCTCTTACCATCACCAACATCGAAGTCCTTGAAAGCCAGCTCGGAGCCTGAGTCATCCAGCAGGATCTCACCATTCAGAGTGAACATCATGGTATGTTCGTTCATGTCAACCATGCAGCCCACGACATCACCTGCTTGCCAAGAGCGTCCATAATGTTCATTGCCCTGGTGCCAGCGCTGGGCCTATGGAGGGTAGAAGAGTTCCTTGTCACAGAGTCAGACAGATGAACAGCAGTAGGGTGATCTTAGTCAGAATCACTAGTCTGGGGACAGAGGGAAGTCTGTGAATTCTAAATCCCTAATGTCAATACAGGGTGGGAGATTATGAACAAATCCAATGCTACTCCATGCTTTTGAAAGTTGATCTAACCATATGAACTATGCACTTTTATAATTTACTTTTACAAACTATAATGAATGCTTCCCATGATATGGGTTGCTTTTCTCCACTCCAACTTGTACATACAAGAGCTGAGAATTAAACTGGATGCCAACCCCTTAGGAAAAAAAAAACAACAACAAAACATTCTCATATTCACCTCTCTCAAAATAAAATTCCTCTTTTTGGGACCACTGTCGATGCTACTTAAACAAGGATGGAATTCTGGAAACTTCTCCATTCCTTCCTAACATCAGAAAAGCTTCAAATCACACCTAAAAATACTCTGAAGATACCTGGGGAAATAACAAGCCCCAAACCAAACATGGCTACCAGCCCATTTATATATAAAATAAAATGTCTATCATAAATACACTTGGATACAGAGTTTCAGCAAACATGAGTTCGGCATAGACTAATTTATAGGTACAAAATTAGTCATATGAGTTATTTTCTCACATAAATCCCTTAAATTTATTTGGAATGCCACCTTCATTGTGATATGCTATATAATGTTTTATTGCACTTGTATAAAATACTTATGAAATTATTCTCAATGTAACATGTTGCTTTTAATTTTTTTAACTAAATTATGTAACAAGGGCACAGCATTTCAGAATTCCCCTAGCATCTCTGTCTCATTGCCATCTGTGTCTCCAGGCTGAGCATCTTTCCTTATCTGTGGGCTGCTGGGTGCGGAGGGAACTTCAATTTCTGAAAGTTATTTCTTGCTCTGGTTCACTGTATCTGATCACCAGCAAGAAGGAAACCAAAGCTGCCTTGTTTGTTTGTTTAGACAAGGTTTCCCTACATGAAGCCCACGTTGGCCCTGAACTCTTGCCTTAGCTTCTTTGGTGCTGGAATTAAAGTATGCATCACCACACTGGTTTCTTGACCACTTATGATAGACAAGGAAGGCTTGTCTCTTTAACAACCTTTTGGCACATTTCACTGGCGCTGTAGGGCAGGGGAGGAGTCCTCAGATGACTATAAGGACATGACCAAGGTCTGCTGTGAGACGAGTGAGGAACCGCGAGGCGGGGGGGGTGTTCTAGCAACTCCAATGCAAGCAGGGATAGGCCAGGTCTCAGGAAGCTACTCACCTTAAAACCATCAAAAGCAAAGGCACGTTCATCAGAACCCAGCTCTAGATCCGGCTGGCAGCCTGGCCTGCTCCAGCCCACACGCATGTCTCCAGCAGTGACCGCCTCAAATTCAAAGTACCAGCGACCAGCCTTCACCGCATAGGTCTTCTCTGCCCTGAAGATACGAAACCTCTCCCCAGTGCCGCTACACACCTCGGCTCTCGCGGCTGTGGGTTTGAGAGACTGGAGATCATTGGGTGGGAAGTTAAGAGAAAAGCAGGACTTGACCTAAACTTGGTCATAAAACCCACAGGGAGGCCAACTACCCCACCCCACCCATTCTCCTGCTTCACCATCTACACTTAGGTAGAAGCATCCAGTAAAGCAGAAAGCCAGGCAGGGCTTCCTGGGAAGGCTGGGGAAGAACTCAGTGACTGACTAGGACACATGAGCTTCCTCCTTCTGCCCCTTTCAGAGAAAGAAAGACAATAAGCCCTGGTTGTTTGGTTCATGTAGTTCAGAAATAGAAGACCACATGAACTTGAAGTCTTAGGTGGGGAAAAGTACATTATTATAATAAATAAACTGTTCTGCAAATAAACAGATAATAAGCGTGTAACTGGCCTGCCCTGTGCCCCTCCCTTTGGCCACCACACTATTCAAACAGTAGATCACCAGAAATGAGGGTACCCCAATCTCCTCCTAGGAAAAGAAAAGGCTAAAGTTCTGGGGGCAGCCAGAGGAAAAACTTCAGTCTGGGAGAAAGGTGTATACGAACCTGGGATCCTATGGGAGAGACTAGACAGAGAGGATGTTGGGGGAGGGGGGGTTCACCTGCCTGGCACTGCCTAGTTATGCATGTCATTTGCCTTCTATTGAAATCTTACCCTCATGATAGGTGTTCAAGATGGACTGGGGTGGGTGAGGGGGGCTAGAACTATGTGTCCCTCCTCTCAGAATGGCCTCATTAAATAAATCTTTCTTTTCTGCTTTTCACCATGAATCTGGTTTGTTCAATTGGCTTATCAAGGTCAGGTGGCTAAACTATCTTGTTGGGGCCATAGCTGTGACCCTAACTCTTTATGGGTAAGATATGGGAATGAAGGAATCAGAAAGAGCAGCAAGAGAAATGGCAACCTGTGACTGATTTCCACCATGTGAAAGCTAACGGGCTCTGGGTCACCATGCAGGAGTTTTCCACAGAGCCTGCCACACTGACAAATGGGTCAAGAGATGGGGTAGAGGCACAGCTCAAGATCAAAACCAATGTGTACAAAGGGGGAAATACATGTTGGAATATTCCATACCTACAATGTCCAGGAGGGGGCACTCTCTTCCACCTGTGGGTATTGCACACTTAAAATGTTCATATGCCTGAGACTCAATTCACTTTCCTCGATTTGACTCCAAACTTCTCAATTTGACGAATGTCGCGGGTGCTCACCGTACTGAAGTAGGTGCCAAAGAATACGTGCTATCCCTTTTTGGAGATGGATATGCATATATAAATTTTTGTTATATTGTATGTATGTATATGCTTGTATGTCTATGTGTGTGCCTGTGAGCATGCCTCTGTGTGTGTGTGTGTGTGTGTGTGTGTGTGTGTGTGTGTCTGTGTCTGTGTCTGTGTCTGTGTGTGTGTGTATTGACTGTGAGACTGAGAGGACCAAGCAAGGAACTACAGGCCACCTAGGCACCTGAAACCTCCAGCCAGAGTAACCCTGAGAAGGCACAACCTACATTAATCTCAGAGAACTGGATTGAAGAACAGGTCCACTGAATAGAGGAGGCAGTCAAGGGCCATCACCTCTGGTAAGGCTTGAGCTGGGACCCAAGGAACAAACTGCAGTGACTTCAGGTATGTGATACAAAATGCATTGGAATCAGATCAGAGGAGCCATCTGAAGCTACAACTCTCTCTTCCACTCGGCTGCTGGCATCTGGCATGGAGTTAGCAGGTGCCAGATAAACAGCAGCTTTTGTCTATTCCTATTTAAAGACTGGGGCAACGCCAACATTTGTAAATAATAAAACTTTAATAAGTTGACTATTGAGAGGAAATGACCAAATAAAACTACAAAAGTAACTAAAGCTGAGTGTGGTGATACGCTAAACACCTGTAATCACAGCACTTAAATAAAAAAACAGCTTGAGGCCAGCCTGGGCTACATGAGACCTTGTCTCAAAAAGAAAACAAGTGGGCAGAACTTGGTGGTAAATGCTTTTAATCCCAGCAGTGGAGGAGGCAGAGACAGGTGGATCTCCATGAGTTCCAGGTCAGCTAGAGTTACACAGTGGGACCCTGTCTTATAAATAAAATAAAATAATCCAGAAAAGCTCTAGAAGTCAATAGTAAAACACAGTTAGCTCATAATTAGTGGGTATAACATGAAAGTGAAATAAAGCAAGAGAAGAAACATTGGCTGTCATGTCAGGTGGCTCCCTGTTATGGGCTGGATTAATGCACTACTCCATAGCTGTTTCCCAATGATGAGGACGGTAGTAATTCCAGATGCAGTGCTGAAGCGCCTGCTGGCTCAGTTTTCGACAGATAACCCACGTTTCTGAATACAACAGAGAAGCGTCTGTCATTGTGCACCCACTGTCGAGCCTAACAGGCTCCAACCGAGAGCACCTAACCTGCAGTTAACCTGGTTAACCTCGGTGGGTCACAAAACAAAATGAATAGACATTAACGAGAGGGGAGGGAAGGGAGGGACAGGGTGGGAGGGAGGTACAAAAGAGCTGGAGAGTGGTCAATGTGTATTGTGTACATTCCCAAAGTTGTCTAAAAACTAGTTAATGAAAAACACTCAGGTCTGTTGCTGAATAAGTAAATATCTGAGGAAAAGCAGCAGATGTTGACAGCTAAAGCAGCTTCCACTGTGAGCCCATTAGTTACCCTTGCTGCAAGAGTCAATACAAAACAGGAAAAGTCAAATGAAATTAAAAATTCAATCTTTGAGAACTCAGGAAGCTGATGCCGGAGAACTGCCACAAGTTCAAGCCCAGCTTGTACTATGATCAGTACCAGGCCACCTTAAGCTACTATGAGACCCTACCTCAAAAAATACTCATCTATCCTAAGGAAACTGCTTACTAGCCCTTCCTTAAATTATGATTGCAGCTGCTCTAAACTAGTCTAAGAGACCTAGAACTTGAACTGTGATGTTCACACTTAGGGCTTCTTTCTAGAAGTTTCCTTTGTTTTAGTTAAGTAAAACCTACATGTTGCTGTGGGATGGTCTGTATGTCAAATGTGTTGCTGATTGGTCAATAAATAAATCACTGATTGGCCCGTGGCCAGGCAGGAAGTATAGGCGGGACAAGGAGGAGAATAGAGCTGGGAAGTGGAAGGCTGAGTCAGAGAGACACTGCCAGCCGCCATGATGACAAGCCGCATGTGAAGATGCCGGTAAGCCACGAGCCATGTGGCAAGGTATAGATTAATGAAAATGGATTAATTTAAGCTGTAAGAACAGTTAGCAAGAAGCCTGCCACGGCCATACAGTTTGTAACCAATATAAGTCTCTGTGTTTACTTGGTTGGGTCTGAGCAGCTGTGGGACTGGCAGGTGAGAGAGATTTGTCCTGACTGTGGGCCAGGCAGGAAAACTCTAGCTACAAATGGCGTCCAATGTGGTGGCAAGAGTTTCCACCTAAAACCTGAGAAAAAAGATTCTAAAACGGAGCTAAAAACAGTTCCTAATTGTCTCTCTCAAATGAGCAGCAGCTGCGGGTTTGAGCTACTGGCGGGTTCCTAGCATGCGTGCATGCTCGACCTGCAGTATGGCGGGAATGAGGCCTCTGCAAGTGGCACATTAAGCTGTGTGGTGGATTTAGCCTTTGCTAGTACAAAAAAAAAAAAAGAGGTTTCTGGGCTACATGCTGCTTTGATAGAAGCATAGACCCACTATTTCTGAGAGTTGATGGCTCCCAGAGCTGGTGGAAAACGTATCACCGCCATGTTGGGAAGCTGAAGTGGGCAGAGCCAGCAGTGCCAGCGCCGTTTCAGGCTTAGAAGGCTGCAGTTCAAAGCAATAGGCTCAAGCTAATATAAAAAAATAAGCCACGTAAAGATGGCTACCACACAGAAAATCTGGATTATGTTCTCTTTGATATTCATAACTGAAGAAAAACATTTGATTACAAAAGCTGTTCAGTTATGCCAAAATGTATATTTTAAAGGTACCTTGACTTCAAAATTTGGATGTAAGGATATGTTGCTTTGGAAAGGAGGCTCTGCTTTTGTTTCCACAGAAAGCCAGAGGCTATGGATTTGTACCAGATTAAGATACATCAGGTTTGACCAGCCAAGACCACCTGAAAGGTCTCCGATGACACCATGGCCCAGATGATCCAACATCCAGAAACGTTTCAAGGCAACTGGCTCAGACGCTACATCCTCATGGACTACTCCATAACCCTAAAATGTTCTTTGTGTCCCCATAAGATACAGCGCCCCCCTCCAGCAGGAAGTAGTAAGAGAAGCTACGCCCAAATTCCCAAATATACCAAGCTGACTTTGGAGATGTGTAAAGGTTAAAACCTTCCTTTTTAAGAAAAGAAAAGGGGAAGTGCTGTGGGATGGTCTGTATGTCAAATGTGTTGCTGATTGGTCAATAAATAAATCACTGATTGGCCCGTGGCCAGGCAGGAAGTATAGGCGGGACAAGGAGGAGAATAGAGCTGGGAAGTGGAAGGCTGAGTCAGAGAGACATTGCCAGCCGCCATGATGACAAGCCGCATGTGAAGATGCCGGTAAGCCACGAGCCATGTGGCAAGGTATAGATTTATAGAAATGGATTAATTTAAGCTGTAAGAACAGTTAGCAAGAAGCCTGCCATGGCCATACAGTTTGTAACCAATGTAAGTCTCTGTGTTTACTTGGTCGGGTTTGAGCGGCTGTGGGACTGGCAGGTGAGAGAGATTTGTCCTGACTGTGGGCCAGGTAGGAAAACTCTAGCTACAACATGTCACTGAGAAGTTCCACTCATGCTTTTCCAAAGTATGAAATATTTCATTCTCTAGTTAGCTAAACTACTAAAATGTCCTGGAGTCACTATCCCCTGTTATATTTCTGTGACATCAGAGTTCATAACTATGAAGTTTCAGCTTAAGGGAGGGAAACGAAAACTTTCTGTACAGTTCAACATCAGTTTTAATCAAATATCTGGAAGCCAAATTTGACATAAAAATGTATGAGAGAGGTAGGAGAGATGGCTCAG